AAACTTTGCATGTTCAGTATTCATTAGGAAAACTAATGGTAGCTAAGAGTTACTTCTTCTAGGACCAAAAAGCTCCAATGACCCTCTTCACATATGAAAGAACCCTCTGACCGCTAAATTTACTACCAAACTGTTATATAAAAGTAAGATCTTATAGCTTTACCAGAATTCACAAGCTTCAAGAGCAACCTCTTCATCAGCATCCTTGTTGGCTTGCAACATAAATTCAATTACATTCTTCAAATGTGGCTGAGATATAACATCAAATATTCTTTAGGAGAAGGGGGCCAAATATAGTGTGTCAGTACCATGAAAAACAAGATATACACAACATGAAATGGAAAAATGAACAAAATGTTCAATCCTGTCAACGAATAACAAACCAATGCAACTCTAAACTATGGAATTGCTATTTGCATATTTCAATTAAAAACTACAAGCTATTGAGGTTGTGGGAAATGGCATCCCCTCCCCTGACATGAAGGGAATGGTGCACATTGATGTCATGAGAGCAATCCCACTAGGGTGCATGACTTTATTCAACGAGGAAGGGTAAAGAGGGGGACAAAGCTCTTAAACAAACTTATATATAAGTGAAAATATTGCATTGGATAGTATGGCGCAGAACAATCACATACCTCCAAGAAAGAAGGATTAACTTCAATGAGCTGAACAAGAGCTGCACAAACCTGTATCAAAGAAAGGGAAAGTCTAAAACACACGATTAATAGACAAAGACAAAACAAAGTAGATAGCATCCACCATTTCTGAAACTTAACTCTCAACTTTAAGATAATCTTAAACAAGGCAGATTAACAGATTCATTCCGCTTGCAACATAATAGCATGTATAGAACCAACTTACCAATTTTCTGACCTCTGCAACTGGATCATGAGAAAGGACAAATAAACCCTGGAGGTACTGATCCATGGACAGATATAAAGCCTACAATGCATTCTAGAACATAAATTAAGCAAATAAAGCAATAAACTTGGGTTGGTCAGGTAGAAAGCATTGTTCTGATCAATCTTACATTGGGCATCAGCATAATGAACTGATTTACTGATCCAAGGGAAAGCTTCCTTAGAGAGGCATGTGGCGACCCAAAAAACTGATTTCAAAGGAAAGCAAATAACAGTATACATATACAACTCAGTGATGACAAACCAATTATGACTTACCAACAGACAGCATATATGATGACAAAAATAAAGTTGTTCAATATGAATTAGAGAAGCAAATTGTCACCTGTAGTAATCTAGGAAGAAATACATCAATGGGTCTTTCAGATAAACCAGGTAAATCTGAATCAAGCTCTCGTGGTATGTCTTCACAGATCTGCATTCACAAGATCACAAATAAGCCATATAATAGCAATTAGTAATGTCTAGAAAGGATGAAATGCCATTGTCATATTTTGCACCCTATGAAATTCTTCACAAATGATTATTGTTAACGGACATGTGGAAAATATGAAGCAAACCTAAACTTCCCAAAACTTTGTTCTAAAGGAAATTCAATAAACATGGATACGCATTTAATAAAAGGGAAGAGAGAGAGATTCACTCCAGGTATTGCATCTAAAAGATCGCATCCAGATTGGGGAAGCTTGTGTAAGAATTTGGAGGGACAAACTGCAAATTTCTGGCAACAAGCTTAAGCATTGGCTTCAAAGTCTTTTTACTTAGTTAACAGACAATTTCAATTTGGATTCAGTATTTCACAAACAAAAGGTAAACAACGCTGGAACAAATATGTCAGTAATGCGTTGTTGCTATTATTCTTCAAAATGCAATTAAGAGATCAGCGAAGCAAATGACACCTTTGATAAAGTATCCAAGGCACCTTCCGTATGATTAATGTCATTACTGTCCAAGCACTGTACAAGAGCTTGCAACAGCTCTGGCCAGCCAAGAATCCGTCCTTGCTGGACAATAACACTGATAATTGTCCCAACTGTATTCCTTATGTCCTTTTCCGCTTCTCCTAAACATGGTAACAACTGTGACTTTATATATTGCTGATATGCAGGATCTAGAGACTTGAAAGCACTTCGCAAATTATTTTTCAGAAGTAAGCCAGCTGCCTGTCGAATTTCCACAGATGCACCCTGCTCAGAAAAGCAAGTATGAAGAAATGCCATTCAGTTGTGATGAAAGGAGTTGAAGGAAAAGTATCGGCTTACAACATAACTTAATGCAAGGAAACAACGACTTATTCTAAGCACTGATTTCTAAGTTTCACGGAGATTAAAAATTCTCAAGATCATTCAATACAATACACCAGTTCATTGACAGAGCCTTTGCCACAACAAGTGAGCAATATGAAAAAGCATGTAACAACTCAAAATGTTAAAAGTGAATCAAGCTCATAAAAAAACAATAAACAAAATCCAGATAGAATTGAAATAAGCTTTCACGCACATGTTGGAGCTTTCATCTCTTGACCTTTCAGTTCTAACTTTTCGAACTAATAAAGAAGCAATGGAGATCGATCCAGGATGTATAGGTGTAGTTATGCTAATCCAATACCTTTTGATTATGATTATTGAGATCATCCAATTATAAGAAGCACCTTAACTACCTAATAACATAACTTCCAAGTCCCCCACTTTCCAAACTGGGAAACCACTCAAAGATTCATTCCCCTTCATCTACACTTCAGAAATGTTGCTTAAACGTGCTCTTTTACAACGAAAATAAGCAAATAAATAAGGCGAAATTGAGAATAAACAGAGATTATAAATCTTAATCCAATTCCCGAATTCAAAACAATAACCATATAAAAGTAAGAAACATGACAAAGGCGAATATGAACAAGCACTAATAAACATGACAAAGGCGAATCGAAGAGAAAGACAAAACAAGAATTAAGCTTAAACGAAGGGATTTGAAAGGCATTAGTTGGTAGTAATTGGAGTTTGATAAAATGAAATAGTACCGGAGAATGAGCAAAGATGAAAACGAGGTAGTCGTTGAAATCGGGGAAGTGGCTGTAATGTTGCAGTTGTTGCCAAATACGAGTCTTATCAGAAGTAGGCGAAATGTGCTGTTCTAATACTCCGCATATCTCCCTTAAACCTTCCTCTTTCGGTTGCCATATCCCCTGACCTGCCATTTTCAGATCCTTTTCGAGAAGCGAAAGCTATGGAGATTGAAGAAAAATAGATATTGATAATTATTTTCCAAAAAACAAAAAATTAGTTGATGTTTTGTCTGGATAAGTGAGGTGTCTTTTTAAAACAGGTGATGTGTCTTTCGGTGAGGAAGACGACGATCAATGTCGACCGCGATGCAAGAGAATTAGAGAAAAAAAAAATTTCGATGCTGGGTTTTGGAATTTACAGGTGTTGCCCCCTGCTTTTGTTCAAATTTCTAATAAACCACTTCAATTTCTTAGATGGAAATTTTCTGGTTGACTTTGTTTTAGAATTTCAACTTTTCAAGTCACTTAAGAAAAGAATCCGATTCGAAAGATTTGTGTTTTCCTGGTAAATCTAGGAAACCACTTTCTAGGAAACTAAACAAGCCACCAAAATTAATTTTGTGACTCTTTCGTTAGAACAATTTGTGAAATTTCAACTCATTTGTATTTGCTTAGAACTTTGGAAACCACTTTCTAGGAAAAAGTATTTCCAATTTCCAATTATGTACTCTCAACTTTACAATTCACCTAAGAAAAATTTGTCAAATTTAACTATTTTTTGCATCTATAATAATCTCTTCAATTCAAATAGTAACCCATTTTAAAATTCAAAATTCAATAAAATTTTGTATAAATTACAAAATAAGTTAACACATAATTAAATCAAATTTATACACAGACAAAATTTAAAAGCAAGACTTGAATATATCTGAATTTTCTTTTTATATTTAATGAAAATCTCATTTGATAAATTTAACAAAATTTTAAAAATATAAATTAATGTTTATAGCTTAAACTCGACTTTAAAAATACTTTTGTAAACATATTTGATTTAAAATTTTCTGTTCAATACCTTCTTAATAAAAATCAACCTCGATTATATTCTAATGTTTAAAGTGAAAGATATGGTTGTCCCTTGCCACGTCTACATCAAAATGAATATAAAATATTTTTTTTGTTGCCTAGGTTTTGTAATGATGATTGTGATTAAAAGAAAACTTTACAAAGCATATATGGTATAATAAGATTGTGGTAGGTGTTAATGTGCTTTCCAATGAAAATTTTGTGGCCATGTGTTGAAAATCATGTTAAAGATATAGTTTTTCACTTAAGCCAATTCTTATTATCATCATTATGTATTGAATGATCATCCCACTATTCACCAATGTTTTATGTCCCTTACTCTTGTTAATAGTTAATACTTGTCATATATTAAGATTTATTATGACTTTCTTTTCATAATACCATATCTCCTATTTTTTAATGAAATCAACTAATTAAAATTTTAAATTTTTTATTCATTTTATGTATAAAAATAAAAATTTATATTTAAAACATTATTAATGTATGAATATTATTTAGTATAATGGTAATTCATAAAAATTAATTTTAAAAAATATTTAAAGTTATTTTTATAAGAGGTTATTATGTGATTCATTATGATATATGATATTTAGACATTGATCTATACATCGAATATAAATCTTAAAAATAAACCTATTTTATGAAAATATGCTAGATTAAATAAATCTCAAAACGGAAAAAAAAAATTCTCAAAGTAGGCAATTGCTTATGGAAAATCATTAATCCAAATAAATAAAATGGAAAATCGATGGTGGAATTTCTTGCACCGTGCCCAAACCTGGTGCTGCTTACAAACCTAAACCATCAAAGCACGCCGAGACCCGAGTCATAAACCATGTGCCGATTCAAAATGACAATTATACCCACTCGAAAAAACTCACCGAGCACTACCATTGGCTCATTGCACCATTAAGAAGGACTGTTTCGCCATTTCCCTGCCTCCTTCGCAAAGACTCAACAACTCCTGAAAAGCTATATATAAAAGCCGCGCTCGTAAATGGGCGTAGCAAAGTCGGTTAGTCAAAATCTCCTGTCCAAAGAAATTGTTGAATCTGACTTTCACCCAAAATTAGGGATTTGATTTCCTGGGGTCGAGCATTTGAGCTGAATAATTTTTTTTCTTTTCAAAATTCAAGAATGGCTAAAGTGAGACATTCTCGATTACAGGCGAAAAAATGGTCGACAATGACGCTTGTATTGTCGATGTTGTTTATGTTAACGGTCGTTTTATTGATGCTTTTAGGGCTAGGGATTTTCTCTCTCCCAATAAACAGCGACGATTCGCCGCCCAATGATCTCACTTCTTATAGACGCATGGCTTCTGAAAGGTAACGCGGTCGCGGTGGTTTAATTTCTAAGAACGCATTGATCTCTTTGTTAAAATCGATTTATTTTCTGATTAGCTTTCATGGATTTTGTTGCAGAGGAATAGGGTTGGGAAAGAGAGGGGGGCAGTGGACTGAAGTCCTATCTTGGGAGCCTAGAGCTTTCATTTATCATAAATTTTTGGTTAGTTTATTTTCTATTTTCTTCTTTTTTTTAATAATTTTTATTTATAAATTACTTTTATCACAAATGTGTCACGGCTTCATGCATTCTTGAGATTTGTTGGTTAGTATAAATAATTTGAAATTGCCAATCTTATATCTCTGATTGTATATCCTTACTCTAGGAAATTTTGTAATTAATGTGAATTGATGAGAATAGTAGTTCTTTTGGAATGCAATGTAGATGGATTCAATGAGTCAAAAATTTTGTGAAGGAAACTTTGTGGAACCCTTTTCCTATTAGTGTGAATTGGTATGATTCTAGGCACGGCTGTTTTCTTGATGCCTTTGTGGTGTCTGTTGAGTTGGAGATCTTCTTTCCCTTAGTTTTTAGTTAATAATTTGGTTAATAATAGTAAAAATAGTAGTAATATGATGATGATGATGATGATGGTCTTTTCCTTTGCTATTTATCTCTTTTGGGTGGTTGTCTTGATTTTTTCCCTTTATACTCATTTGAACAGTCCAAAGAAGAATGTGAGTACCTAATAAATCTTGCTAAACCTCACATGGCTAAGTCCACTGTTGTTGATAGCAAAACAGGGAAGAGTAAAGATAGCAGGTTTGGATTTCCTATCCTCCCTCCTCTTCTTTTGTTGTGATTTATAAATGCTAAGATATGGTGTTAAAATATCGAACGTCAATGCTTCTGTTTATGCTTTTGTTGGAAATTATAATACTAAAACTTATTTGAGGAAACCCTATCTTGTTTGACGATGATTATTTGTTGAACTTTTAACCTAATGTTAGATATTATGACATTTGATTTGTATTGTTTGCAGGGTGCGTACAAGTTCCGGTATGTTTCTGAGAAGAGGGCAAGACAAAATCATTAGGGACATAGAAAAAAGGATAGCGGACTACACTTTCATTCCTGTAGGTATGGGATTATAATACTAAGCAAAACCTTCTATAGATATTTTACTCTGAAACCGATAATTAAACTCTTTTTGTGCAAAAATCTGTCGAGATGTTATCTTTTTTCTTTTTTTTCCTGAGCAAGTCCTGGTTATGAGTTTCAATTAGACCTGAGTACTGGCCACGTGCAAATTTAATATATTTGTACCTGTTTTTCTCTAATATATTATTATTTACAGTTAATGAAGTCCAGATTAGGTCTTTCCTTTTTTTTTTTTAATTTCTTCTTGCAGTTAATTGTATTGTCCTTGTTTTCCAATTATCACAATTTTCTTTTGGTTTATTATATTTTTTCCTTTTGTAACTTAAAGCAAACTTCGTAAACTACAGAGCATGGAGAAGGTCTTCAAGTTCTCCACTATGAAGTTGGACAGAAATACGATGCACACTTTGATTACTTCCTTGATGAGTTCAACACTAAAAATGGAGGCCAGCGGATGGCTACTATGCTTATGTATTTGTACGTTTTATAATTTTTACATGTCTGTGATGCATTCCACACTCAATCAAGTGTCATAGAAATTTCTTTCCTCATTTGTCCTTTGAAAAAGCCAAGGATTTGGTACCTTTTACCTTACTTTCTGCTATGGATGCAGGTCAGATGTTGAAGAAGGGGGTGAGACAATATTTCCAGCTGCCAAGGGAAATGTTAGTGCTGTACCTTGGTGGAATGAATTGTCTGAATGTGGTAAACAGGGTCTTGCTGTGAAGCCAAAGATGGGTGACGCATTGCTGTTCTGGAGCATGAGGCCTGATGCCACGCTAGATCCATCAAGTTTGCATGGTTTGCAGTCAATCCTTTTTTCCACTTTTTTTTGTGGGTTTTTTATCTTTAGTTGTGGTTCAAGAATGATTAAGCAGTTCTGTATTTCCATAGCAAAAAGATTTGATCTGTTATCTGCTTTCATATCATAAATGTTTGACACTTATGTTCAAAAATTATTCTCATTTGATCATAGCAACTTTTAGTTATCTACAGCTAAATAAACAAATGAGTTTAACCGTGTATCTTATGGCTGATACCAGGTGGATGCCCTGTGATTATAGGGAACAAATGGTCCTCTACGAAGTGGATGCATATTGAAGAGTACAAGGTTTAAGCTGCTCTATAGAGGTACTTGTTCACGCCTAATTGGACTGCCCAGCCATTTGTGCTGCACTTATTAGATGGCCATGATGCCTTTTTAAGTGTACACCATTAAATTTCTCATTAAGAGTTAGCTTGTCTTAATCTCTAAATCCCCCAAACTACTTTGAAAACAATGAGATTCGAAATGTACAAGGTCCTTCAAACAACTTTTAGCGAGGTTTATCAGCTGATTCAGCTAGCTTTTTCAATGATCTGTCACATGCTTGGGTACTAGTACACTGTATATGCTAAAGGTCAATGAGTTTTTTTTTTGAGGTCAATCAGTAGAATTAAATGAAATTATGGCATGCAAGCATAGAAATGCTTAATTAGCTTAGGCTTGGTTTGGTTGTTTTTGTGATAGTGAGCTGGTTTTAAGGATTAATGTTTGTTTTTATCTTCGTACATATCTTGTTTAAGAACTAATCAGTTAATAGGAAGATGTGCCAGTTGAATTGGTTCCTTATTAATGTGATAGGTGCTGCGTTTTCCTTGACAGGATACCAAGGTACATATCATAGCGGTCCAGTGCTGAGAAAGTTTGATTCATGAAACTTCAGGTCCATTATTCTTTTATTTGACGGGCATTTCTATAATTTTGGACCTAATTTCCAGGTCGAGAAATTCTTGTTTTCAACTTTTTATTTCCTTGGAAAAATTATGGGCATCCTGCCCGAGTGAGAAATAGTGTCATACATGATAGATTTATTAGGAGATCGGAAGATGGATGGTAAGTGATGCATTAACAGGCCACTGTAATGTAGCAAAATAATTATGAATACAACTCATAATTTACTTCAGCTCCGTGCCTGCGAAAGAACTTTTAATTGCTTGGAGCCATTGTGAGTCAGATGGTTTCTAACGACTCTTTTTCTTTTAACCATCGAATACAAATTTCTTCGAGCCCTTAGTCGCAAACTTAACTTAAGTCATAACCCATCAAGAGTTGTCCGCTGATTTTCCACATCCATGTCCATTGATGAGTCTTAGGAGGCCGCTTCCTTGGAAATAGGCTGCACAGCAAACACTAATTTTTCTAAGGCAAGTTTCCAAAACTATTTAATATAACCCAAGGCAACACCAACTCTAGTCAGCCGCTGGACTTGAGGATGAATCAAATCAGTTTGACCATTTAAATAACTTTACCAACTAAACTCTACGTGCACGACTCTACGTCATTAAGCTTACCCATCATTAGCACGCAATACATCTCATGCAGAATAGATGGATCCATGGCATTTGAAAATATATACAGGTATTAGAAATGATTCTTGATAAACTTACCTTCTCTATGCCGATATTACGAAGATGACTCAATATTTCACTAAAATCTGGAGGGGGTGAGCATGAGAAGTGCATCTTCTCGCTTGAGTGTGGATGTTTGAATCTACAAATCACAAGCAAAAACTGATATGGATTTCTGACAACTATGAAACAGAAACAAATACAATATGTTAGGTTTTATCCTCTAACCCAAGGACTAAAGCATGAAGGTATGGCCTCTCCAATCTTGAAACCAGCTTGGAAAGTTCATCATTATAGTTAGGGGGGATCCTGGGACGGAGCAGTGACAAGGCCATGCTCTTTGACCCGCCGTACACCTCATCACCCAACAAAGGAATTCCCATGTACTTTGCATGGGCACGAATCTACTTCTCATACAAAGAAAAAAAGGAATTAGACAAACCCTTTTTGTCGACAATTATACTGAGCTGAAATCTATGTAGCACAAAACTGCAGCATTATTTGTTCATGCGGAAATATGCACTCAATAATAGCTTAACTGTCTCTAAAAGAGTTAAATTGTGTGCTAAACCATACCTGATGAGTACGGCCAGTTTCCAATCTCCACTGAACCAGTGCTGAACCACCACCAGCCAGTACTTCAATTACTTTGTATCTGATAAAAGGGAATCACACGTCTTTCTCCTATGTTTTATTGAACCATCAAAACAAAACAAAGTAATGGAGGACTATAAATCACCTACTAGCAGCATGGCGAGCCCGACCATGATGACTTAAACCTGGTACAGCAACCATCCGAATGCGGTTATTTGAATCACGTCCAATGGGAATGTCCACACGTCCAGCAGAAGGTGATGGCACTCCACAAGTAAGACTGATATATACTCTCTGGATCATATGTTGCTTAAACTGTTCTGACAAATGGGCGTGGGAATGTTCATCCTGCCGTACACCAATGATAACCCTCATGTTAGTTTTGCAACTTGCAGTAGCCAAGGAAAAAGGAATAAGAAAAACACTCACCTTTGCGACAACAAGCAATCCACTGGTGCCCTTATCCAATCTATGTACAATCCCTGGTCGAACAGAAGCTGCTGCACTTCCACCACAACTAAAAGCTTCATCATCAGAAACATCCTCTGTGTCTGAAAGAACATCCTTTTCGGACAATGCCACTGTGGGTAAACTGCAATGGTGAAGAATCCCATTCACTAATGTTCCAGTAGCATTGCCAGGTGCTGGATGAACAACCTCAACCAAATAAACCAATGCCATTTACAAATGTCAGAATTTTACGGTCCAAAGTGAAACTTCTAATAAAACTTTTTTTTTCAATGTTTAAATTAAATTAAATCACCATGTGTGGAGGTTTATTAACGACAAGAACATGGTCGTCCTCGAAAACTATATCCAACGGTATATCTTCAGGTTCTGCTTTCAAAGGTTGCAGCTCCGAAATTACGCAATTAACCTTATCTCCAGCTCTCAGGCCATGCGAGACCTACTTAAAAGTGAAACATTAAACTCAAAATTGCCCAAATATTTTACCTTTTTCATTAATTTAAAGTAAGAGAAAAAATGAGTTACCTTGTCGACAACGCGGCCATTGACCGTCACGAGGCCTGATTTTATACTGAATTGAACTCGAGCTCTGCTAATGCTTTGAATTCGAGAAGAGATCCAAGAATCGAGCCGAAGCTTGCCTTGCTTGGTCTCATCAACGGTTTCTTCTAGTTGAACGCCGGCGTATCTGGCTCTAATCGGTTGCTGATGTTTGGCGGCGGAACATGAACTGGCTCTGAGGATTCTGGAAATCGTAAAGGGAAGTAATTTAGGGTTTCGAGGGGAGAGGAAGAGGAACGAAGGGTACATTTGAAGGGCTTTCGTTGAAGGAAACGGGCAACAAGAGTAGAGGGAGACCATTCTCTCTCCGTTCGGTTTACTCTCCAGCCCAAGAGGCGGTTTTAGTTCTAGGCTCGGAAATAAAAAATTATTATTTGGTATTATAATAAAAAATAATTAATGAAAAAAATTATTTTTATTAAAATTACTTTTATAATTTCAATGTACATATTTTATAAGATAATTATATATATTATTTAATTAAATGTATGTACATAAAAAATAATCAATTGTAATTTTGAGTTCATATCCCTTTAATATTAAAAGCATAAAAGTATTTTTTTTATTTTCTCTTTACTATATATTGTTATTTTTTTATTAATTATTTCTGATCATAGTATCAATTAATAAAAAAAAAATTTTAAACAATTTTTTTCAAAATTCTCCCAGTTTTAAAATCTCTTAATAATGATTTGATACCAAAAAATACCCAACTTTTAAGTATTGTTATGAAAACTTAGAATTGTCTATATGAAAAAAATTAAAATGTGAAACAACAAGGAAAAATAAACAGCCAAATGAAGGACTTGAATGCAATTCCAATTTTGTTTATTAGAGTACAATTGTTTTTTTTTTTTTTTTGGGACGAAAAGGAAGGAAACACACTTTTTTTTTCCCTTTTGTACACAGAAACACAAACATTGTCGATAATTGAGATGGCATTTTTATACTAAACAAACAAAAGCTAACACAACATGGAATGGAATGATGAGTTTTATTCACAACCACAGATGAGGAATATGTGGTGATTGGCATTGAAGATGGCGGAAAGAGCCAAAAGTTGGATAAGTTTGCTGAACAATGGAGTAGCCAAGTAGATTATCTAACATGCTCAGCAGTTATTCATCTGTCTTTACCATCCCCATCTTGAGTTCCCCTTTTCATCATGGCTACAAATTCCTCATAATTGATTCTCCCGTCCTACCCAGTTAATGATAAGAGTCATTTATCCAACACCATTGACAGAAATTATATGAAGAAAAAAAAAGGGAGAAAAAAAAAAAAAGAAGATAAGAAAATTACCCCATCGGTGTCAACATCCTCGATGACTTCATCTATTGTAGCCTCATCTCCCATTCCATACTCGGTCATAGCTTGTCTTAACTCATCTCTTGTGATAAACCTGAATGAAAATAATAATGATAACGATAAACTCAGTCAAGTCGTCAAGTTGCATGATACCATGAATGTTCAAAACTCAATATCTCATTCTGGAAAATATGTTAGTTCATGCTAATTTAGAATCATAGGAAGAGTGAGGAATGTTTAAGGAAATACTGCAATATACTAACCCACTGCTATCCTTGTCAAAGAATTTGAAAGCCTGCTTTATATTTTCTTCGCTCTCAAGCCTATGTCGATGCATTGTAGCAGTTACAAATTCGATGTAATCAATGGATCCACTCTTGTCAACATCAGCCTGATAGAATAAAGTTTAGGCATTCAGAAGTTGCCAATTGTTTCTTTTGGATGCTGGAAGGAATTACATCTCAAGGCTTGTTTAATTAAGTAAAATGTTTCCATAAAAAAGAAGAGAGGGGAGGGATTATATGGTTCGATAACTCTTACAGCATCCATGAGCTGCTTTATTTCTGTTTCGGTTAGCTTGGATCCCAATCGCGCTAATCCATCCCTGAGTTCTTCTAGTGTTATTGTACCACTTCCATCAGTGTCGATGTTTTTGAACATCTGTGTCAAGCCCTTGATCTCTTCTGATGATAGGCTTTCTGCTATCACCTTCCAGAAATCAAAATTTCAGATAAAGATATCAGCTGGTGGGAAAATGAAAGAAAGAAAGAAAAACAATTGTATAGCAACCGCAAAGCATATGGTCAATGAATGTGCATCTAGATCAGGCAGTGACTACTTGAAGACTGTACGATAATAACCCCATATTATTATGTAAACTGAAAATGGTTACCCAAGAAACATAATCCAATAACTGTTGAATATGCAAGTTTCAAATGAGTGAAAAACTATAGGCATTAGATCATACCTTTAAGGCTAGTTTTTTGAGCTTGTTCATTACTCTGAACTGCTTCAACCTGCTAAGAACAGCACTATCAAGAGGTTTGTCAGATGCATCACCACCCTCCTTCAGCCACGGATGTTCTGGTTCAAATACACAAAATGAAAAACATTAACCACCCAATCATTATCTAATTATGTTCAACATTAAAGACAATCTAATCTTCAATGTTTTCAATCCAACTCTTCCTTGTTGCATGTCCCCTTTTCTTTGCTTAGAAGGGTTTTGCCTAGTGAATTTTTCATAAAGATACATCTTTACCTAGGGCTTGGGCAGCTGTAATCCGTTTCTTAGGGTGCCTTTCTAGCATCTTCCTGATGAGGTCCTTTGCATTATCAGATATACTTGGCCATGGCTGGCCTTTTAAGTCAAGATTACCTTCTGAAACTGCTTTAAAGATTTCTTTCTCAGTCTCTGCAACAAAATTATTCATTAACAGATGAAAAGGTATCAGGACCAAAAGTAAAGCTCTTTTTTTGGTTAAAAAAAGTAAAATTCTCAGAACAATGAGAAATTGACTCAAACTCAGTTGAAGTTAAATCTATCTCAGAAAATTAAAGGGATAGAAACCAAGTAACAGTATGAGAGAACAAGTAGCAATTTAGTTTAAGGCTTTGAGCCCCGAAATTCTTTTTCTTTAAATTTTTATACAAACTACTTTTATCAAGATCCATCTGAATGGTGATTATTTGTTCTTATTTCAAAATTTATAGATGCACACAAACTGAAATAGGAAATTAAAGTTGTTTTGTTGTGTTGGGACATTTTTTGTATCTCCCTACCACTGTCTTGTAGCAGAACTCTCCTTCAATTCTCTCTTAGATTAATGAAGAATTTATCCAAAAAATAAATAAATAAATGTTTACATACCACCCCAAAACGGAGGCACTCCACAAAGAAGAATGTATAAAATGACTCCGGCGCTCCACACATCTATTTCCTTGCCATATTTTCTCTGTAACACCTCTGGTGCAACATAATATGCACTTCCAACAAGGTCTCTATACATTCTACCTGAAAAGTTAAGTAAAATTCAAGTGCTTGGTAGTATTAGAGAATATGAGATTCATGATTACTAGGAAAATCCAATGCATAAATAAATTTGAGAAAATCAAGTTCAAAAAGCAAATAAAAAATAGCATTACCTTTGTCATCCATCATTCACTCATATCACTCATAAGAAGTAATTAAGAAGGGTGAAGTTGAGCAAAGAGGCTGATATATACAAATGTGATGTCATCAACTGGTCCATCATACATTTCTTTTATTATTAAACTTTCATACAAATTCTATCACTTTTTATAGTCAATTTATGAAGTTTTGATAGTTCAATGGCAATAAACAGTAAAGAAAGATATCTGCCTTCAATTTTCCCAGAAATCTGAAAGTACACGGTCAGCTTACGGGCTACTGAAACCTTACTTTAAACACTGGCAATTATAATCACATCATTTGATTTAGAAATTAAGTACTTAAATATATATAATCCCTTATTGACAAAGATATTTGCACAAAACCCATTGCCCTCATTTTTATACCACTATCTACCATCTATCAGTAACAAAATCATGTTCGTTAGTAAATAATCAAACCGGGACAATGCAGCAATGGTGCCACTAAAAATTAATACTACATTCAGTCCGAATTGTTGAACCATTAAATCTATTTGATAGAAATTCCGTCAAAGTACATATATATATCTTATGTACGCTGAGACTTGAGGGCAAATACAGCTCTTGCTGTAATGCCGCAACTCTATTGTTCCCAATCCACCACCCATTTCTTTGGTGGAACCTGATCTTAGATTGATCAGTGCTTTCACTGTCACAGCAACGCGTCTGGCCTTTTGGACGTATATATAATAGGATAAGCACCTGGTTTAGTCATCAATCATGATGCCACATTAAACCTATACCTACCACGTGATTCTTTTTCTATTTAGCCTTTCTTTTTGTTTTTTGATATACCGTTTTTCTTACTCACTTCACCAGTCTACGAACTTAGCAAAAAATATCATTGACTTGGTTGACCTGGCCCTTTCTTCGTTGACTTGGTTGGTTTACTCATGATTACATCTAGAAAGAATAACGTGCAAAGTCCGCTTCCAGCTCTAATTGATCTACTCAACTTCATTTTTTTTAAAAATTTATTCAAAACACTTTAATCAAATTAATCTGTGTCCTGTAATTGATTCTAGCAATTTTATCCAATTCTAAAACCTGGGGTATAACTGAAATAGAAAAAGAAAATCACAATATAATCTGAAAATAATTAGAGACTTTGATCTAGATATGATCATGTCTAAGAGCATCAACTTCATGACGGAAAGGAACTAGAATATTGGAAGTAATCAAAGATTCAGAAGAGCAAAGGCATAATGAATCAAAGAAAACCAGTAAATGGTATAAGCTAACCTTCCTCGATGAAGACAGAGAGTCCAAAATCAGTGGCCTTAATTGGAGAATTCTCTTCCTTGCTAACCAGCAAGAAATTCTCAGGCTTCAAGTCCCTATGCATAACGCCCATAAAATGACAGGCATGCACCACATTCACAATCTGCCTACAAATTGAAGCCGCTTGACGTTCTGAGTAAGTCCCTTTAGCTATGATCCGATCAAAAAGCTCACCACCTGAACACAACTCCATTACCAAATGTATATTCCGGCTATCTTCATAAGCACCTTTGAACTCAACAATATTTGGTTGCCCAGTTAGATGCTGCAGTATCAAAATCTCTCTTCTAACATCCTCTACGTCCTTGTCAGTGTTTAGTTTACGCCTTGAAATAGACTTGCAGGCGTATTTTCTCCCTGTTGCCTTTTCAGTGCAAAGAGAAGTGATGCCAAACTGACCTCTCCCCAACTCTTTGTCAAGATCATAAATGGTGGTGACATCAACATAAGGTTTAAGCAAAATGGTCTCACTATGGGATGATGAAGGAGCATTAGACAAAGATGGGTTTTGGTTTTCCCAAGCTGGTTTTTGTGGAGGTGGGTGAAACTGCTCTTGGGTTGTTTTGGGCAATGGTTGATATGGGTGAGGAGAAGAATCGGAGGAAGAAGAGATAGGGATTTCATGAGAGTGGGATCTTCTCAAGCAGGATCTCAGAGATTGGCAGAGTCCCATAGATGGCTATTCACAAAACCTGTTCTTTTCTGGTGTCAGGTGGTTTAGACTTGATTGGATTGTTATGATTTGCTGGTGGAGCATCCAGGGGAATTGATTAAGTATAGCTTGGTCGCACTGTTGCTTTATTATATGCCTTGCTTTTGCCCCTTGGATTGTCTTGAGTATCATTCCTTACCTTTTTTTTTTTTTTTTTCACTAACTATGCTTAGCTTAGCTTTGCTTGAGAGAGAGAGGAAATCTCATAAATAAAAGGGGGTAAAGAAGAAGGATTTGAAGGGTCAGTTTCTTCGTGTTTCGGTGCTTATGTTGTTTAAAGCTTACGCGTTTCTCGTCAGTGTTTTGTTTGATTCAATGTCCATTTCCATCTGCGAGAAATCCCATCCAAAGCCCAAAAAACTTGACAATGCCCAATGGTGTCGTCAATCGCACAACCTTTCAGGCCCATCCTTGAAAGCCCGAAGGACCCCCGCAGGCCGAATCAAACCAGGCTTGGTCTCTGTCAAGTTTGATAGGCTCTAAACTGGTTATATACAAGAGTTAGCAGTCCTTTGAATCAAAGAGTAAGATGTAACCGCGCGGCATGACCGGACTGATTGACCTAAATATGTAATGCCACTTGGACGTAAGAATTGACTATGAGAATTTTTTTCATTATTCATTTAAAGAAGGAAGATTCCAATTAATCTTTTTAACTACAAAAATTAATGCATTATCATTAAATCAATTGTTTAAATACGAAATTATTACTTTTTATTTTTGAAACAACTATTATATAAATAATTGATAGGTTAATGTTAAGTATATACTACTTTTTATTTTTGAAACAACTATTTTATAAATAATTGAAACTAAAATTATATGATTATATGTATCATTAGGACACATAAATTTGAATATGAAAAATATTTTAAATTAATAAAGCCAGTCAAGTGAAAATTAACTAGAACTTGACTGTTATTTTCTTAAAAATTTTCTCATGAATTACTAGTTTATTATCACAAGGTTGGATTTAATGTAAAAAAATAAGTAGGAATTGATGGTTTTTAAATTAATCTAATATTACGTAATTATCGAGTGTTAGTTTACATACCGTGTATATTAGTAAATTTTTAAAAGTTATGAGTTTCAAAACGATTTAGATATGTAATGTTTTTTCAAGTAGTTAAGTAAATAAATATTAAAAAATTAAAAGTAAATTAAAAATTTTAAAAATTTAATTTAATACTGTTATTTATGTTTTCTTTTTAATGGAGGGATAAAATTAATTCTTATTGACCTTTTTCTTTAAAAAAAAAAAAATCTTTGATCAAGTTTTACACAACAAAGAAAAACACGGCGGCTTTCAATTCAAAGAAATTGAGAAATGAGGAGAATTATAAATGGAGCAAACCGTAAATACACAAGCGTCATTTACTTTGTTAGCTAATTTCAGCTCGGATCGTGTAGTCGGCGACTTTGACCAAGAATTGTTCTGTCTTCGGAATATATTAGATTAGAAACAATTCAGTCTTCGTTCACGATAGAGATTCAATTTCAGACGCTTTTATAAACGGGGCTCTCAATTCCCATGATTCAATGCGCCTGTTTTTGTAATTCAGCTCCATTTTCATTGCCATAATTGCCTACAAGTTTGTTTTTTTCCTTCTGATTGGATTATTCTTGTCAAAACCACGTACTAGAGCCCAAATTAAAGCTCAAAATATTCTTCATTTCTTCTCCCAATGGACCTTAGCATCTGCCCTTCTCCTTCTTTTATCATTTCATGTTTTCCAGCTGAAAAGGCAAGGGAGTTGTGCTGCTCAGCTACTTCAGCAGTTATTAGTAAACTGTTCTATGCAATCTTCATCTTTATATTTGCAGTGGGTTAGTTCTTAATCGGTTTGTTTTGTTTTACATTTTTGGATTTGCTCCTTTCCTTTTGAACAAGACAAAATTAAACAAAAGGAAATCTTTTCAGTTTCATCCAAGAACATTCAGAAGAATTTGACATGTTTGCTAGAAAACTATGGTGTCTGTTTCGCTTGAATCCAAAACTTATCTGAATCTGGCATTTATCTGCAGTTGGAGCAACTTTAGGAGCCCTGACTGGAGCTTTTGTTGGGGCAAAAACGAAGATCGGTTGTCTTCATGGAGCCACGGTTGGAGCCATAAAGGGCAGTTTTTTCTCCATCAAGTTCTTTAAAATTTCACTTATAGTTTATAGTTCCGATGATATGGCGACGAGGTTTCTCCAACAACCGGTAAGAATGATGCCTAGGTCTCTATCATATGGCTACAACGCGCCAATCACTTTAGTTACTGCTTTTATTTTCCTTCCTCTGCTGCTTTGCCCATGCACTAAGATTATTTGGACCACGTCCCAAAATTCGTCATTCAAAATTTATCGTTTTTTTTTTCTCTTGTGAATCCTGTTTAAAGTGGGAAATTGGTCCCCATAATGAATCGTCCAGTCTAAATCCAACAACATTCACTGGGCACATCAGACTGCTAGAAAAATTATAGTAGTGGGGAAAAGAGATATAAAAAAAAGGGTTTTTATTTTAATGCTTGAATTTGAATTTGGTTTTGATTAGATAAATGCATTTGACTCTACATTCAACGAAGTGGCCTGGAATGACGGGTTGTCAAAGGGTTCAATAGAAAAAATTCCAAAGATCAGAATCACAGAAGAAAACGTATGGGATTCATCCAGGAACAGAATCTCTTGTTCGATTTGCCTTCAGGTTTTCCACTTTTTTTGCCTTTCTGGTCTGTCGTTTACTGCTATGTGATTGATGGAAATAGTTTTTGTTAATCATTCTTGTATATGGTTTCAAATTTCCAGGACTTCTTACATGGGGAAATAGTTCATAGCTTGCCACACTGTCACCATATGTTTCACATATCGTGCATTCAGAAATGGCTAATAGGGCATAAAACTTGCCCTTTATGCAGGAGACATTTTTGACACTCAAAGTGGAATTAGAAGCATTCGCCATTGACAAAGTCCATCCATGTCTTACAAGCTCGACAACAAAGTTCTACCCAAAGGAGCCACAAAACGACACCGGAATTATCCTACGAATTTCCAATTTTGTACATACAGATACAGTAACCATATCTCCTAGTTACTATAGTTTTTTTTTTTTTTGGGGGTATTATGCCAATTTATTTATTATATTTAAACTTTTAAACCATACGGTGTTATTTGAGAGAAATCCCTATTCTTTTCAGCGTGGACTCTTTTCTTTTTCATATTGCTTGCATTTAAACTTCAAAGCAACTTGGCAGCTAATTTCAAAGAAGTTTCCATGCAAATAAAGGAGCCTCCGCCAAAGAAGACAAAAAGAAGATTTCAAACGATATTGGAAAGTGTTAAGTAGCAGCCAAAGCAAACCCACGAGGAAAACATGGTGCTTACTAGACTTTCGACCTAGACAAAGGCTACAAGTTCAAGAACTTATTCCAACTCCCGTCTTTTTCCTGGCAATTCAACTCATAGCAGCCGGTTTGAATGACAAAATCACAACCTCAAAATAACGTTCCCAAAACAAAGAATACTTGAGACTAAATAATCACAGGGCATGAACTTTATCGAAAGTTAAATGAAATCGTATCTCGAAAGAAACATATGTAGTGAACTGCAGTAGTTGAGAAACCATTCACTGACACTGAGTTCCGTTGAGGCCATGCAACAAAGGCAACTGTTTTAGGTGAAACAACTTTAAGGCGACATAATTCCAATGAAAATTGACATGATGTAGATAAGCAATGGGCACATTTGATTTATCGGCTCAGCTTGTTGCATCACGACTGTAGTACTGATCAAGCGTCTTTGCAGGTATACGGTGGAGAAGTTCACGCGGGAAGATACGAAGCAAAGTCCATGCTAAATCAAGTGACTGGAAGATGTTGCGAGTATCATAAGCCCCTTGAGTCACGAATTTTCTCTCAAATTTATCTAGGAACTCCAGGTAGAGCTGTAAGTTGATAATAACAAGGAGTAAATCAAAATGCAATTCTTAATCTGAAGCTTTATGTTTGATAGCTTTCACCTACATGCAAAGCTGCACATGGGTGATGTGCAACCCCACCCAAAAACACACAAATGCATACAAAATAGGGGGAGAGAGAGAGAGAGAGAGAGAGAGAGAAACCAGATCCTCAGAAGAAAGTGCTTCCTCTCCAACCACAGCTTTCATTGCTTGAACATCTTTTCCAATGGCATAATTTGCGTATAGCTGAAATAAAGAAAGACGGGGTTTCAGTATGAATAATAGTACTTAACTGGGAGGAACCGTTGCTTCATTTTAGAACTTCTCAATCAGACCTGGTTGGACACATCAGCATGATCTCTACGAGTCATCCCCTCACCAATAGCACTCTGAAGATTAAATAACAAAAGGAAAAGTTCAGCATAAACTCCTTTAGGCATCTACTAGTTAACAAGCAGGTGAATTTCTTGTACAAGATGAAATGATAATACCTAATAGTCATACCTTCATTAATCGAGAAAGTGAAGGGAGTACATTAATTGGTGGGTATATCTGTTCAGAAAATCAATAAAGATAAGATCAATAATTATGCACACCATTCAAAGTTAGGCATTGACATTTCCTATCGAATTACATCTATTTGGCAACTTAGAACTCAATTAACATACTCGAATTCACATCACTTCAACATTATTGACAGTGTTTAAATCACCATTGCATGTATGCTTTCCGCAATTCATGAAGAATATGTACTATTGACAGTGTCAGGAGCAGGAAGCAAATTCAGTCAAACAGATATGTACAACAACAAAATTTTCCAAAAATATTAGCAAGCACAGTAGATTCCAAAACTGTGTTCCATGATTAAATCAATAATGAATAATGTTTCAGTCACCTGTCGATTGTAGAGTTGTCTATCAATGTATATCTGCCCTTCAGTAATATAACCAGTAAGATCAGGTGTAGGATGTGTGATATCTGGTCCACACAAAATAATCAACCAAATATAATATCAGATAACTAGTATTAAAACTTAAAAGAATGCTATATCATGCAGCGAGTTGCCTCGTACCATCATTAGGCATGGTCAAAATAGGAATCTGAGTGATGGAACCTTTTCTTCCTTCGATACGTCCTGCACGTTCATAAATTGTTGCTAAATCAGTATACATATAACCAGGATACCCACGCCTTCCAGGGACTTCTTCACGGGCAGCAGATACCTACAGGCATATACAAAAAAAAAAAAAAATGATGAATGATATCAGTCCAACATTAGCAAACATGATAATCTGAAAGAGCATCAATTTATCAGTTCATCAGATATAAGTGTCACTGTCAAATGGATTACATTCACTTGTTAAAGTCATTTCTAGCTTCTTAAAATACCTATGAAAGTTATTAAGCAAAACAACAGTTTCCCTTTATCTTTTTCAGTTAAAAACAGAGAGATGTTCAAAAAGCATTAACAGAACACTATTCGTCAGTATAGGGATAAGTTGACAAAGAAATCGTGTGCCATATATCCTCCAAGCTGAACAGCATAATGCATATATACCTCACGAAGAGCATCTGCATAAGAACTCATGTCTGTCAATATAACCAGAACATGTTTCCCACATTCATAAGCCAAGTACTCTGCAGTTGTGAGGGCAATTCGAGGTGTGATAATTCGTTCAATTGTGGGGTCATTGGCCTGTAAACACATTAAACAGAGCAATTCAAGAGAAAAAGACAGAGGAATGGACGAATTTCTTGATAAAAAGACTCATACACAAAGTCATTTTCAATGGGGAAAAACTCAATGACATGAATATCTATAACTTGAATTACTTTGCAGGAAAAGAAGAATGCTAAGAAAAATAGATTTATTAATGGAAATTACCAGGTTCAAGAAAAGGGTCACTCTTTCCATAGATCCATTTTCCTCAAAATCTCTCTTAAAAAATTGAGCTGTCTCCATGTTCACCCCCATAGCAGCGAACACAATGGCAAAATTGTCTTCATCCTGATCCTAGAAGTCAATTCACAAAACAGGACAATCACAAATTCAAAATTCGGGAAGGAAAAGAAGGGAAGGGGGAAACAAAAGTGAATTACAAGAAAAATCATTGAAATCCACTAAATAAACAATGGACATCAAACACACAGTAAAGTCAATCTTCATTAATATCACAGTAGGCTACAGTGTAGACATACATCAAGGAGATTATCAGACTTTTCCAACCACTTTACGAGACCCGCCTGACGACAAATTTGAGCAGCTATTTCATTATGAGGAAGACCAGCAGCAGAAAAAAGAGGAATCTTCTGTCCACGAGCAATAGAGTTCATGACATCAATCGTTGATATCCCCGTCTGAATCATCTCTTCAGGGTAAGTTCTCTCGCTAGGATTGATAGAACTCCCTGAGAAAGACAAAGAACAGATATTTACAGTGGAAACATAAATTGATCGATCCTTCAACTACTAGAATTCTAGTCTCCTGCATACACTCACCAGAAATATCAAGGTATGCCTCAGGCAAAATAGGAGGGCCATTATCAATGGGTTTTCCAGAGCCGTTAAATATGCGCCCTAGCATATCCGATGACACAGGAGTTTTCAAAACCTGTAAAACATACACTAGAAGGGGCTCAACATTCAAAAGCCATACAAAAATGATTAAACTGACCACCATTACTTTTCAAAAAAGTTTAAAATCACAACGAAGGAGGATTAAAGTTGCAACTAATGGATGTTTCAAGAATTTCCCTATTTTAGAAAGCTCTGCCTCATTCATTTTTAACCATAAAATTGTTATGAGTCAGCTCCAAGCACATACATCACTCAAAAAAAAAAAAAAAAAAAGAGAGAAAAAGATTGTGCATCCTAAAACGCAAGGTGAAAACTAACATTTCAAAAATAAAATACTAATGTCCAAAAGATCCTATAAAGTTAACCATTCTATTGACATCCAAGTTACACAAGCCATAATAAATTAAACCTACAGCACCAGAGAAAAGCAGACTTATTACCTCTCCAGTAAATTGCACAGTTGTGTATTTGTTGTCAATTCCAGATGTTCCTTCAAAAACCTGGAAAAGGAGAAAATAATAATGCAGTCACCATCTCAACAGACTTGAAGCCATTTCAGAACCAACTGTCAACGAATGCTTTAAGGAATTCATCTCTCATGGCAATGATATTATTGACTTTAATATATACATGTTATGTGTCAGGTGTGCGGTTCTCCACCATATTTTTTTGATCCATCAATATGGCCTTCAAATAACTATCAAACCTTGGGATCTCTAATTATATAAAACATGCCATGAATCTTTTTTCCTAGATGCATCAAAATTAATGGTTGCATGCTTGGACAAATACCTGCACAACTGCTTTCTCTCCATCAACTTCCAAGACTTGACCACGTCTAGTTGTTCCATCTCCTAAACGAATATTGACAATCTCCTGATACTTTGGGCCCTGGAACATTTCAAAATTATTTGCACCATATCATCAAACAACTAGCTATTAACTCTGAAGATAACCATCAAGGGATAGAAGAGCAAACCTACCTTAACTTTGTCAAGAATGACTAATGGTCCTGCAACACCGGACACAGTTCTATACTCTGCAAACCAAAAATCTCGCTATTAATGTTATAGATAATCTTCAAACTAACTAAAATAACTGTAAATTTTCACTCTAGCATCCAATTATATGCTTAGATCATATCGATGAAAAACACGAGTACTTCTTTAATTAAGAAATGAAAGAATCAAACATCCCTGTTGAATAGAGACATGATCAATCAACTAAAAGATGAAAACGAAACCTACTCGAACATAATCGATTTCATTTCAAAATAGATAAAAGAAAAAAAAAAGGTCAAGATTTGGCTATGATCAAGAATTCAGAGTCAAAGGCTTTGCATAATATGACAGTAAATAACAAATAAAATGTAAGCACGAGAGTCAAATGACTAAGTTACCCATTCCGATCTCCAGAGTTCCCTCCTCCATGTCAATGAAGTTCTTTTCTGCTCCCATCTTCAAGCTTAAAGCTGATTATAACATTAGAAAAACAGAACAAGAAAACATATCACTATTCACTACACTGAACCAATAGTTAAGCAGATCAAAAGGAAACCAGAAAAATTGAAAACGTTGTTTAGGATCCAAACAAGTAAACGCTGTTTCTTTTCTTGGCGATTGATTAAATCTAGATTTGCAAAGGTTTGAAACTATGTTCTTACCGCGATCAGAATTTGGAGAAATCGATCCAAAAAACGAGAGGATATAGCAAATTGGCTTCGGACAGGTCGATTGAGCGAAAGAGAAAGTGTAGAATAAAAATTATAAACAAAAAAAGAGAATTTAAGCAGTAAATGACAAATAATTTATGAGGTCAGGGACGGATTGATTAAAAGAAAAAAAATTGAAGAAATAACCGACTTTGCTCCGGTTACTTTCTCTCAAGTTTTTACCTCTCTGATAGTTACTGTTGTCGCGGACAAATTACAAGCAAGCATGTACCCGGTGATTTTTCCTTTCTATACAACTACGGTTTTTTTTTTTTTTTTTAAATTTGTAACTGGTAAGTAATAAAAAGAAGCCATCAAATAAAACTATAATTGGGAATTAGAATTAAAATAAGTAGTACATTTTTATTACTATATTTGCACTTTAACGTGGGGTCATGAAAAGTAAATGATTATTTTGTTTATCTACCTTGCCATATTTATGCCATTTAAGAGTGATAATAATTTGGTTTAGATTAAATTTGATTTAATTTTTTTAAAAATTATATAATAGTATAAAAATTTAAAATTAGATTTAAATTTTTATTTAATTTGAATCAAATCAAATTGAATTTTATTAGTTCAATTTGATTTGATTTTAATTTTTTTTAATTTTTATATATTATTTTAATATATTTAAGTATATTTTAATATAAAATTATTTTTTTATTTTATAAATATTTAAAATATATATAAATTAGGAAGAATATATAATTTAATTCTATTTTTTTATTTTTCATCTTTTTATCTGAATTTTATTTAAATATAATATATTTTTAATATTTAAATTTAATCAAAATTAAATAAAAAAATGATCCAAACTTAATTAAATATTATAATTTCAAATAGATTTTCAAATTTCTCTTTTTTTTTTTCTATCTCTAATGTTAAAACACTAGTCCTACTAGGATAATGTTTTCATTGACTGAAATAGAGATTTTTTCTATAATTTTAAGCAACGTGGCTATGCATATTCTATTTAGTAGTTTATTCTAACAAATTTAATTATTATATAGATTATAATTTTCTTATAAAAAAAGTATAAATATTGAAATTTAATCATTTGAATCATAAGACGTTAATTTTTTTAATATGATTAAAAAAATTAATTAAATTAAATTATAATATTTTTATATTTAAAATTATTATAATTTGAATCATAATAATTAAAATTAAACTTTTAACATTTTATAAAATCATAATTATAAATTAATTTTTGAATTCATATAGATTAAAGATTTAATCATTTAGATTGATCTTCAATTCCAAAATAGTAATTAATGGCTTTAATAGCAGCAACTATATAGTATTCTATGATAATGAAACACGACAATTAGATTTGATTATTATTGCTTCTAATTTCGATAGTTTCTTTTTTTTTTTTTAATGTGTTTATAGATTTCAAAAGCAAAAAAGCTTGCTTAAGTCTATTTCTTAAAATAAATGAAAAAGAAATTGTCTAAAAATGGAAACTTCAAAGAAACTTCCTCTTTCATTCCTATTGGTTTACACAAAAGACAGGTAAGATTGCCACGTTAGCACAGCAACACGCATGCCTCACGTGGTCGTCAGTGGAGCGGCGATCTGACGGCTGACGCTTTGAAATAATGTTCGTGCACCCAACAGTCGATAACATGTAATCATAACCAAAATGTCTAGAAAAGTTATTATCACATTACTTAGTCCCGTCTGGATTCTATTGTATTTTTTGTGCGATTAAATTTATTATATTATTAATTTAATTTAAATACTAGTTTTAATAGAATTAAATTAACATAATTGTTTTATTAAAAAGTTTTAATTATAATTACAGTAAATTTTTAATTAAAATTATAATAATTTTTATTTTTTTTAAATTTACCATAATCAATTTTATCACACGTTCAAATTATACCGTAATCAACAAAGAAAATAAACAATGGTATACGGAGCCTTTTGCAATTTGATACCCATGGGCCATGGCCATGTGGAGGGACTGTATCCCACAGTTATTGTCTCATATCCAAAATCTACAATTATTTGTTTTTTCCAATTTATGGGTTGAATATAGACTTATTCTCCAACAATATGATTGTTGAGCAAGGGGACTTCATTTGACATACTCATAAGTAAAAATCAGGCAGGTTCATCTATCTTGAGGCCAACAATCAAGCTGAACATCACTCAATTTGCAGCAATTGCAGATGCGTTAGTTCAAGTGACTAAAGAAGGGAAAAAAAGCACGATCATCGCCTTCCAACCACTACAATGCTAGCTAATTTGAATACACATTCTTCTTGTTTTAGCTACAATAATATTCCGAGTAGAAACCCACATAACAGTTTATAGAACATAGATGAAGGGAAAGCTAGCCAATCCCTACACTAGATCAACAAACAGGAGGTCTGATCATCCTGATTATAGCAGATTAATCAAAGCTCAATTAGCAACAATTAATTATTAGCACAAGCACCAGCTCAAAGTCACCTGCCTTCAATTGAGCCTGCAGAGGGCAAAGCTCTCATGCACCTGGGGTGCACCTCGTACCCACATTCCAGACATTGGTAAGCCCAACCAAACCCCTGCTCGTCACAATCACAGCATATAAAGGGCCCTCCTCCAGTGCCTTCAGATACCAAAGTAAGCTCATGGCGGTGACCTGCATGATACTCAGATCTTGGTAAGCTCTTAGCTGCCTCCTCCACTTCTTTCTCTAGCAACTCCACTTTGGCATCAGTGAAAGGGTATGCATTTTCCTGGTAAAGATTTATAAGGCTTCTACCTTGCTTGGTTACAGTTTTGCCGTCAGGCCCTATAATTATCAAACAAGGAATGCCTTGCACATCAAAGTATTTTGCAAGGCTTCTAATAGTGGGGTCTCCAAAAGGCAAAGCTAGCCATGGCATTGTACCAAAGTACGAGTCAAATGAACTTTGATCGCGATCATTTGACACAAAAACAATTTCAAAATCCTCACCACTTTTTTCTTTCAAAGTTTGCTTGATTTTCTGGTAGATGGATATCAGTTTGGGAGTGAACTTAACACATGGAAAGCACCATTGCGCTGAGAAGTAGAGTCCAACGGTCTTACCTATCAAGGAATCAACTGGCACCTGCAAAGGAAATATATACAATTTAATCAGGACTGAATAAGGTGCATTAATCTCAAAATCCTCATATCGAAGCTACGCATTCAAGCATGGTCCTGGGCATGCCATTCTTGTGCTCCCCATTAGATGAGAATCACCATAGTCAAATGCCTAGAATGAGGTTCTCTTTCTTAAAGCTCTGCTATTTATGAACACAAGAATAGAATCATTAAGATAATTAATGAAAACCTAAATTCTTCTAAAAGAACAACCATTTTAGGATATAATATATATTTAAAAGAGAAAAAAAAAAGTATGATTTTGACTTCTGTTCTCATAAAATAGGAAAAAAAAAGGTGCATGATTGCTTAAAGCAGACAACAGTTGTGGGGACGAATATAACTAAACAGTGAATTTTCTTTGGTGCAAGTAAACAGAGTGTAATGCATGCATACATGACTAGAAATGTGTGGGATGCATTCCATGCAATCAAAAAGAGACAGTCATAAATACTCTCTCATCAGCTACATGTAAACCTCATCCAATCATTAATTATTATCAGCAAGATCTTGAAAACGAAGCCATAAACAACATAGTGCTATTCCTTTGCGAAGATGTCAGCACTGACCTCTTTAGTTGTGGTTTGACCCAAAATATAGTCTCTTTCAGGGTTTGTTAGTAATTTGTTCACCGTCTGGCTCTCATGCTTCATCCTCTCTTCCCTTTGCAATTCCTCCAACTTTTCTTTGGTAAATGGGAAGGCTTCGAAGCCATACCGGTAAATAAGTTCTACGCCATCATAGAGAGTTGCACGATCCTTATTATCATCAGGTTGCAAAATAACTAAGCAAGGAATTCCTTCAACTTCAAATTTTCGGTTCAAGGCCTTCTTTGTCTCCAAGTCAGAAAATGGAACCGAAAGCCATGGCATGCTTTCGCGGTAACTGTTGAAGGCATCCAAGTCTTCATCGGATGATACAAACACAATCTCAAAATTAGACCCATTGCTCTTCAGCTGCTCATAGACATCAATCATTACTTGATTGAAATTTCTACATGGTGGATACCAGTTAGCTGAGAAGTAAATCCCAATCACTTTGCCCTCAAGATCCGAAATTTTCACCTGCTGTAAAGAAACCAAGTAATAATGAAAGGTCAAATTGGAGCCATTCAGAACTAATGAAAACTCAAGTTTGTTTCTCCACAAACAAAACACAATTTCTCAACTACCCTTTTCCGTCATGAGCCCGCACCAATGACCCTTCTACATTTCATCTAAGGAAATGTATTTAAAACCACAGAGAACATACATACTAACTAGGAAAGTAGCACATGTAAGAAACCATTCCACAAAAAATCAAGCCTAGAAACCCACAAAATTTGAAAGTGATGTGCCACCTGCTTTGCGGTATTGTAAGGATAATATGCCACGCGTTCAGCTATATACAGCGTTAATGTGAGGCTAAAGCGATGAACAATAATGCTGCATGTCCTCCCAGCTTAGTTGTTCACAGCACAACAGCAGTGTGGGAACCCATATCGATGAAGACAGGCATATTTGTCATACTTTAGTCGTAACAAGGAGCACTGTTAGGGCACCACCACCTAGTAAAGTAGGAGAAAAGGGGGAAGGATGGAGTGGGGTTTGAATTAGCCCAGCATCCCACTCTCATTCCCTGTTGCCTTCCCCACAAGAGCAACATAACCACGACAAGAACACCGCAAAGAATATTTCTTCACCACCAATTTTGTTCGGGCAATGTTCGACAGCCGACAAGAGGGTTACAGATTATCATTATGCATCTTATACCGTCTTTCAATTCTCAATCCCAGCTGATTTAATGTGATTCCATACCAAAGTAGCAGCATATGTTAAAAGATTCACCTTATAATTGTCATAATTACGTAAGACCCAAAATTTTTTCCTTTCAAAACTAAATCAACATCATTATCAGCTTAACAAGTTAACAAACTACAACTACTGAAATAACATAAGATCTACTCAAGTAACAAGTTCTATCAAACAATTCCATATGTTTCTTCATTTTTAGTGGAGCTATAATATTCCCAGATGAGTATCATATCTACAATTTATATCATAACTTAACATATGGGGAGATGGATTTAATTGGATCTTTTGCGAACCAAAGTTCCTGGAAATAATATGTTAGATCTCTTCTTCATTCCAATCACTCAACACAAATCGAACTAACTTAATACACCTAATACATGAAATATACAATATTTTCCAAATACTAACTTAATTACTCCATTGTTAGACATAACCAAAGAATTTGGTGAGGATCCATGGTACTTAAACTAACCCACCTTTAGACCTTATCCTATATAAATTGATCAAGAGTGAAAGCCAGATGTCAACATAGATGAAACAAAACTATATTGTACTGAAGAAAGAGCATTAGCCGTTGAGTTTCTTGCCATTTCAAAACCCTAATGAACTTCCCTCTCTCTCTTCCAAAATAAAAATTATTTAATATGACTAAGAGCTAAGTTCTTAAGACTGCTGATTATTGGAGTAATTCTATATTTTCGTCCCAAAGTAGACCAACTAACTTACCCGCCACCAGCCATCTGTCTGGTATTTCCAGCAGTCACTTGCTACCAAACAAATCTCTTCACAGATAGATAATAATAGTTTTTTTGTATAAGTAGTAGTTTAATAAAATAAGTTATAATCATTGTTAGGTTTTATTTTGTGGATAATTTTTTTAATAAATAAATTTAATTTTTTAGAATAATACTAAATACTAATAACAGTTATAGAAGATCCGACTGGAAGATGTGCATGTAGTTTCAGTATGAAGTATAGCTAGAGAAGAAAATGGAAAAAGAAAAGATAGAAAAGCAGTCGATCTATGACGATCTATAGATTAGAAAGGTTCGGAAGAATATGATTGAAATGAAGCCATGAGTGAGTTAGGCCAAAAGCGAGTGCATGCTTTCATCTCCGACCGACAGGCCACAACTTAGTTTTACATTATAAAATATTAGATACTTAAAAAGATAAAGTACAAATGTTTCAGTAAAGAAGAAAACAACCCATGTATAAGCCTGGTAGTACTGCTAACAAAAACCCAAGGGATGTTGCTAGATATTTTCCTTACATAAAAAGGAAAAAGAGAGAAAAGGAAACCTGATCAGCTTCAGCTTCCCTGGAGCACAGAAGATAATCACGATCTTTAGAAGCCAAAAGAGAAGAGAATCTAGATGTCGAAATCTTCTCAGAGTCACCGTTTGTCACAGTTTGAACCAGGCTGTTGGAGTTATCGTCCAAATTCATCTCCTTCATCACCAGTCTTTCTCTCTCTCTCTTCGTTTGCGTGTCCAGATTAAGTCAATGACCAGGCTCTTCACTCTTCAATGCTTCCAATGCTTATATTCCTTGGAACCATATTCTTACGCATCATTGTAGCATCCATTAAACCCCCATCTTCCATCAGCATTCACTCACTCCAAAATTGTCATGAGAGAACTCCAACACTGTTGCTCATGTACATTAACAATAATGCTGCGGTCCATGCGGAGCCGACTGATTTATTGATATGAACGACCCATATTTAATTGGTCAGGTCCGTAATCAGCCACGCGTATGACTTTTTGGTTTGACACATTGGCTTTGGAGAAAAAAGCAGGTTAACCCAAGCCAGCATTGCTAAGCTATGGTCTAGGTCACGTGTCGTCATAAAGACTTTGAATTGATGTTGCGAAAGCTAAACAAACGTAAGGACACCTGTCTCTCTACCCTGCTCTCTCTATTTACTTTATAATTTTTAATTTAGCTATTCATTTCAAGGCAAGATATATCACAGAGTAATTAAAAATAAAATATAAAACAGTTTACCCAATGCAAAGGTGTAAGATTTGAACTTTGGCAGGTACCAAGGGTCCCCATTTCTTTTTGGATAATAATACGACCGGATTGGAAGTTTAGGACAGAGATAGAGAAAGAAAGGCATAGAAATTGTTGAAGAAAAGCAGCAGCCAGGTTGTAAAATGTTGCTATGCTGACAGCTTTCTCCGACCTACCTCATCTTTATAAGGGAATGGCACTTGTAAAGATGTTTACAGAAACCTTACAATTCTCATTCTACTATAATATATTCAGAAACCTGAATGTTAACTTCTCCTTGGAGAATTAGCTTGTCCTTTGATTAATTGCTTCCGGTTGTGCATAATTTGACTTGTAATTTTCAGCAATAAGTCCTAACTCAATATCAAGCCATTTTAAATAGAATATATTCTGGTAGAATGGCATCAAGGTTGTAAAAGTTAATTAATTAATTCAAATAGATAAATCGATCATTGTGAGATAAAATTAATACAAAATCATGCACGATGATTTTAACTTGGAATTTTATAATTTCAAGATTTTTTTCTTTATTATTAAAACAAAATCTCTTTAACCAAAATGGCCGAGCTCACTGCTAAAAACAGTTTCGCTGATAAAAGGTGGGTCAAATTTATCGTACAACATGAAGAAAAATATCTGGGACCGTACGAATAGGCCACCTGTAAGGCTAGAAGGACAAGTGTCACATGATCCATAGGGGTAGTTGTTGGGTTGCTTCAATGATTTCAATTATTCGAATCTCAGAAATTGGGTCCCACCACAATAGCCCCCAACAATACGTCGCAGTGAAATAGCCCACGTGTCAAACACACTGCCGTATCGAACTGAGTAAAAGCAAAAGGCAGCTGCTGCCAATCCCTGTTTGGTTTGAACCTCGTGAGCTACGAGACAGCACATCGGCGTTCGTGTCAGGTTCTTTTTGGAACACGTGTCGCATAGTACGTATGTTTGGTAACACGCTGGTACTACTTCATTCATGTAAATGACTCGAGGAAAAGATAGGGAAAGTTAAGCTTTTTTTTTTTTTGTGTTACTTTGGATGTAAAGCAAAACCAAACCAAACCAAACCAAACCAAAGCTTAACAGTTTAACAACAACAGTGAAATAGGCGAGTCTCTCAAAGTGCACAAACTGTATAGATAATGATACAATTTTAAAACCAGCAACAACATCAACACACAAACAAAAAACAAGTAGTTGAATAAGTATGTTATTAAAGTGATGTGACCTTCCTTCTAATGATATTTAATTTTTTTGTAATTTTATACTTAGATTGAGATATATCATTTAGAATGAATTAATTTTAAATTAAATATTTAATATAATATTAAAATTAAAATTTATTATTATTATTTTTTAAAAATTATCACGTGATAATTTTTTTATTTTTATTTATAAGTGATGAAATTTATTAAAATAATATTTTTTATATTTAATAGATATTTAATTTTTTATAATTTTATATTTATATTGAATTTTTTTACTTATAATTAATTAATTTTAAATTGTCATATGCTAATCCTCGATTATACATGCACAAACATCCTGTTTATGTTATTCTTGCGGATGTTTATTTTACTCTTGCCATCTTCTTTAAAACTTGAAACTGCATCTGAACCATGGCCTGGGATTTAAACACCCTAATAAAAAGCAGTGGAGGCTTTTGGGCCGGTTCACGCACCCCGAGTACCATACTTCACCACAATATTAAACAAGATTATTAGATTATTTTTGGTATTTGATGTCAGGAGAGATTAAATTTTGAATATGAAATTAAAAATTTAATATTTTATTGAAAAAATTAAATGACTACTGCTGTCTTAAGAATTTTAAATTTAGTATTTTATTCAAAATTTTTAATTTTTTTTATAAATGATCTCTTTATATATATATATATATATATTCGTTTTTTTAATAAAGAATCACGATTTCAATCCAACTACAGCCTTTGTTACAAACTTCACGTCTACATGCTGCGCACGTGCTCTCTGTATTTAAAACGATTAGTGTTTTAATAAAACTCGTTAGATATCGCGACTTCCATGTTCCATCCTAGGTTGATAAATTACGACTTTGTGAGCTGCTTGGACTATGTTTGAGTCGTTTTAAATTCAAACCAGGCCCACTTTTTTTCTCATCAAGCCCATATAACTATATATTATTTAAGTTGGGTCAACTTACGAATCACAGCATGATGAGTAAAAAAAAGTAACGATGTATGCACAATCGCACAACTTTAATTTAAAATTTTATTTTAAATGTTTAATTAAATAATTAAATTTGAATTTAATTGAAATTTTATGACTATAACATGCCAGATTTAAATAGTAATTCTTATAAATTCAAATTCGTGAAATTTGAATTCCATAAAACATGCAAGTGACGGTCTTTATTTTGTCAAATGCTTAAATATAAAATAGATTATAACTTTAACATTGTATATAAAATACCCAATGATTCTACATTTTAATCAGTAACTTAATAACCACTTTAATAATATAAATTTTCTATTACTCTCACCTCTTATTGCTGGTTAGGTAATATGTAACAATTGGAAGATATATAAAGGTGGAGTCTTGGTCAGATGGCAATTAAATTGCCTAATAAATGTAGATGATTTAAGTTGGTTAAATTGTGTTATCAATAATTATACTTAATTTAAAATGTAAATTTAATCCTTCTATAACAATTTTAATAATTGACATTATTTTTAATTTTTACGATTTGAAATCTTAATTTAATCCATAATTAACATCAACATATAATTATTTGAAAATTTTGTTATATATTTTTTTAATTTCCTTTCATATTTTGCTTTCTTCTTTTAAAAAGAGACAAATCTCAAGAACCGTGTGTATATAAAATAGACAGCTGAGACAGTGAGATACTGCTAGTATTAGCAGTCGGTGAGCTGCCCTGCCATTGCAATACTTCATGCATCACCAACCTGCCACCAGTCACTCTTCAATCTTCACGCACAAAACACGGGGGACCATCTGGGAAATTTGGAGAACCTCAAGGACTGTTCTGTAATCTCATAATATTCTTTATAAAATATGAAATCAATAAAAGGGATTTGTCCCCCTTAACGTGGCATTACCATATTGATGCAGGCTGGCGTCCATAGACGTAAATGCTTCGCTTCGCTTGCAAGTTTAGAACATACACACCGGCTAGAATATCCCCTGATACTTCAAGTTTAGAACATTTGCTGTTTTTTAGAATCGAATTTTGATCAAATGGGTGATCAACCAACTCACCAAAGCATGAACAAAAAGAAGTATCTATATCAAACGGTTCCTAAAAGCTATAGGTTTTGACTCAAGTACTAATAGTAGTTGGTGCTGACATGTATGCACCCATGCCAATTCATGTGTCTTTACTTTTAATTATTCTATATCAAAATTTTCTTGCTTTCCCTTTGAATCATCATCTTCCTTTTTCAACTTCCACACCAAAAAAAAGGCAAAAAAGCAAGCTCCTCAAGTATGGAGGACTTTTGCCCACCCAGCAGAAACCCATGTCATGTACAATATCAATGAAAATGAATTTGACCAGCAAAATATAAATAAAAAAGAGAAAACCCATACATGCAGGAAAGTGAAATAACTTAGATGAACATATATCTATCTTCTCTTTCCTAGAAAAATTATCCTTCATACAAACATCGAAGACTGACCTTTTATACTCTTAAAAAGAAAACCTTTGTTTCTTTTTGAAGGAAGTTAAGGCTTTAGCAGGGATTATCATCGGAAGGATCGAAAAACATAGGCTCAAGCGTGGCCCTACAAACAGGACAAACCGAATGCTTCAAAAGCCAAGTATCAGCACATTGCAAATGAAACCCGTGATTACAACCGGGAACCATTCTAGCTAGTTGATCAGCCTCAATCTCATCGAGACAAACCGCACACTCAGTCCCCAACACAAGCTCCTTCCCTGTAACCTTCGGGAGCTTCTCAAGCTCTGAAACAGACAACCCTTTCTCACCCACCTGCTTAACCGCTAACGACCCTGAATTATCAGTCCGATAGTTCGTAGCATACCATAAAAGACAGATATAAACAATGAAAACCATACTCATGCCAGCGCATGGAAGAAAAAGGGCTAAGAAAACAGAAACCAGCATTGAGTGGTGGTGGTGGTGGCTGCTGGTGCCGACGGAGGTGTTTAGGGAGGGCGATGGAGAAGGACAAAGGAGAGGCGGAAGGGTGTAGTGCGCTCCATGGCGCATAATAGTCAGCTGATTTATGGAAAAGTGTTAAGTTTTTCTTTTTTTTGGGGGGGGGGACGGGGGTTCTTCTTGGGAAGGAGCCTAGGATGGCTTGGTGTGAGATTGGGGTGGTAGCGGTTATATTGGGAATAGAAGAAAATGGAATTGTTAGCGGTTTTAGAGATGATGCGTATCGTGGCAGACAAGCAAAAAGGATCCCAAGCGGCACTGACGAGTTTACAGTTGGGTTTATTTATATTTTTCCTTTTTACTATGTCATAATAATTCGATTTAATAAGACCAACACACATTTGGCACAGGGCTTACTTTTGTGTTTGGTGCGTGGGAGAACTATGGCTGAGTGGTAAGAAATGTTGTGCACCTGATCAGGGTTGTGGCTGGGGGAAGAAGGGGGGGGGGTGCTCTGGCCTCTGAGCCTTAGGTGGTGGCTGAATTGTAGCAGAAATTTGGCTTAGAAGGGAGAAAATGATTGGTAGTGAGATTTGGTATGGCCCATTGAATTATATAAACTTTTAATAAATAATTATGCGTTCGACTGTGGAGAATGGGACCCTATCACCCAACTCGTTATATTAAATTGGATTATCAGCTAAAAAGGTATTGAAAGATTAGATTTGAGGATAGGCCATATCCCATGATTTTGCAAATATCATTGCATCCATTAAAACAACACAACAATATAATGTTGTCTCCAATTGGTGTTTTCATTAACCATTTGCCCCAAACGCTAACCAAGAAAAAGAATTGTTGTTTTGAGTTTGCTTACAATATTGTTAGGTCCTAGCCTCTTAGGTGATGGAGAGGGTTTAGGACAGCTATTCGTATTGACGAGCGTTATGTCAAATTGTCAATGAATTGGATGTGCAAAAGACTTGCTTGGGCCGCCTTGGCCCTTGCACTTTAATGTAGAAAACCAATGTAATTAATCAGAGTTGTGGGCCAGTAGCCAACAGATCCCATAAACTTGGCTCTGAGATGAAAGAAAGGCTCCTACTAAAACAAAGTTTTCAGTCCCCCTGACAAGTTTCAGATGATGAACATCGACAATTCATATATGAAATGAAGATAACATACAAAGTTTTACAACTTCAAAAAGAAAGAAGAGGATTAAAATATTCCTTTAACTTTATATCTTTAACGGTGGACCTGCAAACAAGGAGAAAATTAGTCAGAACTAGTCCCCAGATGTCATGAACTTAACGAAGCAAACTGGGTGATAAACAGGATATGACACTTATTAATTGATTAAATGTGGCCCCATTCAAAGATAAGATTAAACAATTCATCCATTACAGCATTTTATCAACATCATCATTGCATTTTGTAGCTTAAGTTTGCCTCTGCAATAACAGCTGCATATCACAAAAATAAAGCCAATGCACCCACTCATACGTACTTAACAAAAAAATGGTATGTCTGTTTTAAAGGATTACCTTTTGAGAGTAATAATTCCGATCACTATAGCAAATATGAATAAGTTGGAGTCCTAATGCCGGTATAAAATATGGTTATCTCAAGCTACCAAGATGCTTTAAGCTTTTCTTGATCACTATCCAATCTTCCTATGATATATGATTTTGATTTCACATCTGGAGACAGGTCAAGAGTCACAGACAGATAACTCTACATTGTCGACAAAAGTTTGAGCATACCCTAAGCACCAACTAGAAAAAGGATCCATTTCCTGACTTGAGAATCACATGAAATCCGAACCTGCAAATTCAGCAAGCAAACAAAAGAGTGGTAATGTGGTAGTTACTCACAAATTAAGAACATTAGACTCATGCTAAAAATTGGTAGAAATTGTGATCATAATATCACAGCATCTATACAATGGAACTTCAATAACATGGAAATAAAAGAACTGACAAAAATTTCCAGGGAAAATTTACCCGTGCAGCAGTAGCAAGGTCCCCGCCACCAAACTGTATCCAATTTATATTAGCACCTAGCAGCACTTGAGAGCAACCCTCCCTTTCTTGGTCAAGAATCAGAATAAATTACATATCAATTGAAGTATTTTGCTGCAAAGAACTTTAATTCTCGAACAAGTAACAGTTGCTTTAACAGCTAACTTAAAATCATATTCCAATTTTCCAAGATAGCACTTTCCAACGTTAATTAGGTGTTGTGCTCACGGGAGGGCATACGACGGGAACTAAAGTTCCAACTATCTATTCAACGTGAAAGTTCCTTCCAGGCCTAATAGTGCTGCAGTACACAGTATCAAAGTCACTACCAATAAGGCTACAAGCTGCCTCCTAATAACAGGATAGCAGAATTGAAGCCAGCCAAGGTGGAGCATGTTTCCGTAAAAGCTCAGATGTCCTGATACTTTTCTTTGAGCACCAAAGGAAGAGCATGGAAGATTGAGGTCCGCACAAATAGTGACAAGAGGGTTGTAATCTGTTACACCAACAAGCACGAAATGAAGGACAAAGCACCCACAAACAGTTTAACAGTATCATCAATTTGAATTAAGATATCCATCATGATGTTTTTAGGCTTCAAAGGAAACTGAGACTAGATGTTTATCTTCATTTTAAGACAACGTTTAGTTTACTCAACTGAGGTTTTTTGGTGTATTTACAACCAATACCAGCTTTATAAGTAGGATTCATTCCAAAGCAATGTTGGTTGAATTTGCTTCAGTATTTTCAAGAGTAAAGATGGCTTATCGACTAAAACTTGGGCAGCCATAAAATCTTTCACCAATAATCCCCACAGGAACAAACTCCATCTTTAAAATGATGAAAGCGGTTTGTGTCTCTGACATATATTTCTCTCCCTTCAAAGCCAGATATAAATTTTATAAGATCATGACAATCACCACAGATTCTGAGATTTTTTATTATTTGCAGGGGAGAGCCAGGAGGAGTGTTCAGAAGGCCAAAGGCAACTGCTAACTTCTCACTGTGCCCACATAAGATTTGCTCCTTGTCCTGCTCGTCCACATCTTGCAACACCAAGTTGGTATCTGGGAGGTAACCTGCTTTCTTCATCTCCATGCTCAATTTATACAACTTCTCAATGATCGCAGTCATTTGAGGATGTGATTTGTCTCCTGCAAGAAGCATGTGCACTTGGTTCTTGATCTCAATCCAACTGCAACCAGGATTCTTCTTCATGCCTCTACTCCTCATGACATCTCTTAAGGCATCTACTTCATCCCACATGGCCTTAGACGCATATATATTGGAAAGAAGGATGTAATTTCCAGGATTGGTTCGTTCTAATTCAAAGAGACTCCTTGCAGCAATCTCACCTAAACTAATATTATTGTGAAGCCTACAAGAACTAAGCAAAGCTCCCCAGACACAGGCACCTGGTTCAAATGGCATTTGCTTGATCATGGCATATGCGTCTTCTAGCTTTCCAGAACGACCTAGAAGGTTTACCATGCAGGAATAGTGCTCCATTTTTGCTTTGATTCCATGGTCTTTATACATGCTATTAAAAAAGTGCCAACCTTCTTCTGTTAGACCACCCTGACTGCAAGCAGATAATACACAACTAAAGCTAATAAAATCAGGCTTGTGCCCTCTCCTTTGCATCAAATGAAAAATATCAATAGCTTCCTTAGCCTTACCATGCATTGCATAACCTCCCATAATTGCATTCCAACAGACTGAGTTTTTGTTTGCTATCCTATCAAAACAAAGCCGAGACAAATGGATTCTTCCACACTTAGCATACATATCAACTAACGCACTGCTAACATGAACATCATTGTTAATTCCTGTTCTGAGGGCAAAGCCATGAGCTGCTTTTCCATGTATCAGTGCTGCAATATTTCCACAAGCTGGTAGCAAGCAAGGTATTGTTACAGAGTTTGGCTTCACCCCTGCACTCTGCATCTCTCTGAAAAGCCTCAATGCTTCAATATCCTTCCCATTTTGTGAGCATCCAGCAATCATTGATGTCCAGGTTACTACATTCAATTCCCTCCCTTGTGCTCTAAATCTCTCAAATGTCTCCAATGCTACATCAACAAGACCATTTCGAGACAGTCCAGTTATTAAAGCATTGCGAGCACCTACATCCAAAACATCCTCATCCGTCTCTTCAAACACTTTCATCAACTCCCCTGCACATGCACACTTTCCATACATATCAATAAGAGCGCAAATAACAAATTTGCAATGCAAAAGACCCAGTTTGATCACATAACAAAGAACCTGAATCCCTATATTTAACCTCTCCAAATCGCCCACAGCAGAAAGAACACTTGAAATTGTAATATCATCAGGCTGAAACCCTTCCGAATGCATTTCCTGAAACATGACGACCGCTTCATTATAGTTTCCACTTTGATTGAACCCTGTAATCATACCATTCCAAGACACTAAATTGGGTTCCAAACGCAAACTTTGCATCCTATAAAAGATTTCTTTTGCCTCACTAACGCAACCCTCACGAGCATAAGCTGAAAGCAAAGCGCTAGAAGTAACCACATCCCCTTCCGGCAATCTTTCATACACATCCCGAGCATCCCGGATCCGATCACTTTTTAAGTACAAGTGCACCAAAGAAGACTGAACAACGGAATCTGAAGCAAACCCATGCTTACAAACAACGCTATGAACCTCCCTGCCCAATTTGAAGGCCGATAATTTACCGCAAGCCTTGACAACATTTGGAAGCACATGATTATCCGGTAAAATACCATGAGAGAGCATGCGAGAGAAAACAGTAAGCGATTGGTTGAAAAGATTGGACTTGTTGAGAGCATAAATGAGAGCAGAAAAGGAAAAGATAGATGGCTCAGATATTGAGTTAAGGAGACGATCTGCTTCGGCAAAGCAACGGTGATTAGCATATTGTGAGATGAGTTTTGTCGAAATAAGGGCATCATTACAAACTCCAGATTTTAGTATATAAGCATGAGCCTGCCTGGTTTGTGATACAGATGCTATGGCTGAGTTCAGGCAAGGAAGGATTGAACGATTCAGATTTTCGAAAAATTGCAGAGCTTGCCTCGTCATGGCTCGTCGTCACCGCCCAAAATTTGAACCAGACGCCTCCTTATAAGGACATCGGTGCAACTTGCAAAGGCAGGCTTCCGTACAGTGGGGGTTGATATTGCCACGTCAGTATTACTTTCAGCTTGATGGGCTAAACTTTGGGCCACATTTAAAAAAACTAGTATGGCCCGGTAAGTTCGGCTCATGGACATCAGAAAGGAACCAAAATCGTTAAGGGTTCATTTGGAGTTGACCAGACCCCCGGTTCGGTGCGGCGAGGGGATTGTTTGGTCTCAATCGAGCCGGTCACCCATTTGGATAGCCTCCAGTGCTATATCGTATCTTGATTTCAGTGGCTGACTGAAGGTTTCCTCTCCAATGGCTAATTGAGTGTTATTTTTTTTAACATCCTGGCTTGTTGTTTTAATAGTTATTTGGGAAAAGTGTCTGGCTTTAACAAATTGGTTTTGAATTTAACATATCTCCCTTGGAAAACCTCTTACTTGGTCTGTTGTTTTCATTGAAACCTGCTAAAAAATCATTTCTTTATGACGACTTTGATGTGAGTTTGGTTTGATGGATTTTCGTTTTGTTCTTAAAACGATTTGGCTTTTGAGAGGTTTGGGTATTGGAAATTGCAGTTAACATGACCATGCATCTGCTACTTCCCGTGCCTTGCACATTGTAAACCTGCTCAATCCTTGTGATACTTTCCATTTGTTGGAGTACTTCTTTGTGCATCAGGTTCAGATGTTTTATTTTCACCTCTTTCCATTTTGATTTTAATTTTTAAATATATTTAGTAATGTTTGATCTTCATGATAAACTGTTTCTTTTAGTAGTTTTAAAGCTGCTTCTATTGGATTGCTATTGTTAGTTTCTCTTCATATTTGACGTGTACCTTTCTGTTAGTGATACGTTTTTGAAGCACTTTATATCATTCAGATTCTCAACTGCGTTTTTAGCTTTAATATTATGCATTGCAAAAGCTCTCTGTCCCTGATGGCTCCGAGGTTTGGTGTTCATGCTCTAGTTAATCTTGACCTCCATGTTAAAGCCATAAAGGTAGATTTGAGAAACAGTTTGTGGCTGATAAGTGAACGTTTGCATTGTTGTTCAAATGGAAATTCAAAATCAATTTTAGCTTTGACATTTAACACGACCATATGACTATCAATTAGCCACATTTATTTGCATGTGTTATTGCATGCATGTTTGATTTTATTTGGATTATTGGACACTGAACTTGTTGGGTACAATTATTTAACAGGAGAGATTTTTACAATTCCCAAACATGCAACAAGTCGAGACTCGAGAGTTGCTGTTCTGAATGAGATTATAAAGTTCACAACAGAAGCAGTTGGGAACTCCTCTTATTCTGCAATTGCATCAGGTTTTGTTGACAGCAAGACTGATCTTAAAACAAGAGTTTCTTTCAAGTTATATCTTTTCCCCACCTGATCTGGATAGAGAAAAACTCTTCCTTTTCCTTTCTCTTCCTGTTTCTTGTAGGTTCAATGTTTTTTTTTTTTTTTTTTGGATCGGCTGTGATTTATTTATCCAAAGAAAGATGAGTTCTGCTCCAATGCAACTATATCCCACACAACCAGCTTCCAATAGCTACGCTACTATACACTATCATTCAGTATTTACACAGCAGTCAATATATTGGTGTTAATATTCCAAGCAGCACACAAATCCTTCTTCACTGAGTCAGCAGTATGCAGACCATTTAATCGATTCCTAACAGCGGCCTTTGCTTGATCAAACACTTGGTCAGTTGTCTTTTTTGTATTCCTGTACAACCTGTGATTTCTTTCTCTCCATGTTTGATATATTCAAGCACTCCAAGCAATATTCAAGATGATCGAGGTCGGTGCTTTCCCTTTCATCCTGCTCTGTGCCCACCTTACCTTGCAGCTCACTCCCTTATTCTTCCTTCCAACATTGTAGATTCAATGTTGCCGGTGATAGTGCAATCAAATGCATAGTATGACAGTACAGAGTTATTTTATATCCAAAGCATCATTTTAGCATGGTGTCATCTGTGATCAATCCCTTATTTTCATGGACTATATGCACATGCAGTTTCATTATTACTTCTACTCTATCTCTGCTATGCTTTGTACGTGCCATTAACATTGTGATTATCTTCTGAGATGCAGTATAAAGCTTCAAGAGGGGTGTTCGAGACACCCTCTTTCGACATCAACGGATTTGCATTGCCTGATTCTGACTCCCCACTAGATTATAAAGCATGGAGAAGCTTCATTGATCCATTGCTTGCTGCACAGGGCAGAAAGAGAGACGATTAGCCGCACTTATTTTATCGAAGGATTTAGCTTTTGAAGATTAGACCTATTCAAGGATCAAATTATTTATCCAAATTTAAGGTTCATTTAAATTTTGAAAATAAAAAATTAAAACTCGTTAAAAGAACTTGAATATAATTTTTAAACCAATTTAAATTTCAAATAGGATCTTGGACCAAAAAAAAAAATTTAACCCAATCTAATATGATCGAATTCATATATATATATGTGATTTTATATAAAAGTTAATTTATATATATATAAATTAAAAATAAAAATAATATATTTTATTGAATTTAATTTAATCTTTAATTTATATATAATGAATTAAATTTACTATCATTAAACTTAATTTTATTATATTTTTTATTATATAAATTAAAGTTAATAAATGAACTTGAGATTTATTTTTTTAATTTAAAAAATTTTGAAATTCAAAATATTAAATTAAACAAAACCTGAATAAATATAAAAATTCAACCCAATCAGACCTCTTAGCTCCTCTGTTCAGGACGTATAAAGGCATGTTAAGACCAAAAGATTTTGCTAACTAGAAATGTACACCCACTGAATTGGCCAGTGATTTGAGAGTTTCACAAGTGGATTTTTTTGCTAAATTGATGACTAATGATGTGGAAAATACATAATAAAAGTAGATTACATGTATCATTATTCTTTACTTTCTTTGTTTGTTCCTAAACCTGACTATAGAACAGGCTAGAAACTGGCATAGGAGTTTGAGTTGGGTCTAATACGTGGTGCCTTACTTTTGCCCCTGCTTTGGATTGAGGCATGAACTTTTTTTTTTTAATGTTAAAAAGCTTTGTTTCTTTTTCAGCTTTGTAATAAAATAATTTGGTTTTGCAATCCAAGTTTCAAAAACTTCTTTTTGAAGTATGTTTGCATGTACAATGCAACTTTTTTTTATTTTTTTTGGCTAAGCTTTGTAGTCGAAATAATTTGATTTTGCAATCCAAATCCATCAACTTCTTTTTAAAGTACGTTTGCAAGTCAAATGCACTATTGAGAGAAAATTATTTTTTATTCCAATATTTTTAAATTTTTTTAGGTATTTTATGCATAAATAAATACTTTCACAACAATATCTAATAAGAACGAGAAAGGTTAAGTATAAAAAATTTGTTAATTTAATGATACAATAAAAAGATGATTATGAATTTTAATTATTAAATTAATAATTTTTTCATTTTTATTTTTTTATCAAAATTTATAAATCATATTTTTTTAAATCGTTACAATAATATCAAACTAAACCTTTATTGACTTCCAACTTGAAACTATATATCTTGTCTAACTCTTTCATGATACTATGAAAGAAAAGGATAAATTTTAATTGAAAAATTTGGAAAAATTTTCCATTAATTTATAATTTAATATAACATGATAGTACCAAACAACAAAATTATAACAAAGGTAAAGAAATTTACTAAAGCATTAATCAAAGATTATTACTGTTGGGAGAACATATAACCATGTTACATATAGTTTTCAAAACCTATTAAATGAGATTTTATTTTGTTAAATCAAATTAAAAAAAAAAAAAAGAGTAACAGAGGAAATTTCAAAAATTTGGAATGTTTTTGCAAATTGTAAAAATTAGGGTTCAAAGGAAAAGGAACCGGGGTGAACCGGATAAAAGGGGTGGGTTAGGGCAGTTTTTAGAAGCGTGCAGCGTGGGGAGATATAAAATAGCGTGAGACATGTCAAAAGAGTGGCTTTAGGGCGTGAAAGAAAGAAAAATAAGCCGTAGAAGAGGGCTCTCTCTTGGTGGAGCGTACCCCCCCCCCCCCCAATATTTCCTTTGATACTCCATTAACAACCCATTAAAGGTATTTCCTCAGATCTAACACCGAAGCCCCCACTTCCCTTTTCCTTTTACTTCTGTCTCTTCACTCCTCTAATCCCATCACTTTTTTTTATTATTTTTTTACTCTTCTCTGTTTTGTAATTTTAATTTTTAACAAATATATATTTTTTTATCTGGGGTTTGAAATATTGATTTTTGGGTGGAGAAAAGATGGATCGTTACCAGAGAGTAGAGAAGCCGAAAGCAGAGACACCCATTGACGAGAATGAGATTCGGATTACGAGTCAAGGCCGGATGCGTAGTTATATCACTTATGCCATGACTCTGCTCCAGGTTTCTTTCTTTTTTTTTTTTTTTTTGGGTTTAAGTTCTGCGTATTTAGGCCTTTATTTGAGTTGGGTGTTTGATTATTCTGAGAAATATGTACCAGAGATGTTATTTAATAACTCTTTGTAATGGTTTTTTTATAGGAAAGGGGCTCGAATGAAATAGTCTTTAAGGCAATGGGAAGAGCCATCAACAAGACCGTGACTATTGTGGAGTTAATTAAGGTGTTTTTATGGATGTGCACTTGCCTAGGTGAATGGATTTTATCTTTTTGGATTCTTGGTTGAGGAGGCTGACAATATGCTCTATTTACTTCTTATACAGAGAAGAATTGCCGGTCTACATCAGATTACATCGATTGGATCCACGGATATAACAGATATGTGGGAGCCTTTGGAGGAAGGACTTCTTCCGTAATAGCTATATAAACCTTATCTTGATGAACAGTTGTTGTTTTGTTGTTTCTATGCCCCTTAATCTGCTTATTTGGAGAATTTTAGTAACCTTGGTTAAATTATGACAGATTGGAGACCACAAGGCATGTGTCAATGATCACTATAACCCTTTCAAAAAAAGAACTGAATACGTCCTCTGTCGGGTACGTTCCTAGACTTGTTACTGATGAAAGTGTATTGTGTCCCATTATACTTTCCTTTGCATGGTGTCTTCAGTGTTGATGAATTTTGAAATATTTAATTATAAATAAGGTCAATCGGGCAGTTTTTGTTAATATGAAACAAGTTGGTTTTAGCTTCATTACGACTATGCATGTTTAGTTTTCTTTTTTACGTATGTTGGAAAATAGAAAGTTTTAGCTTATGTAAGTTTTTATGCTCTATGCTAGTGGTGGTTTGATGTTGTGAGGCTTGTTGTTTTTGTTGAATGAATTTCTTAAAGATGCCTGTGCCTGTGACTTATGAATTGCTCCCTCATCCAGGTATCAGCCTCCATTACCAGCTGATCAGGTGAAGGCATCCATAGAAATTGATCAGGAAGGAGGTGGGAACACATTTCATTATCTGCACTGTTTTTCTGTGATGCCCATATTTCTTTTTATAGTTTTCTTTTTGTTTGGCAGAGGGCTCACCTAATGGCCGTGGTAGGGGCCGTGGTGGTAGAGGAAGGCCAAGGAGTAGAGGTATGCCAATTTTGAATATTGAGATGCACCTTGTTAGCTGTTTTTGTTGTGTTAGGCCTTAGGGGCATTAGTTTGACCATGGCTCTGAATGTTATAGAAGGTTATATGAGGAATATTTTGTTCAATATTTGGTGTCTTTCTTCTACAGGGAATGGTTTTGTCTCTGCTGAATATGAGGATGGAGGCTGGGACCGCAATCGTGGCTATGCTAGGGGTAGAGGTCGAGGAAGAGGACGTGGTTTCCGTGGCCGTGGACGTGGAGGATACAATGGACCTCAGTTTGATAGGCAGCAAGATGGAGGGTACAATTATGAAGGCCCCTCCCCAAGGTGGCCGTGGTGGGTTTTTTCCCTTCTTATTTGTTTATTTTTACAAAGTTTTAGTATGTCTATTACTTTTTCTTGTGGGCTGTGGTATGTATCTGTAATCACTAAAAAGTATTGGCTTTCATATCATGCTGCGATTTGAACAACAAGAAACAAAATGATATTGAATACATACAAAATGATGTAGCATAAAAAAAATGTTAATGAGAATGCAATCATAAACTTGGTGATGACCTGGCGGGGGACTTGCTGTGATAGGAAATTTTCTATTGCGTGGTAATTAGAATAAGTAAACTTTATGCCAATTGCCTTCAGAAGAAAGTGATAAGTGTTTTATGATTGCTGTACATATGAATATTGTTTCTGATGGTCCTGTCTATTTGCTTCTTGAAGGACGTGGCCGCAGCAGAGGATATCGTGGAAGGGGTCGTGGGTTTAGATCAAATGGACCGAGCCAGGCAGCTGCATGAGGTGGTGGCAGTCTAATGAAAATGATGGTGTCGAATGCATGTCAAGTTATATGTTTATGATTTGTTATGTTGTCCTCTATTTATTTTTTTCCTATGAAGTCATTACAACCATTTTAGCTTTAGGGTGTGTTCAATTTTTCTTCTTTGTTAATCACTAGCAGTTTAACTTTAGGAAGTGTCCATGTTTATCGGTAGTCATGGTAGACTAGCATAGTTGCATCTTGGTTTCTAGTGCAGCTGCCTCACGTCACAGGGGGCAGATACTCTTCTTTTTTTTTTTTTTTTTTTGGGTTTATCATGTAGCCAAGGCTGATATGTTTGAACAATTGTAACTTATATTTGACCGATAAAATTTTCCTTTATTATTTGCTAGATTTCAGTAGTTAGCTTTTTGTTCTTTCACTATTGTGCAAACTTTAAACTGAATTTTACGCGTCATCTTTCAAATGACTGGTATAATAAATTTAATTTAAATTTTTACAACGGAAAATATTCTATTTTTATTAATTTAACTATAAAATGTAATTTTTACATTTAAAGTATTCAATTTGTATTCAAATCTTAATTTAAAATTTATAAATTTATCAAAATTTTACAAGTAAATATTCGATTTTGAGCTTAAATCTTACAATTAAAATATTATATTTTTATTAATTTAATCAACCTCGATAATTATTACAAAAATTTCAGCTAATTTAATTTTTGTTACCGTCATTTTTGAAAATAAAATCAACATATTTGAGTTTTTAGTTTAATAAAATGAATAAATACCAGCATGTTTTTGTTTGTTTGTTTGTATATTTAAAATAAAATAAAAAAAGGGGAAATTCTTGGCTTGAAGAGAAAGAAAAGAGTGTAAGAAAGGAACAGGGAAAGGCGGCACCAATTATCACCTATCGATACTAAAGAAAACAAGTTACAGTAGCGATTCCCAAATCCGAACCCTAGATCCAGCTGCTCGCCTCTTACTCATCTCTTTTGCGATCGTCTAGGGCTTTCGGCAAAGATGACTCAAGATGTGGAGATGAAAGACCATCCAACTGCTTCTCATTCCGTTTCCTCTGCTCTTCCCTCCACTTTGCAGCGTAACCCTCTTTTCCAATTTCCGGTTTCTTTTCTCCTATTTTCTTCTCTTTTTTTATTTTTTCTTTAATTTTTTGGTTTGTAATTTGTATTTGTAGATTTGAAAGAGATTGCTTCCCTTATCGAGACTGGTTCCCATACTAAGGAGGTTCGCCGTATAGTCCGTGCCGTTCGCCTTACATTCGGGCTGAGGCGGAAGCTCACGGCGCCTCTGCTCTCTGCGTTTCTTGATTTTGCGCTGCAGCCTGGTTCTGAGTCTCATGCCAGATTGTCCTCGTTTCTTCCTAAGGTAAATTTCTCAACTTTTTCACTATTTTCTTCTCTAGGAGCTAATGAAGCTTTTGCCTGGCTTTTGATAGATATTGAGCTCATTGCAAGGCTATTTAATTAAAATTATTGAAATACTTATGTACTGGTGGTATTCTTTAGCTATCGTAGAATGGGTTTTGCATGTTAGTGGTATTTTATTTTTTATGTGTTGTTGATATTACATAATGTAGAAATAGAGAAAGTGGCATTTTCTCAAATAAAGGTGTAAAACTTTAATGTGGTATTGAACAACGATTTTATAGAGGCGTCTTTAGGGTGGTTTGGCCTTTCTGATGACGATTGCTGTGTATTTTGGGATCTTTGAATATAGTTGGAAACTTTAAATTTAGAATTAGGAAGAAACATTCTTTTATGGCGGTAATGATCTTTGAATGTTGTATTGTGGCATGTTAGAAGTTCTCTTGTGCAAGTTATTCTAGTTTCTTCAATTTTAACTTGGAATTTTTTGTCCCTAGTATTGCATCTGAATTAAATATGATTGTAGGAAGATGAGCATGACATGGAAGTCGATACTGCAACATCTGCTGTTCAGACTCCTGCAAAACACTTGTTGCCAGAGCTTGAGATGTACTGCTATTTGCTTGTTCTCCTTTTTCTTATTGACCAGAAAAAATATGATGAGGTCTGACTTGTTTTCATGAATTTGTGTTATCTCTTTCCTTTATGAGCCAAATTCACTTCGTTAAACTGCTGAGGTTCTTTTGCTTCATTTTCTACTTTTCTTTCAGGCTAAAGCTTGTTCCTCAGCAAGTATTAATCGGCTCAAGACCCTAAACAGAAGAACTCTAGATGTCCTAGCATCCAGACTTTACTTCTATTACTCCTATAGTTATGAGCTCACTGGTGACCTTGCTGAAATTCGTGGGTAAGATATTCGTAGCCAGCTGTCTTCTTTATGGTTCCTACTCTTCTTGTGTGCTTACATGTGTAAATATAAATCTTCCATGTTAAAATGAAACTTTCAGAAGAGTTAAGGAAGCTGAATAAGAGTCTAATCATTTAACTAAATCCTTTACGTACTTTTACTTGCAGCAATCTCCTTGCCTTGCATCGTATTGCTACACTACACCATGATGAGCTTGGTCAGGTTTGTCATCAATCAATTTAGAGGTTGTTTATGGTAAGAGATATTGGAGCTAATGCATAATCTACTGGCATAATGCAGGAAACACTTCTAAACTTGTTGTTGCGTAATTATCTCCATTATAACCTCTATGATCAAGCTGAGAAGTTGAGGTCTAAGGCACCACGATTTGAAGCACACTCGAACCAGCAGGTAGATCTTGTGTTACTCTATTGCTTGTTGAACTGATCCATTAGGGTATATCTTGCAATGGTCATCTCCTTTCATCTTTCCCTTTCTTGTCTGTTATTAAGTCTTGCTTGAAAATCAACACAGTTTACCTTTAGTCTTTATTTGGATGGGTGAGTTACTACTGTATGCATCTTGTTTCAAAAGTTTTGAACTTGAATATATATATATATTCAAGTTCAAACATTTTTATGATCCAACCCACTGCAGTTCATTTAAGGTCCTAAAATGGGCGCAGTTGACTATTCAAGGCATGTCTGATGATACATCTTTTGTTCTGCAGTTTTGTCGATATCTCTTCTACCTAGGGAAGATTAGAACAATTCAGTTAGAGTATACCGATGCAAAAGAGAGTCTGCTACAGGCTGCTCGTAAGGCTCCTATTGCAGCTAGGGGCTTCAGAATTCAGTGTAACAAGTGGGCTATATTAGTCCGTCTGCTGTTGGGGGAAATACCTGAGAGGACTGTCTTTATGCAGAAAGGAATGGAGAAGGCTTTGAGGCCTTATTTTGAGCTGACAAATGTATGTCTGGTTTGTTGATGTTAATGCTTATTTAAGGATAAACAAACTTGTAAAACAACTTGTTCGAATTTTTATGGTTGTATGGTGTCAAAATTTAAGGCTTTGATGCCATTGTGCATGATCAATGAATATTTACTTCTTGGCACAACTTTTTCAGGCTGTACGGATTGGAGAATTGGAGCTCTTTAGGACTGTTGCGGAGAAGTTTGCTAGCACTTTCAGTACTGATAAGACACACAATCTCATAGTCCGCCTGCGCCATAATGTCATTAGGACTGGATTACGCAATATCAGTATCTCTTATTCACGCATTTCGCTGGCTGATGTTGCTGAAAAATTGAGGTTGAACTCTGAAACTCCGGTTGCTGATGCTGAAAGCATTGTTGCAAAGGCTATCCGTGATGGTGCGATAGATGCTACATTGGATCATGCAAATGGTTGTATGGTGTCAAAAGAGACTGGTGATATTTATTCTACCAATGAGCCTCAAATAGCCTTCCATTCCAGGATTGCTTTCTGCCTTAACATGCACAATGAAGCAGTTCGAGCCTTGCGTTATCCACCAAACACACAAAAGGAGAAGGAAAGTGCGGAAAAAAGGAGAGAGAGGCAACAACAGGAACAGGAACTCGCAAAGCATATTGCTGAGGAGGATGATGATGATTTTTAAGAAATTTGCCTTTATGATTTTGAACTGCAACATGTTTCTCAACCTTCATTACTGTTTCTCTTTCGGAAGGCTAGTTCATACATTCCAATCTTATGAATACTAACCTTCTTTATTTGGATGAATTCACTCGTGTTGTTATGAATACAAAATTTTAGTGTTTGGATGAATTCTAGTATAAATAAATTGTATAATGTTCAATTATACTAAAAAATTAAGAAAACTTTGACGGTAAGATGTACCAAATGCAGCTTCACCTCGTCATTCACAATGCACGGTTTTACCACCCTTTTGTAAGCTGTCATGTGCTTGTTGTACACTTGTATTCTCACTTTCCTTTCTTTCTGACAATTTAGTCTACAGTAAAACAAGCTTTACATATCTACCACCTTTGAATGCGGAGACACTTGATGTGATTTCCACTAGAGTAGAATAGAATATTTGCCTTCAAACTGGAATTAATTTTGGATAACTGTGAAGTCTCACCTCACCAGATTCACTCTAGTCCTCTAGCCACTTTTGCTTGACGCTGCTATCATCACATTCACATGGCAAGGTTAATTAATTCTAGTAGTAGCTGTAGAAGCCCATGCAGGTTTCTTTTACGGTTGAATTCAAATGTATATTCTTCAACTTGCCTCTTATGAAATGTTTTGCCTAATGCTTAACCTTTTGACGATTATAAAGTGTTTCATTTTTATATCTGAAACCCCATTTGATCTATTAGGAAGTGACATTAGACTTGAAGATATCAGAGGTTTTGTTTCGTTTGAGAACCCAACTCCCTGTTTGCTGTACGAGGATAGATGAACAACTTATCATCCCCATCTATTGTCAAAACGTATCATGTGCAAAGACTTAAATAATGCAATTGTTTCATATGGGTCAAACAAATGCCCATGTGAACTTGAACATATGCTTTATTCTGAAGGAAATATTGTATCACTCAGAACAAGTGGAGGTGTGTCGTTTTCTCTTCAAATGGCAACAAATATGAAATAAAAGAAATCCATAAAACAACAATTGGGCTTATGGTTTTTGATCCATTCACGGCTCTTCTGTTGGGAGAGAGCATGTGGGTGTGGAAGGGGACGAGTGAGAAAGAACGTGGGAATAACTGAATGAGGCTCAGAAATCATGAGTCTTTGCAGGGATAATTCAATTTTAAGTACTTGAAATGAATCGGTTTTCATTTCTTCACTACTTGTTGGGATCACATGTGAGGTTGTTGCATAGGAGATTGGTTTGGACACTTATTTAAAGACCCAATTCTTCTGCTTGTAAATGTCAATAAATGTAAATAAATTCATCCCCACTAGTACTCCTCATTGATACTAATCCTCCTCTTTGTTCTCCAGCATTTGTTGTGTTTTAACCTACCAAGATATGGCAAAAATCATTTTTGCATTAGCAATCATGCTTGGATTCTGTTATCTTGCTACTACCGTGAATGCCTACACTGCTTCTGGCTGGACTAAAGCTCATGCCACATTTTATGGAGGCAGTGATGCCTCAGGAACTATGGGTTAGTAGTCATTTCCCTTCCAGTACTCTCTTTTTCTTTCTTTTCGACAGGCGCAGTTTTATTCTTCCAAAGAAGCAGGGAAACAAATACATTTCTTTGTTTTCTTCACCATTTAATATTGAATGTTATATTGACAATAGGGGGAGCTTGTGGATATGGGAACCTGTATTCAGCTGGCTATGGAACAAGGACTGCTGCTTTAAGTACTGCCTTGTTCAATGATGGAGCTTCATGTGGACAATGCTACAAGATCATGTGTGACTATCAAACAGATCCCAAATGGTGCATAAAAGGAACATCTGTGACCATTACTGCAACAAATTTTTGCCCTCCTAACTTTGCTCTCCCAAACAATGCTGGAGGCTGGTGCAATCCTCCTCTCCAGCACTTTGACATGGCTCAGACTGCCTGGGAAAAGATTGGTATCTACAGTGGCGGAATTGTGCCTGTTTTGTTCCAAAGGTAGCATCTCCATAACACTTTCATCTTTCATTTTTACTTTAAATATCTTATATTGCTATATCTAACGTTTTGGCGTTCTTACAATACAGGGTTCCGTGCCAGAAACATGGTGGAGTAAGGTTCACTATCAATGGGAGAGACTATTTTGAGCTTGTTTTGGTTAGCAATGTGGGTGGGGCAGGATCCATCCAATCTATGTCCATCAAGGGCTCTAAAACTGGGTGGATGTCAATGTCAAGGAACTGGGGGGCTAACTGGCAATCCAATGCCTATCTCAATGGCCAATCATTGTCTTTCCAGGTCACCACTACTGATGGAGTGACTCGACTATTTGCTGACGTTGTGCCAGCAAATTGGGGGTTTGGCCAGACTTTCTCTAGCAAAGATCAATTCTAAGTTACTAAAAGGCTTAGAGTTCGGGATTTTGGGTTTAGTTTCCGGCAGAGGTGTGCTTATTATTTTACAAAAGCTGCCCGCCACACATGGGATTCATCGCATGAGATGGTTAAAATCAGGCTACTTTTTTCCAGGATGGTTGTTCAGATGGAAGCGAATCCTTGGAACTCAAGGCTGCAACATTATTTTTTGTGTTTTTGGTACAACAAATTCGGATGATGTTTGAAATTATTTTAAGATCATAACGATTGTCAATAAGAAGTGCAAGAAAACAATGCAGCTTCAGCATATGTAAATTTTGTTTTTACAAATTTATATGTTTGTAATACAAGTTGTTACTTTATAATTCTACAATTTCTCATTCCGATGTAATAAATCAACCGACAAACCTTTTGTCATTTGCCCTACAAGGTTAAATTCTATTTTGTCGCATAAATGGAAGCTTTGTTGTTTGGATGCATACTATAGCAGAAGATGCCATTACCTCACCGCCTTTGGCAGTTCTGCCGAAAGATTTGTTTTTTAAAAGGAAAAATGAAGAGACAGAGACAGCTTTTGGCATTATTAACCTGCCATGAATTTGACAAATAAATTATTCTGATCCACCGAATCTTTCCTTGATTTCGAAATTACTGGTAATTCGAGTAAAAAGCTCTCAAGCTTTAGATTTCAGATCAGTCCCAATATTCGGCAAAAGGACATAAGCCAGGTCGGATCATTGCTGAAATTCAAACAGACTTGATAGGAAAAATACAGCCTGCAATTTCCAATGCAGCTATTCAGGTTGACCTTATTGCTGAAGCCTCAGGACCAACTCTTTTTCATTTTCTGTTATGGGTCTCAAACTCTGAACTAATTTTCAGGTAACAATATTTTAGGCCGTTCTCAATAAATATAAGGAAAGGAACCATTGAACTAAATTGTACATAACTTTTAAGTAGCTTAAGGAGTTTAAACCGGACAGTTCTCTTATTTGCTAGGCTGTTGACAATGTCAATTAAACAGTTGGTTGAAGCTGTAGAGTCTTGAGTTTGCGTTAAAACAGGGGTTTCTTTATTTGTTCAACCCCATCCGCCAAACAAATTGCCTTTTAAGCTCCGTAGGGTCAACACGCTGCTGTAACGAAAAGCTTTGCTTATGTCCTAATCGGGCCTCAGCAAAGAAACTATAGGTGCTGGTAGCTGTTCTACCCCCCGTATCTTTTTGGCATACTTGACTCATTTTACTCTGAAATTGTCAGTTCTGTAATTATGCTTTTCTTTCTGATTGGTTTAGATTTTACCCTACCATTGATGGCTAATGTTTCTCCCCACTTTGAAATGATATGTTTAACTTATAAGGAAGATGATGGTTTAAACACTGGATGTCAACATGTAAAATATGATTAAAATTTTAATGTTGATAATTTTTTATGAAGGCCAATCACAATCAAATTTGATATGGCTTGTCGCTTTACAATCATGCTTCAGTACTACTCCACTAAACAAGGGTTCTTGATCACCAAATACGCTAACAGCCATCATCTGTAGTAACAACCCCAATTGGTAGTCTCTTTTGCCTTGTTATAAATAACACATTCCCTCCCTATCAAACTTGCATAGCGAAGTCGTTAATCTGCATAGTTGTGAATTCAAATTGTTTCAACTATGGCAGCCGTAGTTGCACTTGCTTTAGCCTTTCTCTTGTTTCCAATTTCATCTCCTGTTAGAGCACTAAGCTCAAACTACTATGACCAAACGTGCCCTCACCTCGAGTCCATTGTAACAAGATCAGTCAAGAAAGCGATGTCCAATGACAAAACTGTTGCAGCTGCGCTACTTCGAATGCACTTTCATGATTGCTTCATCAGAGTATAATTTAATACTACTATTTGTTTAGAAAAATAATCCTATCTTTGTTCAGATGTAACTTGCTTTATGTTTGTTCTAATTTTAAGGGCTGTGATGCATCTGTGTTGCTGAACTCAAAAGGAAATAACAAGGCAGAGAAAGATGGGCCTCCTAACATTTCATTGCGTGCATTTTATGTCATTGACCATGCAAAGAAAGCGTTGGAATCTAAGTGCCCTGGCGTCGTTTCTTGTGCTGATATCTTGGCCCTGGCTGCAAGGGATGCAGTTGCTCTGGTTAGTAACATGAACATTTGACTTCGGTTATTCTTCCTGAGCTGTACGTAGTAGCTGACCACCTGTTCCACCTATGTAATGGATTTCTAAATGCTAATCCAATTGCTTTGTTTTCGCTTGTTTGCTGTCATCTGTAAAATTTTAGTCTGGCGGTCCCACTTGGGAGGTACCCAAAGGAAGAAAGGATGGAAGAATTTCCTTGGCAACTGAGACCAGACAGTTACCATCTCCCACCTTTAATATATCACAGCTACAACAGAACTTTGCTCAGAGAGGCCTCTCCATTGAAGATCTAGTTGCTCTGTCAGGTATATGTCTTTATCGTCATTTTCCAAGTCCTGTAAAATTGCTTCACCTCCCAGAAAACATACTAATAACTCTAGCCTGACATCCTAATATTCCTATTGAACCACGTTGATTCCCATGTTAATAAGCACAAAAAAATGCGCCATTTTCTTGATAAAAATTTTGTTTTCTGCTGGATTCCCGTGTGAAGTAAAAACTTACTGTAAGCCATAGACGGTGAAGATCCCAATGTTATTAATCGTACGCTGCTGACAATCTTATACATGTAGGCGGTCACACTTTGGGGTTCTCCCACTGCTCTTCTTTCCAGAACAGAATTCACAATTTCAATGCCAGCCTTGACGTCGACCCAACCATGAATCCATCCATTGCCTCCATGTTAAGGAGCGTGTGTCCGGCACACAACAAGGTGAAAAATGCAGGCTCACCCCTGGATTCTTCCAACTTAATATTTGATAACGCATACTACAAGCTGATTCTTCAGGGGAAGAGTATCTTTTCTTCAGATCAAGCTTTACTCACCACCCCAAAAACCAAAGCATTGGTTTCTAAATTTGCAAGCTCCCAAAAGGCTTTTGAGGAGGCTTTTGTTAAGTCTATGATCAAGATGAGTAGTCTCACAGGTGGAAAAGAGATCAGGTTAGACTGCAGAGTGGTCAGGTGATTCTGAAGCCAATTTGGAGTATCAAGTTTAAGTTTAAAGCCAGGCATCAAGAAAATTATCTTGTCGATTCTTTTTTCTTTTAGAGTTATCAAAACAATTAAAGTGAGAGAAGCATATGTTTGTGTCACGGTTCGTGCGCAAGTCTTGCTAGGCATAAGTTCTCGGCCCGTAACATTTGCATGTGTGATTTGCGTTGCCATTGAAGAGAATGGTTGAGAATTTGTACTTTTATTTTGAAATTTATGTACTATATCATATGATTTAATGATTGAAAAAATAATGTTCTGTTTTATTCTTTGGTTTTATCATGGGCATATCATTCCTTCTATAATAAGTAGAATTTGACAATTGAAATATTCTATTCAAGTAGTTAAATAGTGTTTAATAACGAGTTGATGGTCCATAAATGGAGCCATATGCTTTTAAATTGGTTGAATAAACTATTGCTTGATTCCCTTATATGTCCATAGCAACTGATGTTCAAATGTCATCATCAAATTTTTTTAAAAAAGTTGAATTTGATTTTTAGTAAATGATCACTTGTTAATAGAATACTAAACTTTTAATTTAAACCAAAAAAAAAATCACTGTATAAGATATTTTAAAAATGGTTCATGAAAAAAAGGTAAAATTTACAACTGAAAAAATTTCTTAAAGGGGAGGAAAATGGAATTTTCATTTGATTATTACAGGCAAATTAGGCCCAGAATCGTAAGCATTATTAGCCTTTAATAACATTGGGTTTGAACTTGGGCAAACCCAATCTTTTCAAAGTCCAATTGGGCATTAAAAATGAACCAGCAAATTTGGATTTTGGGCTGTGTGGGCTAAACAAGAATTCCGGTCTTCTAGAAAACAGGTCAGTCACGGAGTACAAGAAATCATCGTCGGATGAGATTGCTCGACCGAAGATACAAACTGGAAGAAACAACTGTTACAGATTTTATGAAGCCAGGGAACGACCCGTTTGTTTATCGCCATGTCAATGGGTAAGAGTTTCAAAATTCTTTTTTTTTTTGGTTTAAAAATTGAAATTTTGGATTAAATAACGAAAATAATCTAAATTTGTAGATTTGTGTTGTTCGCTTGGCTCCGACTCATGTGGCACTGAAGGATAAAGGTGGGATCACCACCGTTGATTTTAATGTCGGCAAATCCGATTGCAGTGGCATGAAAGTTACCGGCAAGGGTAAGAAGGTATATCTTCCTTAGCTTTGTATTTATTTCTGTGATTGATTAGAAAAGCATTTGATTTTTATTTTATAATTGAAATTCCACTTTGGGTTTTGAAAGAGGTTTATCCATGTGACATTAAAACAAAGTAGAATGCATCATCACTTCTCATTAGGATATCAAAGATGTTAATTTCCTTGACCGAACAAAGTCTTATTGAAGCTTAATGTGTTGCTCTTACAGAATGCTCAACACTTCGAGCCTAATACAGCTTTGTGCAAAGTTTTCACCAGTGGTGACTCTTTTATTGTGAGGTCCGTATGATTCTTTTCAGCGTTGATTTTTGTGAACCCCCTCTCCCTGTTGCTTTTCTTTTTTTTTTTTTCTTATTGAAGTGAATAGCAGTTTTGGGCAGGTGTTGTGTTAAAGGCTTCCTTTTGGAAGCGAATAACAGATTAATCAAACAGCCAGAGCTGCTTAATTCATCGGTGAGAATAATTAGCTACGCTTCTTGACCATTTTTCAATTTATATATGCTCACAACCTTGGAATTTTGTGATTGAATGCTTTTACATCTTTGTCATCTCAAACGCTCCACGTTCTTCCCAATAATTCAAAAGCAATATCATTCTAAAGCAAAGTTTATTAGTATAGTATTGGTGTGTTCATAAAGAAGTGTGCAAATTTATTCATGCTGGATATGGATCCCCAGTGGCTTCTACAGGATTCTTTGAAAATCATTGGGAGAAAGAAAATAAAAACATATAAATTCTTTAATGGATGCAACTGTGGTTTTTATTGATAGTCTTTCTTATCCACATAATTCAGTTATCTTGAGTCATGGACTAAACGAATTTCACTTAGAGGTGAAGAAGCAAATCATGTCTGGCAAAGGGAATAGCTCTTTACCTGTAATGGAAGTAAGTCCTGGTTTTGTTTTAGCCGAAAGTGCTTTGCATGGTCATGTATCTTTCAGTCATGCAAGTACAGATTCTGCCTTTGCTGGCAGAGAACGGCCAAATTTTGATTGATGCAGATCTTGCAAATATAAATCTATCAATGACCAAGTGAAGAAAAGATTTCATCAGTTGTGGTATGCTGGTAATCTAAAGGCTTGTGAGCATTAAGTCCTAGGTCAATCTTAGTCCTTGTGTGAAATAAAGGATATAAAAAAAAAAAACTCATGGTTTCTGCTACTGGGTGCAAAATTACACTTAGCCTAAAACTTTTTGGCTAGAATCTAATAAAGTTGCTTGTTATGCTGAGTTTGTTTGGGGCTTTTTAATTTGACTATTTATCATCTAATTGTTGCAAATTTTCTATTCCAGACAAGCAGATTGGTTTTCCTTTTACTCAAGTTGAAGGATCTAGGATGCTGTTATCTATGTAATTGAAATTCTATTGCTTAGATGGCATTCGAGAAAGAATCTTTAAACCCCCCCCCCCCCTCTTTTGACACTTAGGTTATGATATCAACTTATTACTATTTTTTTTTTTCATTTTACTATAGTATTTATAGCTTCTATTAGTTGGTAAAACTCTTATTTATCTATTTTGTTAACTGCAGGCACATAGAGAAGGATACATAGCAATTATTATGCCAAAGCCAGCAGACTGGCTCAAGTTCAAGGCTTCCTTACGGAGGCTTGAAGAATTCAAGAAAATGAGATCACCTTGCTGAATTGTCAGTTGGGAGTGGATTTGTTATTCGACTTTGCAGAAAACAGGAATCAAGAGAAGTCAGGTCCCTTATTGAATTCATAGAGAAGGAATCCCTTCGTTACCAATTTGTCTGATGGGTTTTTCGGGGTTAAGTTCATCACAATGACAAGCTCTATACCTTAATGCTCTAAATGGTGGAGGGGAACTATGTAAAACTGATCATGTAGGTTGTACTTTCCCATGCTACGAGAAGAAAAAAAGCAATAAAGAATTTTATGCAGCCGCAGAAGCCATTTTTCAACTTCTCGATGAAATTATATTAACATTTACAAAGACAAAAAGAATGAGCACGATAAACCCTGCAAATTAACTTTTCGATGGAAAACTAACATTCAGATTGCGAAGTAAATAGGGCCAGCATCTTTACAAAGACAACGAATGAGACAATTCTGGCGCTACAAAAAATTGCTTAACTCTAAAGCAGGAAAATGGAGGAAAATGGAAGCAGATATCTGTGTCAATTTCGTTTACCTTGAAAACTGTAAGGTGGCGAAAGTGTCGGAACCGATGGTACAGACTCTAGTCTACTTGGTACTTAATTATGCCATGAACACTGTCTTCACTAAACTCTATGAGCAAGACAAAAGATTCCCGTTGAATTGTACTACTTACTATGTTTGCGCATCAATTATTTCTTGTATAACGAGCCCTCTGGATCTGTTAATCGTGTGAAAACATAATTTAGTATGTTCCTCAAGCTCTTTCAGCTGCTCCTGGAAGCTGGAATCGTGCATACATAATTCTCTTACCACCTCTTTCAGTACCTCCATTTTCCCATTTCTAATGCACATACTAGCCATAGCTTTACGGTGCTCTATCTCATCGTGCAGCCTCCATACCAGTCTACTTATGGTATCGAAATCATTGATCAAAATATAAATCCCTTTGGCTGAGATATCAAGCTGGGCACCAAGTCTTTCAAGCAAGCTTGTCTTAAGCCCTAGCTGATGAGATGATGGCCTGCTTTTTCTCTTCTTCCTTACGCCGAAGAACCAGGCTGCAAGCCCTGGCGCTGCTAGAACTCCAATCATGCTGTGGAATGCAAGTACCAGCAAGGCAATCACAAGAGTAGTATGAGAAATTACTAGACAAAGACTCCCAATCTGTTTGGGCATTCTTTTAGATTTTGCTTCCCGTTTTACCTTTTCGCGTTTTGACGTTAATTTACGAAACAAATCCAGGTTAGTGTCATGAATCTTCCGGAATTGCACTGGACTAATGATCGATAACGGGTTTTTAAGTAATGCAAATCTAGCCATCTCCTTGAGTAGAACGCCGCATTGCTCATCTGAAAAATCTTGCATCCTCTTGTTTATCTTGATCACTCTTCTAATTTTCTGATAATAAACACGCGTCTGATAGATGCTTCGTAGAAGTAATTCACATAAATGACAAGCTTCCAAACCAGCTTCAAAATAGTCAAGAAGAAGGTGATGAAAATTCAAGGTCCCTATCTTGTCTAGTGTTTCTTGCCTAGGTTTAAGCAGGTAATTGGACAGGTTTATATGATAATTAAGAGTGGAAGATGATGATGGGAGTCTATCAAAGCTAGTTATTTCCATCTGGCCATGAACTTGGCTCCACATGTCAACATAAGACTTTGTTCTGAAAGCTTCCTTGTACTCTTCATTCACGTCGTTACTTCCACGCTCCATCTGCGATCTGCCTGAGATAACAAACAAAACCCAGAAATCCAATTAGTTTTTCACATCCATGAACCAAAAATCTACCATATTTCCATCCCTAGAACAGATCTTGAGAGCCAAAAACACTTTGAAAATTTATAAAAGAATGGAAAAATAGAACCCTTCGTCAATATTTGTTTTCAGCTTTTATCTCAATTTTCATTCATGTTATTGCATATCAGAAACATATAAATTAATCAACTGCTCTTATGATTTTTAAACTGATTCCCAGAATTAACACTGACCTGATTTTAGCTTTGTCTGGAACATCTTTTTCCCTCGAGACATGCTCTTGAACGTCAAAGCTTTCTGTTTTAAAACTTTCTCATCAAAATAGTTTGAATGAATCAGATTATGATGGATTGCTTTAGCCAATATTTATATAGAGTTTGATGGCTTGAAGGGAAGATTTTATATATAAACAAGAAGAAGAAGAGAAGCTAATAGAGGCTGAAATCGTTATAGCTTTTGTTGCACGATAGCGTACCACGCACGGCTGTTTATCTACGTGTAAATGGGTTGAGACAAGAGTTGCCTCATTACAAACAGTGCAGTAATCTCCGGAGGTTACGACTATTAGAGTTGCTCATACGCTATTAACTCGTCTGATTTGCTTTTTATCAATCCGAAATAAATCCTAATCGTTTTTTTTCCCTTTATTTTCCTATTCTGGTAAACCATAAGTCAGATAACAGGTTTTTAAAACTTTAATTTGAAGATAGGGAACATTATATCATTTATACTTTAAATTAAAGGTTTGTGTTGATTCATACCAAATTTGTAAAATATTATTTATTTTAATATAAAAATTTTATTGTTTTATCTCACAAAAGATATTTTACAAAATTAGGTTTAAATTTACACTTATATATTATAATAAATTTTCAAAAACATCCAAGAAAAATTGGAATGTCACGAATAAAAGCACAGGGACAAGCCGTTTTCTTCTCTTTGTTGACCACGTTCGTCTAAGAACTTGTTGCCTCCTATGTGGAACACTCCACATGCGCAAACTTTGCTAAAAGAATTAATGATTGCTTTCATAATCCAAATTAGCTATCTGGGAATTCTTGCCTTCCACTTCTCATCATCCTCTTCTTAATTGGATATGGACAAAATGAAGATTTGTTATAAAAAAACAAGATTAGGATTTTGCCACGTAATTTAAGTTAAGTTTGTTTTGGTCCTACCTTAATTATTTTATCAAATCAAGTGATACATATGATATGATCAAGCTTTGCTTCTTCGTGGTTAGTTATGTCACAGTCGCATGGTGAAACTTATTTGAAAATGAAAGTCGTCGCTTCCTTGCTTAAGAAATAAGCCTCTTAAACAAAAATTAAGAATTGAGGTTAAAAAAAAAAGACAGAAATTAGAAGTTGGACGGGTAATTAATTAAGTATGTTCAGTCATAAGTATTTATTACCTATCAAATGTGAAATATATATACGAAAAAAATTATACAACTGATCATTTCATTTTGATCGATTTTATAATTTACACTAACGTTTCTATAAATTTTGGTTTTGATCACCTATCGTTAAAAACTAACCAGATTAAGACGTGGTTTTGCACTTTCTCTGGCTAAGCAATAGAATGGTCCTACTTCTCATGGCTTGTGCTAGATAATGAAATGAAAAAAAAAAAAAAAAAGTTCTCCAATATGGAGAGAGCTCTATCATGGGCCTGTTATATATTGGAAATTTCCATGACATTAGATCTTGATTTTTTTAGTATTATTCTGAGTGGGTGCTTTTGTAGCTTAGTCATGCACAGGCCCATCAAGATGATGGTGACCTTTTTGCAATTTGCATTTTGCACCCACTCTCTTTCAAGAAATCTCTTCGCAATTTCAATTTACTATATGTAACTGCTTTTGTTCTTATATACATATATAAATAATGAACTGATTATACTTTCAAATTCAAACCTCTTACAAGATTGCAGCAAGAAAAATATTGGAAGGAAAGACTAAATCTTGAAATCCTCAGTGATGCGTCTGGTGGGTGCCCTTTTCAGCTCATCGATTGGAAGACTTTCCTAGCATGTGAAATGCTAAAGATTGATCATTCAATGAGAAGAGAAGATAGCTAGATTCCTTTAATTGGATGCCCAAAATAATACTAGAAGCCAACAATAAAATTATTCTACTAAGTGGTGAAACTCGATTTATCTAACGTTACAAAACAATCACTTGGTGAAAATGACCATTAAACCAGCTGGTGGTAATGTAAAGGCAAAATGACATATTTACGCTTGCCAAGTGCCATCACAGTGGATAGGAAACAGATAAGAAAGCAGAAGAAAGATATGATCCTGAATCTTTAAAGCTTAGACCTTCCAGCAATGTCGATTACAAAACGGTATCTAACATCGTTTCTTGCAAGGCGATCCAAGGCTTCATTGATTTGATCTGGCTTGATAAGTTCTATATCACAGGTGATGTTGTGCTTCCCACACACATCCATCATTTCTTGGGTCTCTTTCATACCGCCTGTCATGCTTCCCTTCACTGCTCTCTTCCCTGTCCACGAGAAAAACAGGAAAAGTTGTTCAGTTCCTGTCCTCACTCCTCACATTGTCTATCTTATATAGTTATATGGACAAGACTAATGGGAAGGTGAAATTGTACCAAATATTAATGGAAATGAAGGTAGTTCCATTGGCCTGTCTGGTGCCCCCACGACCACTAAAGTCCCATTTACTTTGAGCAGTTCCAAGATTTGTCCGAGTGAGTGTTTAGCTGAAACTGTGTCCAAGATAACATCTAGCGTTCTCTTTCCGCTCTGTTTTATAAAACCCAAACATATTAAAAAACCTTAACAAAGACTCTTCAAAAGTGAAATTTCAAAGTTCCCTGGTGAAAAAAGAAGAAAATTGAGAGTAGCAAACCTGCATTTGTTCAGCATTAGTGCTAACTATGAAACTATCTGCGCCCAAACGTTGTTTAGCCTCCTTTTCTTTTGATGGAGAGGTGCTGATGACGGTTACATGATGACCAAATGCCTTGGCCATTTTAACAGCAACATGACCAAGACCACCTAGACCAACTATTCCCACCTTTTTCCCTGGTGACTCGAGCAGTTGGCTATCTTTCATGGGGCTAAAAACGGTTACCCCAGCACACAACAGGGGAGCTGCTGCATCCATCGGCAGGTTATCTGGCACATGGACCACGTACCTTCACAACAAATATTGAAAATAAGTAATCACCCCAGCCCGCGGCCCAATAAAGAAGCCATTATTTTAACTAAAAGGGAACTTATTTTTTCTCGATGTGATAAACTGAAGATCAGGTGCTGACCTGTGATCTGCAACCAACATTTTGGAATATCCACCATAAGTAATGCTACCATCCCAGAAAATGCCATTGTAAGTAAACTGGATCTGGTCACAGTAGTTCTCCTGTGAGTTTTTACAGAATTCACATTCCAAACATGATGCGGTTAAACACCCAACTCCTACCCTATCTCCTACTTTGAAATTCTTTACATTGTTTCCCACCTTGGTGATCACCCCAGTAATTTCATGCCTGCACAAGTAACATAAACCCATAAAAACAAAGACAATTCCATAGTCAAAAGATTGAAGATTCAACTTTAATTTACGGTTCTGGAGTAAAAGTTTGAGATTGATAGCAATTAATTACATCCTTTGGTCAATAAAGTGGTTAAAATCTCAACAGTATGAAAAGAGCAGCCACTTCCCCCATTTCAACAACCTTTTGAGTCATTTATTCATTTTGAATGTTAAAATAAAACAATGAACCGTGATGGTTAAGAATTAAGATCTTGTGTTTCTTTAAATATTCATCAACCCTCCCCCCCCCCCCCCCAAAAAAAAAAAAAAAGAAAAGAAAGCGAGAACTCTTTACCCGGGAACTACAGGATACATGGTGATACCCCAGTCGTTCTTAACATAATGGAGATCAGTATGACAGATCCCACAATACATCACTTCAATGGTCACATCGTTCACGCCATTCTCCCTGATTATTTTCATGACCTCTTCCATGGTTAGTAACAGTAATTAAAACTAATTAAGTACTATATAAAAGAAGTAATGGATGAAACAAATCATGCGAAACATGTATGTACCTTCGTTTGAAGACGTAAGGGGTGATTTTGCCAGAGGAATCATAAGCCGCCCACCCTGCTACAGTCTGAGTGTGGTTAGGCGATTCCAAAGCCATGAGGAAGAAGAGAAGACTGAATAAAAGTACGAACAAGAAGCAAGTGACAGAGAAAGAGAGAAAGCTCAAAGCTTGGAATATTGAACGCAAATAGGACGCACGGACATCAAAGACCAGCGAAGATGGTATATTTATAGCGAGTGTCAGGCAATTAACGAAAGAGTAGAGGCCAAGGTCCTTTTTTTATTTTGCCAAGATCTGGGTAAAGGACAATTGTCCACCAACCACATAATGTTCTTATTTCCTTCATGATAAGCATGGAAAAAACGATTCCTTCGTATGAAAGATGGCTGTAATTCAAGTGAAATTTCGTGGAACACTGGAGGGAGTCCAATACAAAAGATGGGTTGTTGAGTGTTTTCAGACCTCAGACTTCTCCACTTAACGCTGGCTATTAAGCTTCAAAGTTCAAAGTCTTGTCCAATAGTCAAACGACCCTTTTTTAATGGCATGGGTCCCTTCCCATGAGCCTTGTGACTCACTGACTTGTTGTGAGTCATGGCCATTTTCTGGCCCCAAATTCATATAGGAATCATCGAAGTATTTAAGTTGCAGGACATGGGCATTCTGCACAGAGTCCTGTATGTCGCTTTCACTAGCATTTATGCGTTTCCAAAGTCTTATTGCTATAATGTAAAAAGATTGAACATGGGGCCTACGGTCCTACACAAATTTATCTGGACTTTTTCTTGCCTTTAATTGCCGGTTGGTCTTTTCCTTTTGGTGGTGAAATTCCGAGAAAATGGCACAATGGTATGTTGAAATTACAATTACAACTCAGTAGACTAGGACCATGGTTTTGAAATTAGGCCTTTTGAATTGTTGATCTGATCCAATAACTTTTGGACATCAAAAAGACCATAATTGGGCATCTGAATCTTCGGCTTCGGACTTACCAGCTCCCCTCTTCAGTTTACTCCAAGCTTGACTCGTTTCACCCATCCTTGATTTTCTTTATCCATAACCTACCTTGGTAACAATAACAAGTACGGATAATAGCGCAATCCACTTTCAGTGAGTTTCGATTGGATTTTATTTTTAAAATTTTTTTATTGAGTTTTAGATTGGATTGAATATTAATGAGTAAAAGTCATAGGTAAACTCGATTCAGTATATATATTATTATTATTTAAATATTTATTTAATTTTATTTTTATATTAAAAATAATATTTTATTAATTTTAAATCAAAACAAATATAAAAATTTAAATAAAAAATCATCAAGTCATGTTTAAATATTTGATGTATAGAGTTGGATCGAATTCAAGGTGAGTAAAATTTTGTTTCAAACCCTACCAATTGTATCCCTAGTAACAAGTAGCATAACAATTAATTAATTAATTATAAAATATATAAAAATGATTAATTATCAAACCTAAAGATCAAATTGAGGTATTTTATATGAAATAATTACTTTAAAATTATAGCAATTTATATATGATAATTAGATCATTAAGTATGGTGAGATTTTAGTAATTTTATGTGACAATAATTTTAAATTATTAAAAGTAATTAAATTATTTTTTGATAATTTAATTTATATTTAAAAATATGAAAAACTCTTTATCATTAAAGTAAAATAATATATAAAATTAACTATAACTAATATTATTCTTTTAATATGTAAATTAAAAACTTATTTTTTCTCACCATTTATAATTTATTTGTTTTCCTTTTATTATAATTTCAATAATTTTAGTTTTGTTTTCTAAACAATGTTCACTATAATAGGTGGGCTGAGTTCGGGTTGGGCCTTGACTATAAAATTTGAAGTTTCGAGCTTAGTCTGATCTGAATTAATATTTGAGTAATAAAAAATATTTTATCTAAATTTAATATTAAAACTATTAAACAATAATATAAAATTATATTTAATATTTTTATCGACAATGAAATAGATTTATCTAGGATTATAGCCCACCAACCAGACAAGACCTATAAGCAACTCTGAATCGGATAAAATAATAGAAGATAAAGCAGAAATTTTTTTTTTTGAAATGATAAAACAAAATCTTTATAATTTGTGCTTTAATAGAAAAATCACAATCCAAAATTTCAAAATGGAAACTATCACATGATTTGGTACCCATTTGATACCTAAAAATTACCTCATCATTTTTGTTGCAATGGAACATAATTCTATTAAACTCTTTTAACATGTTTACGTACTTATACAATGAACATATAAGGCAAAAAGGGAAAAAAAATATATACAAATTAGATTTGTTGAGACAATAAGTTACTAGATATAAAATACAAAGACTATAATTCAAAAAGTGCACAATGCAATGCCAAAACTCCAAGTCAAAATATAATTAAATTCTATTCTAAATTTTTTATGATATTAGCTATGAAGTTCCATTCTAAATTTCCCAAAACTAGGTTTACTCCAATATATATATATATATATATATAATTTACTTATATTAATGTAAATTTGAATTAAAATTATTAAATTTAAAAATATTATTTTAATTTATATAAATAATAAATTTAATTTTAATAAAAGTTTTTAAAAATATAATAATTATATTAGTGTAAATCAATCGTTGCATATACATATATATATTTATGGGGTTAAAAGATGGCAAGTGGATAAACCAAAACGGTGTCGTTCTAAAGGGGGAGAGAGAGAGAGAGAGAGAGAGGTTGTTTTGGTAATTTTTGATCTTTCATAACAAAACCTCAGCTTCCCCAACTCCTGAACCCAAAGCCCAAAAGGAAAAAACACAAAAATTATTAATAAATAAACAGAGGAGGAAAGAAAGAAACCTAAACAAACACAATGCCTTTGGTTCCTTGGTGTTTCGGCGGTTCACTCGTGCGATTCACGTGTTAGATCCGTCTTCCTTCTCCTCATCAAATTCCTACAATTTCCCCCAAACGAACCCTATAAATGCTTTCTTTTTCTATATTTTCTCCACTCATTCTTATTTATTTCAACGTTAATTAAAAAAAAAAAAAGGGGATTTTGATTAACCAATTAAAAATATTAATGCGTTGTGTTATAGACATCGATTTTTTGTTTTCTGATACAATTTTGATTTGAAGTTCCAAAACCCTAATTTTCGAATGGCTATGACGGCTGATTCTTCTTCTCCACGCGACGGTCTCAACAGCCCTCAGTTCCGCCGCAAGAATTTGCCTTCTCCTTGGGCCCAAGTTGTTCGAGGCGAGTCAGAATCAATCTCAGCCGTTCATCATTCCCCTTTTTCACCATCATCAACAACCTCATCCCCCGTCGCTTGCTTTCCGGAGCAAACAACTTTTTCCGATTGCTCCCCTTCGAAAGCGGCTTCTTCCTCCTCCTCGTCTCCGCCGCCGGATATTTCCTTAGCCGCCGACGATGGTGGTTCTGATTCCAATAGCAACAATGGGGCTGCTCGGTCCAAGAAGCCGGCTTGGAACAAGCCTTCAAATGGCGTCGTCGAGGTGGGCCCCGTAATGGGAGCTGCGTCTTGGCCTGCTTTATCTGAATCCGCTAGGGCTTCCCCCAAATCATTAGCCGACTCTTCTGCCAAGACTGTTTCTGATGGATCGCTTTCTAATTCTCAGGTTTCTTCTAATTCATCTTATTTTCCCCCTATTAATTTATATTCTCAATGAACATAATTTGGAGAATAGGAAAGGAAAAAGGAATCTCTTTACTTGACATTTTTATTGCAGGTTAAGCATCCAAACACTGAATAACTTCTTATTTTAGTTATTAATAAATAAATAAACAAAGCTGACTGTATTTTTGTGGTAATAATAGGGTCCAGTAATACCCCAATCAGCTCAGAAGCAAGGTTCTAGTAATGCTAACTCCAATTCAACACCAAACCGTACAATGTCAGGTCGGCAAAGGCCTTCTAAGCGTGGTGGCAGTGGAGGTGGAGCTATTGCTCCTCCACAGAGTGGCTTTTCACATCAACACCTAACTCCACCGCCACCACCGTCATTTCCTGTAATACAAATGCCTCCGAATAGTTATGGTAATTTCATCCCAGCAATGGCAGATTCTTCTATGAGAGACCCTCAATACAGGGGCAATAATTGGGAAACCAGACCAGGAGGAGGGTTTGCATCTCAATCACACAATGATCACCGGCATTCTTCTCGGAGGGGAAGCAACTATGGACCACGTGGAGATGGTGGCTACCATAACAATTTTGGGGGCAGGCGTGATCAGGACCGTGGAAATTATGGGAATGCAAGAGATGGTCATATGCAGCCTCAGAGAGCTCCTCAAAGGGGTTTTTCAAGGCATCCACCAGCCACTGCTCATACTTTTGTTCTTCCACAGCCTGTGAGACCATTTGTGAATCCCATAGGATATCCTGGTACGTTCCAATTTTAAGAGGTTGGTTCTTTCTGTTATGTGGGTGTATTAGTAATTATTCTCTGCTCTTCAGAGTTGATATACTTCCCGTCGTTTAGGGGCATGCCTTTATTTGCCCCTCCCCCTGCCCCACCTCCTGCAATTTTTATGCCTGTTCTGGAAGTTCCTCTGCCTGCAAAGTTGTTACATCAGATTCATTATTATTTCAGGTAATTTCACATGGCAAAAACTAATTTTTGCTGACATTTTGTTTGCCCCAGCAGCTTATTTTTGAAAATTCTCTAATAGTAAACTGGCTCTGCAGTAATGGTCTTTTCTTGTTGTATAGTGATGCTAATTTGATACAAGATGAGTTTTTGAAGTCTAACATGGATGATCAGGGCTGGGTATCCATTTCTTTAATAGCTGGATTTCCTCGAGTAAGTTATTTGTGATTTGCTTGAGTATTTTCTCATTTTCTTCACGTGGTCTTTGCATGCACTTTTGTGACTTAAACTGCAAGTAAGCTAAAGGTCATTGCAATTGAGGCAACCGTGATAAAAATGTTGGAGTTAATACTGTTCTTTGCTGTCCAGCCTTTTCGTATTTAAGTTGTCTAAAACCCTGTCATAAGGTCTGGTGAAGTTTGGTAGAGTGATCATCATGCTTCTATACCTGTAACTGGATATTTAATGTGATTATTGGTCGATTAGTTTTGCTGATCCTTGCTTTGAAGTGTATGTTTATTGATCAGTTTTTAAAGCACTCAATGTCAGTAACCAGTGTCTTTTAATTTCATGTTTTTGATTCATGGGCCAAGAACTCAGCCTTTCTGTTGTTATCAAATATGATAGTCCTTTAGCCCTTTATTCTGATGGCACTTGATTAAGTATAGTTTAGCTTTCTTTCTTAGAAGCTAGCTTAATTTATAACTATTAAAGGAGTATGCTAACGGATCACCAGGGTTCAAAGTTTACTGTTGCTGGACATAAATGAAAAGACTGTTGATTGTGTTAAAGTGAAAGTCTTTATTTTATAGGGCATTGTACAGTCAGCTGACGATGGAGAGATGGTTATAATTTGCAGAAGTAGGGTTTTAAGTTGGTAAATGAAGTCAGGTAAAGCTTTAGGTTGAAAAGTTTGGCCATCAAGATGGATGTGCCCCACATGTTTGGGACAAATACATACTAATAACAATAAATAGATAATAGTTCCCTTTGCTTTATTTTATTCAATTCCCTTTTTGAGCAATTCATTTATACCCAATTGTAACTTATTCAACAACCCTTTTTACTTCTCCCATTAGTAGTTAAATTTCCTGTTTGGCAATATGGAAGCATTAACTGTGAATCCCTTCCTGCTGATTTTCCTCCCTTAACCCTAAACCCTTAATCCCTTTGCTGCTTTGATGTGGCATCTATTAGATATTAACTCTTTGTTCGGGCATTGCACTGTTAGGAACTAGCTATCTGTGTCTCTTGGAACCCAACTTGCATTAATGTATAGACGGAGAGAGATAGTGCTCTGGTAATTTTATGGAGAGGTAATTCCATACCAGCATGAAATTGCACTTAATTAATTCTAGGCTTGAACTTTAAAATGTTGTGTAATTAAATGCGGGTTCTTTATATTATTGGTTTCAGAGGATATTCATTTGGCTATCATCAGAGAAAGTAGCATATCCTCATCATCCCAACCGGGAAAATTTCCATAAACTTTGTTATGGTAGTACTTGATGTGTAGATTTCTTGGTCATGATAAATTGGAACAATCTATTTCAGTGACTTTCTAGCCGTCACAGTTCACCACATGCCTTGTATTGCGTCATTCAGTGTTGACTCTGCATGGACAGTCTTTCACCCTGACTTGTTTGTACTTAACATATTTTTGTTATCAAGACCTGATTGTTGTATGCAATGATTGGTCTATAATAATGTTCTGTATTTGTTCACTAGTTTAGTGATTTGGACACTTGATTTTATCCTGTATTTTCCTTTCAGAAGAAGTCTTCTGATCATCTTGTTTATCCCATTGTTTTGACTTCTTTCTTCTAGATTTTTTTCGGCAGTTTGCTGAGCGGGTTAATGTCATGGATTTCGTGGGGGGTGTAGTTTAGTTAAAATGTACACTAATTTTAAATGATTTTTGAAACCATCAATTCTGTTCTCTATCACCTTCTGAGCAGTAGCAATTTTATGCTTTCTATCTGCGTGTGTGGTTGGATCTTTTTAGTTTATCAACAAAAAAGATAATCACCGAAGGGTCAAGTTATTGACCCAAAGTATATTTTTAGTCTAAATCATTAAGTTGTTGACTGATTCATTTAACTTACTATTACTTTATTGAAGCATTACAATTGTTTGGATGTTTAAATAACTATATCTCTTATTCTTGTATTCTCTTAAGTGTTCTTGATTTTGTGGTATTCATTCATATTAGTGGTTGATGTGTTGTTAATATATATGTTTGTTTCACAATCTATCTGATGCTTCTTCAACGTTTTAAAACATATTCTTGTTCAAGTTTGTTCTATGGTGATTATTTTGCAGGTTAAGAGTTTGACAAGCAACATTCAGCTGATATTGGATTCCTTGCGGAGTTCAACTGTTGTGGAGGTACAGGTAATTCAGCAATGCTATCATTGTTAAGCAAAAACGAAATGCCTTATTAATTCTAGATATCAGCTATATGTGTGAATCAGTTTGATTGGAAATCCTTGTACAATCTTTCAGTTTATTAGATGCAGTGGCATTGAGTCCAACAAACTGGCAACAAATTGCCAAACTTATGCTGTTTTTCCATGTTGGTTTTACTGTTATTGAAATATCTGCAGGATGACAAGGTGAGGAGGCGTAATGAGTGGACGAAATGGATACCTTATCGGGTTTCTACAGAGTTGGGCTTACTTTCTCCAGGTGGAACTAGTGCTGATATGCTGGCAAGTTCTCTTCAGCAGCTTACGGTAAAGGAAGAGTCTAATAACCAATGTAAGGCAGGTAATGTGAACCCTCATGCCGAGGACACTTCAGGAAGACATAAATCGGAGCTGATTAGCTGCTCTCAACTCTCCAATGGGAAGGGTTCTGAAGACACATGTTTGGACCAAAACTGATCAATAAATGCCACAAGAAAAGCACAATCCAGTCAGGATGGTGTGTTCTTATTTTTTATTGGAGGGGGGTGGATGCTGCTTCACAAGGGATGGGACACCTTTTTCTTTTATTTTTGCCATCATCTTACTCGGTTTTGGCGCTGTTTTGACGAGGCAATCAGAGGCAGAAAAAAATAAGAAAGATACATAAATTTATCTTTGAAAGGTAAAGAAGTGAGAGAGTGAGAGAGAGGAGAGAGAGATTAGGCTTGAATGGGGAAAATTTATGGGGCTATTTGGGTGTATAGTTTTGCTATTCCTATGGACAATTGTGTTATTTTTTTGGTGAATTTTGGTGGCGTGACGATGGGTGAAGCATTCCAAGGGAGGTGGGAGTTGGAATTGTCGTTAACATGGCTGAGAATGTTTTATTAACTATATCTAGGTGCATTATTTAGTTAACATTCTAGTTCTTTTGTTTTACAATTAATGGTTTTGTTACTGCCTGCCTCACATTCATAATTTATATATTTTACACTCGCTTGCATACATTTTCTTTATGCTTATATTTTCATTGGCGTTGATGGCTCTTCCTCTCAAATGAGAGCATTTCCTATGTTGTCTGATACTAAAGGAGAGTAACATTGGGACGCTTGCCTCGTTAAGCGTTTAAGTTTTTATTTATTTATTTATTTTTTTGGAGGGTGGGGGTGTGGAAAGAGTGTACGTGTGAGCAGTTCGTTACCATCGATGTAATTGAACGAGATTAAATTGATATAATATTAAATTTAAATTTTTAAAATTTAAAATTTAATTTGAATTCGATCGAATTTTATTTTTTTATTTTAAATTTAATATAAAATAAAAATTGATATATTTGAATTTGTTCAATTGGATTTGATTTTTATATTTAAAAAAATTTAATTATTTATATTTTAATTTGAGTTTAAAATATTTTATTAATTAAAATAATAAAAATATATTTAAATATAAAAATTTAATTAAATTCACGAGTTATTTATATCAAATATAAAAATATTAAAATTTAATTTGATCAAATAAATTAAAATATTTAAATTTAAATTTAATTTGATAATAATTGAATCAAATATAAATTTTATTTAAATTAAATTTAAATAATTTATGAATATTAATATATTATTTATTTTCTTAATCATTACCGAAAGAAACAAACTACTCGGACGTCAAGTTAGCTGTGAAGAGTAGCCGGGGGAATTGATGAAGATTGAAGATGACGATTTAAAGCCGACAGCTGTAATGTGTTAACCACCAATTTGACAAGACTCTTTGATTCTTACTTCATTGTTGTAGGTACCTATCAGGAAATATTTTTATAAAGAGAGCAGCGACGAAGGAGATTAAACTCTAACACCCCAGCACCAGGGTGTTTGTGTTTCCTTCTCACTGGACACATTGGATAATCATTCATTCCATATTAGTTACTACTAGGAGTGGACCTGCATTCCTTTTCACTTTGAGAATTATAAAGAAGATGCAAGGAAAGTGGACCTGCTTGAACATCTTAATTTTCAGAGGAGACAACTAACAACTGGTGGCGTTCACATTGGCCAGTAGAACATTTTGTTTGGAGAAGTGGCCACGTTCTCATTATGGTAAATGAATTAATGATGACTTCCATGGTAAGTAATTATGCTTTATCTCAGTAATCATGACGTGACATATTTGATAAGTAGTTATGATTAAATTAATTGTTTTTGGCTGAAGTGTTACTTAGTTATTCGAAGCCAGATCGTTGATACTGCCCTCGGGTTTTTTCATCCTCTACCTCCCTCTGTCTACATGGAAAGCCAAATTCGATAAATTAACGAGTGCGTCCTATATCTTAGTCATAGGGCTTGCATGAAAAACTTGGCAAAAGTAGATGCGGATTGTGGGACAACGGAAAAGGAAAAAAGATTTCTAGAACTGACAGTGTTAGAAAGTTCAAGGACAAAAGCATAACATGGTTAAGATTTAGGAGCTTGTTTGTTAATGGAATCTCTCGAGTGCAACTTGCAGTCATAGGCGCATGCGAGTAATCAATTCTCCATGCATATCATTCTAGTCACGCAGACAGATAGGCTTAAAGAGCCTTATCTTCCGTCACCCCCCTCCCCACCTCCAATCCCTCTCTCTCTCGGAGAATAAAGGCAACATCGGTGCAGTTCTAAAGTTCTAACCTTTTAGGAAATATACCCGTGAAAAGTGGTAATCTTTTTCTGAACAAAACAAAAAAAAAAAGAAGATTTTTTAAGTAATGAAAATCAAGATAGTTTTACGTCCATGTGGTGATCATAATTGTTTGTGGTCACACATATAGATACCTTAGTTTTAGACCTGAAATTTTGAACATTCAAGACAGAAAGATGTGAAGAAAAAGAAACAGATCATTATTACAATGATAAGCTTCGTAGTACTAAGATTTTAAACCAGATGTAGTTTTGGTTCTGGAATGGAAGAGCTATCTGTTTCTTAATTCCAAGCAAAGTAAAGAAATCTTCTACGTACTTAGCTTAGACCTAAGAGGAAAAACAAAATGAGAAAATGGAAAATCAGCTCCTGAATATTACCGAAAATGTCGAAAAAGGAACAAATTTTATCGTAAACCAATGCTTTTTATATACAAATGCATATATTTTAAGTTCAACCTTCCCCGAAAGAAGAGGAAGAAGAAAAAAAGGAAAAGTTTCGTCGAAGAATAAATTTTCAGATTGTATGGTGGTTGTCAAAGCATCATATTTTTTAAAGCCCGTGGTCCTTCCTTTGGAGCGTGGATGTTGAGACTTGAGAGGGCAACAAAAACAAGCAGCACCTCTATGAAACCAAAGCCAAAGATCTTATATCAGTGGGGCTCCCTGGAGATCCGTTTGGAATGTTCTTCAACGGCTTCTGGCAATTATAGAGTTGGAGCAGCCCTGATTGCTCAATGCTCATAGTCGGATGCTATTCTTTGTGTCTTTCTCTTTTTTGGGTCGCATACAGTGTACAGCAGCATGAGTCGGGCAGTACTTTGGTACATTTACAATTCAGAAGGCTTTTTCAGTTTTTTTTTTTTTTAATTTTATTGCCAGTACAGTACAAAAAGGGTTTGAATTTGAGTTCATTCCCATTCTCTATTTTTAATAGTACTAGTTTAGAGATTGAGTTCCCTTTTTTTATTATATATTATTAGTTATTTTTTTAATTTTTAAAGTAAATTACAAGATTGAGACTGTTTTATTTTTAAAATACTTTTGTTAGTATTCTTTTAACAGACTCTAAAATTATATATATTGTGATAGTTTTGTTCTAAAAATCTCATAGACAATTAATAAAATAATAATTCTTTAACTTTTTCCTAATTTAATATTTGAAAAATATAATACACTTACAATTTATAGATATCACCACAGGCGACTAGACGTGACATCTCTTCATTCTGATTTCCCCATCTCCATATTCTCTATCTTCCCGTCTCTGTTAATCATGTGTGAATCACCAGATAGAAACAGTGATAATAGCAGCAGCAACATGCCCTCTATTTCACTTTCAAAACCCTCCCCCACCTCCACATATTCTTTACCTGCGCCTTGTTCACCACCATCTAGCATAACCCCTAACCTGTCAGCAAAAAATTCTATGGAGGAAGTGTGGAAAGATATTGGCCTAGCTTCTCTAAATGATCATCCTGCAGGCACTGTCATCTCCACTTCAACCAATAACCTTACCTTTCCTAGTATGATCCTTCTAGACTTTTTGGCTAGACCCATCAACAAAGAACCTCCAACAAGATCAGGTGTCTCCAATGACACATCCCTTGCTGAAGAAACAACCCTTTTTGGCTCTCTAGCAGCCACTCCTGGCAAAGTATGGAGGTTGAATTCTAAGTCTGATTTCTTATGCATCGAAAGTGGTGATCCTGTGAGGCCAAACCCAGCAGTCCAAGGTCGTAGCGGTGTTGCAACTCCATCTTTTGGTTCTTCTGCAGTTTTCCCTTTTTTTTGCAAAAAAAGAGCTCAAGAAAATAATGACAATTCCGACGACCCAAGGCATAAGCGCATGATGAAGAACAGAGAGTCAGCTGCTCGGTCAAGAGCTAGAAAACAGGTAAACCTCTTTGACTCTTCCTTTCCCAGACAAGAACACACGAGGAAACTAATACGGAATATTGTATTATCTGATCACATGCTTTAAGAGTTCCTGTGATTTTTGAGTGGCTTAGGCGTACACTTATCAGTTGGAGCATGAAGTTACTCGTTTGCAGGAAGAAAATGCTAAGCTTAGAAGGCAGCAAGAGAAGGTGATATATCAGTTTTGCTTGTATATATTGCGGTAATTTGAGGAATTGGTTGATATATTGGATGCGTTTGCAAATTTGTTTTGCAGTTGTTGGCAGCTGATTCAGATCATCTCCCAAAAAAGAATACTCTCAGGAGAACTTTAACAGCTCCATTTTGAGGAGTAAAGAACTAAGAAGGTAGCAAAGCAATTTCTTCTTTGGTCTATCTTTTCTTTTTGTTATTATCACAAGTTGACGTACTTGATAAATTGTCATTAGAGGAAGTGAGGGACAGAGAAACAGAGAGATGTTTGTAAATGGGTTAGAATAGGCCACGATAGTTTGTTGAATAGATATATCTCGAGTGGTTGATAAGAAAGGAAAAAAAGATGCAATGAGGAGAGGGCTATTTTGGGATCCCAAGCCGCAGGACCAATGGAGGGTGTTTTGCTACTTTTTATATCCACTCCTTGCGTCATTGTCACTTTTGTTTTTATGCTTACTTTCTCTTCTACCAACGATGACGAGATGGTTCAAGTCGGAATAAAACAACCATGCCACCTGTTGGCTATCAATTATCACCTCTCCTTCCTACTTCCAAACCTTATCTCTACTGCGTTTATTTGATCGATTAAGTTTATTTTAAAATTAATTATTTAAAAGTAAATTAATTAATTATTTATTAATTAAATCAAATTTATATTTTTAAAAATTAATTAATCAAATTTAATTTAGTTAAATTTTTATTAATCAAATAATAAATATATTTAAATTAAATTAAATTTTAAATAAATTAAATAAAATATTTAATATTAAAATATTAGATTAAAAATGGGAAAAACTTATAAAATTAAATAATTTATTGTATATATTTTTTATTTTATATTTAAATTATATTATATTTTGATTAAAATTTTAATTAATTTAATTTAAAATTAAAAATTAAAAAATTTTAAAAGTTATTTTCATGAATGGATTAAAATTAATTTTATCATGTAATTCAATTAAAATCGAATAATAAAGGCTCTATCTATTTCATATGTTTGCGAGTCTTGCTTCGCTCTCCCTGCCCTATTCCATTGCCCCTTTTCCCAATCAAAAAGTGGCAATGCTGCTGCTTTACATTTTCTATTCCTCGTGTTATGAGATGCAGCAGAAAGGGGCTAATGGTCAGTGCCCAATCAATGGATCAATGGGAACAAAACTTTGCTGAACTTGGTTGCTTCTTTTGCTTGAATCGTCAGCTCTATTAGAGATATTTCGGACAGACAGGACAATATATTTATTGATTTTTTTTGGTACGATCACTGTTTTGATTATTATAATTGGTAATAAACATTACAATTTTCAAGATATTATTTTTTTCCATTTAAAGCTAATCATACCCAGAAGTCAAACAAGGATTATCCTTAATTAATTTATAAAAATCAAGTGGAAGCAGCAGCACTAGTTGTCTACTTTTTCCTTACCACTTTAGCCTCCCCTCCTCAAAATATCTGTTGCCACTATTCCAGAATCTGATAAAAAAATGTACAACTTAGCATGAACTTTAAACCATTGTCATTAAATTAAGAATTTCAGGGTTTAGATATTATACACACTCTCTGTCAATAATTTACTAATGTTTTATAACAAAAATTTAAAATTTTAGGATATAGATATATTTTTTATTCATAAAAATAAAAATATTACTAAAATGATTAAACGGAACTTAAAAGAAAAAGTCTCTCCGCTTCGAGTTTGAGTGTTGCTTGTTGTTCTTTGTTGATAATTTAAAATATAATAATATTATTATATAAATATAAAAATATAAAAATAATATTATTTAAATTTTTAATAAAAATTATATATAAATTTAATCAATAAAAATTTTCATAAACAAATAATTTTTATATAAAATATAATATAAATATATTTTTTAATATTTTATATAATATAAATATATAAATCATCATATTTAATATTATTTTTGAAGATATTTTTAGACGAGGGACCGGAACACCACATTGCCGTTGGTCTAAGATCGGATCAGGTCGGGCATGCTTTCCTATTAAAAGTATATATTTTTTTAAGGGAACAATAAACTATCTGTCGGTACGAGTAATTACTAACAGTACGGCAGTAACAATCAAGGACAGAAACCAATGGCTGTCACGTTCACAATCACATACACAAGCTGCTAAAGCCTGGAGGGCATAAATGTTATTATTTATAAAATATAAAATATAAAATATAATGATAATAATGATATTATTATTATAATATTATTCGAAGTGGGTTGGCCCTTTATTTCTCGAACAATATAAGGTTCAGGGCCCACCACAATGAGAAGAAACTGGGGACTTGGCTCTTGTGATTTGGGCCCACTTGTCACCTGATTCCAGCCCATTCACATAAACAAAAATCAGGCTTAAAATTTCTTCTTTTTACCTTTTGGACTCTCATTTACGACAGGTTTTTTTTATGCTTATTTTGGAAACTGATTAAGGTATTTAAGAGGTGGCAATGGGCTGGTGGTCTGGGTTGACTCACTTTTTTTCAAATTGAATAAAATTTAGATTATTTTTGAGTTTATATTATTTCGAATTTGATTTATCTTGAATTCATATAATTTTTTATCTGAATTATTCGGGTTTGATTTATTATTTATTATTTTGGATTTTTTACTTTGGCACTTAGATTATTTGAGTTGAAGTCTTCTAATTCGAAATATTTTGAATATTAAAATTAGATTAATATAATTTTGAATTAATCTTTTGAATCATTTAAATTTAAATAATTTTATATTCTAATTAATTTAAATTTGAATTGAACGAGTTTAAATTGATAATTTTTCTTAATTAAAATTTGATTGGTTCAAAACGCAGTGAGTTGAGTTATAAATCATCTTTGAAGTATGTAAAAAAAAAAAAAAAATTATGATTCCAGGAACTTAATAATGGGACATGATTATCATTTTCCAAGTAGATTGGTGGGAAAGAAGAGATGAAAGAAGACACAGAAAATTTTGTTATCATTTTCTTCATGATGATGTCACCTATCAATTATAAGATCCTTTGTAATCCTGGCTTGAGGCAAAAGGATAAAGTGATGAAATGGAGAACAACTAGAGTTAGTGGTAAACTCTATTAACCCAGTTTAAGGTTTTGCAATCTCTGTCTGAAGTTCCATAAATGGACAAGCACCAACTTTACAGACCCACCTTTTTGTTTGTTTGAGGAATGTTTTATAAGGAATTTTACTTTTTTTTTTTTTTAATTCAATAAGCAGCTTAATTTATTTATTGTATTAATGCTAAACTATTGTATTAATATTAGTTCTCGAAAAATTTTTTATGTAATGAATGTAACTTCACCCAATTGCAAAAAGTTTGAAGCAACAAGTTTTATCTTAAAATTCGCAACAAACTTTGGGAAATTTCTCCACATATTTGGGGGGAATCTTTATCTCTATATAGATATATATGTTAAATTTTGCCATAAATCCGTTGTCGTCCAGCGGTTAGGATGTCTGGCTTTCACCCAGGAGACCCGGGTTCGATTCTCGGCAACGGAAAAATTATATATATATTTACCTTTTAATTCTTTTGGGGTAGGCCCTGGTTTTATATACAGCTTTATTTTCTTGACAGAGTTTATTCATTTTATAGGCCTCTTTGGTGGATAAAAACTACTTAGAGTGGGCCTAAGCCCATATCCCTATATTTTGACCTTTTAATTATTTTGGGCTAGGCCCTGGTTTTATATACAGCTTTATTTTCTTGACAGAGTTTACTCATTTTATAGGCCTTTTTGGTGGAGTAAAACTAGTAAGAGTGGGCCCAAGCCCATACCTCATTCTGGTTCTTAATTTGTGTACTTGGTTGCACTTACTACCTACAATTATTGAAAATGCCCTTGGATTTGCTTGATGATATGAAAGGCATGCCAATACCAGTTATTAAACCTGATAAATCTTTTGTTTTTTAGGGTGACTGCAATCCTAAATCTTAACCCTAAAGTTGTACTCATTATTTTGCTGCTGTTCTGCTTTTAGTTTTAGTCTTTATAACATCATATAAAAGCTGCTACTGCTCGGATGCAGACACTAACTAAAGACATGATTATAGCAAAGGATAAGCAAGCCACTAGGTTATTTCCCGTACGTCTAACAGCAATGAAAATGCCTAAGTATCGAGGTTACCATGTTGAGGATTCTGATGTTTACATGGCAATGTCGAAATTCCATGAATATATTTTAGTTCAACAAAGAGTACTTCAGGAGGAGTAACCTTTGTATTCGGAACAGCTAAACTCGATCATCCCTCGGATCAGATACTTTTCTTCTTTTCGGACTCTGAAAAAACTTAATGACAAAGGGATTAAGTCTTTGCTCAAACTAATGGAAAACGAAACTGTAGCGATTATGGTTGCCAAACAGGACCCTACTCTTCGCCTAAAAAATTTCAAGGGACAAATAGAAAAATTCTATGTAAGAGATTTTTCAGGTGATAATTGATCAAACGCTTTTTTGTTGGTTGGAGTTAGTTTTTGGTTTTATATTCTTTTTCATCAATCAGTTTATGTTTGTGGGCATATTTTTATTCATGTTTGAAATAGGAAAAAAGAGCTCTTGATCGACATTGGAGAGCATTTTCTTGTTCTTAAGCATCAAGTGCTAACAGATGAAGCTAAAACAAGTTTCCTAAAGGACTATTCTACAAATGAATTCCAGGTTATTTCTTTGCCTTCATCCTAAGAATTAAGATATACTAATACCACCAACGAAATATTGCAATGTGCTATATATTCTGCCATTTTTTTTTTTTTTTCCGTTAGACTTGATGATCAGTAAATCAGAATTGGCTTTTCCATCTAAACTAGTGTAAAGGAAAAGAAAGATGAAGTCACATTTGCTATGGCGAATAGGACTGATAATATTGTTGTTGAAGTGAGAAGCATATCAGATGCATGTAGGCCACATAATGTTACTTTGAGATACAAGCTTCGGAGCTGCCCATTGTTTGCAAATCAGTAGCTTAAGGCAATTGTGCTTCCCATTTCTTATGAAAATTACATATGCATATTATGGTCAAAGAGCGAAAAAGTAGAATAAAACAAAAAGAAAGGCAAAACTATAGGGACAAATAAAAAAAACTGAAGACAAAATAATGGCATTTTGAGCTTTACGACTACCCTTTCTTTTTGGTAGTATAAGACAACGTTATATTTAGTGGTAAGTTGGCTTAAATGCGAGGTTCTTCACTTGATTATTTTCTTAAGTGGCTTTGGGGTCTAAAATTTGAAACTAGGGTGAGGAACAGGTTTCTGTAAGTTTATCAACAATTCACATGGTGGCTGCAGTTCCCAGAATTCAACTATCAGGATCCAATGGCTGGATGATACTGTGGGGAAAAATTAGGAAAAATAGTGAAGATCAAATTAGTAGTTTAAGCTGAAAATTTTCTTAGCTTTCAGAGCAATTAGTTGGTTTTTGGATATAAAAAAATGGGGTCATACTTTGCTTTTCTTTTTAATTTAAAATGGGCTGTTAAATAAAAGCCTGGTACTAGTATGCGCTTTCTGGTTAATCAAACAAATAGAAAAAGTAAAGAGAAGTTTCTTCCTTTTCCCTTTTTCCTTTGTTCCTACTACTTCCATGTTCCGGATAAACCAGCCATGTCATTTCTGGATTCTGGTAATCGCTCCTACCATTAACGCGTCTCTTGACTAATGGCCTGAAATGAGAAAGTCCGTATGCAAAATGAAAGAGAGTCAGCGCATGCCTGTGCCCACACTTGAAAAATAGGGATATAAGTAGATACTTCCCCATATTTTTGATAGATTATCTTTGCTCAATCTAGTGTAAGATTTTAGTGGTGGCGGACTAGCAGTGGCGCACTTAGGAGAGCCATTTAATTATAAAGGAGATAAAAATGGAACTGCAAATTTCCGATTGCGTAGGATTCCTTCCTGAATCCTATGAGCTAAGACTAACTGTATACATTGTTATCTTTGTTTGATACCAACATCTTTTGATCAACAAGATAAATGAATCATGACACCTGTCAAAAAAAAAAAAATCATGCTCTCAGGACATGATTTTTTCCAAATGTATTTAATGTCAGAACCCACTACTCTATTTCTCAAGCACTAGCGCCAAACCCTAAGCCTTCCTTGGACAACTTCAGACTTGAGTAACAAACTGACAATCATAGTACTTCAAATAGTCCACGTGGATAACACCCATTTCTGTTTTTCAAATAATATTTCATCACTTAGGTATATTTCATATGTATGCTTGAATTGTTTGACTTTTAATTAAACATTAATTCGACTCACCTAGTGTAGTGAGGTCGAAAACTCTTCGTCTCAATACTGACATAATGGACACTTTAGTAATGGAGTACACGTAGAAAAGACGAAATTATAGGATTTTGCCCCACGGTAATCAGGCAAATAAATATAGCTTCCAAATAAAAGAACACGTTTACTTTTATATTTGTGGGAAAAGCACAAGAAAATATTCCTCCTATGCACGAAAGCTTTTCCCATCAAATTTGTGTTTTGGGTCTAGTGTTTCTCAAATCGGTTGAGGCTATTCAGTTACCTAGTTTTGTATTTTAGATGCTGACAATTTTTTTTTTTATTTGCCAAACTATTGAGCTGTCTTTACTCTCAACCAGTCATCACCACTTCTCACCACCATACCACCACCATGTCAACCGGTCAATGGCGCATTAGATAAGCAAAGCCGCACTTTGGGTGGATATTAAAAGCTTTGCTGATTTGCAGTGCGCGCACACGCTTCTCACAGTCCACCATCTTACTACTATTTATATCGTTGAGTTGGCTGGGGAACTTGCTTTCTTCCGCAAATCCATTTGAGGCAGTCTCGGTTAACTCCATGAAGGCTCTTATTACCTTTATTTTCAGTTTGACGTCCCTTTTCTTCTCGTTCTCATTGTTTACAGAAACTGGAGGAGCTGCTGCAGAGAAGGATGGTGTTTATATTGTGTACATGGGAGCAGCAGCTTCGAGTAAGGGTTCGTTAAGGGATGATCATGCTCAACTTCTAAGTTCATTGTTAACACGGTGAATACACAGCTGTTGTTCTAAAATCTTAAATTTGTTTTTGTTTCTTTATATTTGAATTAGTTATGAATCCCATCCCTTTGCCTTTGATGTTGGAAAGGGAATAGTCTAACGTCAAGTTGAAAATTTTCACTTGCTCAGGAAAAAGAATGCCCTTGTACACAACTACAAATATGGTTTCTCTGGGTTTGCAGCAATTCTATCCGAAGAAGAGGCTCATTCGATTGCCAAGAGACCAGGAGTTGTATCAGTCTTCCCTGATCCGGTGTTAGAACTCCATACAACTCGCTCATGGGATTTCTTGAAGTATCAAACTTCGGTGGAGGTCGAATCCAATCCCAACTCAGATTCAAACTCAACATCTCAAGATTCGGATGGGGCCATCATTGGCATCTTAGATACAGGTGAAACTTGTCCAATATATAGAATTCCATCACATTTTTTCTTCTCTTTTTTGTTGTTCTCTTGTTTGCCACAAGTAGCGTAGCACGCAATTCGCATGACAAATTTCATTTGTTTTTGTTTTTTCTCTTTCAAATTACGTGAGCACTAACGTGAAATACAAGTTCACAGGAATTTGGCCAGAATCAGAGAGTTTTAATGACAAGGCCATGGGTCCAGTTCCATCACGATGGAATGGTACTTGCGCACGAGAACAGGATTTCAACGCTTCCAACTGCAATAAGTATCCTCTTAGCAATTATATGATTTAAATATAATTACAGTTATATTAATCTTGTAAACAAGTCCTTAACGTTTGTTTTGCAACAGAAAGATAATTGGGGCAAGGTCCTATGATGTGGACCAAAGATCGATAATAAAGTACCATTCGCCGAGGGATATGATTGGGCACGGCACTCATGTAGCGTCAACCGCAGGGGGAAGTGAGGTTCAGGGTGTATCTTACTACGGCTTGGCGGCAGGGACAGCCAAGGGTGGATCCCCAGGGTCAAGAATAGCTATGTATGCAGTATGTTCCCCTCACAATGGATGCAGTGGGTCCAGTATATTAGCAGCATTTGACGATGCGATTTCTGATGGGGTTGATGTGCTATCACTGTCCCTTGGAGCACCATCATTTCTAAAACCAGAACTTGCTAATGATCCCATTGCCCTTGGAGCATTCCATGCTGTGCAGCATGGAATTATTGTGGTTTGCTCCGCAGGAAACGCTGGCCCAACCCCTGGATCAGTTGTGAATGCTGCACCTTGGATAGTGACCGTTGCTGCTAGCACAATCGACCGAGATTTTGAGTCTGATGTTGTACTGGGGGGCAATAAAGTAATTAAGGTAATGATTTTCTTTGGCCCCCTTTCCTGTCTTCTTGTTGGCCGGTTTCGTCATTTTTATTCTTTAACTGATATACAGGGTGAAGGTATTAATTTCGCTGACATACAAAAGACTCCAACATACCCGATTATATATGCAAAATCAGCCAAGAAAAGTGGAGCAGACGAAAATGACGCGAGGTGCTTAATAATTGAGTAAATTTATGGCAATTTTATTTTAAATAATAGACACCCCACCGATCGGTTATTCCAATCACTTTGGTTGTTCAGGAACTGCAACCCAGATTCCATGGACCAAGGAATTATCAAGGGAAAGATTGTTGTTTGTGACAATGAAGATTCGTTATATGCACCGAGTGAGAAAAAAGATGAAGTGAAGAAGCTTGGAGGCATCGGGGTAGTCCTGATCGATGATGAATCAAGAACGGTGGCTTCCACTTTTGGTATATTTCCCATGACGGTTATCAGTTCAAAGGATGCCGCCAAGGTTCTCTCCTACATCAACTCAACAAAGTAATATAGCCACACATCTCAAATGGAACTCAAGACTCTGAATTAATTCATATTTGAAAATACTTATCTTTTATGCTTTTGTAGAAATCCGGTCGCCACAATCTTGCCTACGACATCACCAACAAAGTATAAACCAGCACCTAACATAGCATATTTCTCATCTAGAGGCCCTTCAACCATCCCAAAGAATATTCTCAAGGCAAATAGTCTTCTTATTCAACTTTACAGAACTTATTTCTGCCTAGGCTGATATTGATCAAGCTATACTATTGAATGTCTTGCAGCCAGACATTGCAGCACCAGGAGTAAACATTCTTGCAGCATGGATAGGGAATGACACAGTTGAGGCTCCAGAAGGCAAAGAACCACCACTATATAATGTGATCTCAGGAACTTCCATGGCATGTCCACATGTTTCTGGAATTGCCGCCACAGTCAAATCAAGAAATCCTAAATGGAGTCCCTCGGCAATCAGGTCAGCCATTATGACAACAGGTGAGGAACTAACAAGCAAAACTAAATTTACATTTACATGGTAACGCCTCGACTTTTGACTAATCTACGGCTGCTTACAACCGATTTACAGCAATTCAAATAAATAATTTGAAAGCCTCAATCACAAATGAGAAAGGTACAGCAGCTACACCATATGATTTGGGTGCAGGAGAAGTAAGCACAACAGGACCATTGCAACCTGGTCTAGTTTATGAGACTACTACCATTGACTACTTGAATTTCCTCTGCTACAACGGTTATGATATATCTACAATAAAAAATATCACGAACAATATCCCAGATGGTTTTACTTGTCCTAAGGAGTCAAGTATTGATCTTATATCCAACATCAATTATCCATCAATAGCAATTTCCAATTTCAACGAAAAAGCAGGCAGGAAAGTGAACAGAACCCTTACAAATGTTGCCGGAGATGATAAAACAGAAGATGCTAAAACAGTCTATACTGTAAGCATTGATGCACCTGCAGGCCTAGATGTTCGAGTGGTTCCAGACAAACTGCAATTCACTAAAAATGGTGACAAGTCATCTTATCAAGTGAGTTTCTCAGCCGTAAATCCGCTAAAAAATGACGTATTTGGATCCATAACATGGTCTAACGGAAAATACAAAGTCAGAAGTCCATTTGCTGTAAGCAGTAAAAACGATGACTAGGTGCTAAATCCTTAATAAGCATTAAAGCAATGTGTAGAACACCTATAACAAAAACAGCAGGATCCCAACTTTGTCAATTTTACTGTAATAAATATGAATCAAAGCTCTTTTACCCTAACTTTATGGTATCTTCTATGTTTTCCTACATGTTCTAATGTTCAACACCAAAGTATGCAAAATCGCATCCAAAAAACAGAACATAATAAAGGACAACATATATTAGCATTTGAACGGTTCCACAACACATAACAGTTAAAGCAAGTAAAACCAGACAGAAACAACAACCCCATGTTCTCAAGCACAATGAAAAATAAAATAAAAGAGAAATCGGCATGAGCTATGTTCAATTCAAATGAGATTCTTCATTCAAAAGCCCACTGATTCTCCCGACGAACCTCTTCCTCTTCCTCCGGAGTAAAATCATTCTTAATATTAAATGTCTTACGGACCTCCTCCGGTGTTTTGCCCTTTATCATATCCGCCACCGTTTGACACGTCAGGTCCAACAGGTTCTTGATGTTCAAATAATTAGCAGCCTTCACAAAAAAAAAGGACCGTTAAATATAAATTTAATCAAAATCTAAATCCCTAAGAAATCATCAAAGAAGGCAGCTTCACCAGGATGAGTTCATAGAGGGTGGCTTGATCGACCTTGACGAAATCAGCGTCCCAAGATTTAAGCTCATCGTCAACGGAGGCTGAACGATCGTCGGATTTAGGTATTTCCACGTGTTTCTTGCAGTACTCGATTACTTTAGACAGGATCTTACTGGTGACGTTGGGCAAAGGGATGCCGTTGTCGGCGCAATCGTCCTCAATCATGTGCTTAATCGTTTGTGATTCCAGAGCCACCGCCTCATCCACCTCGAAGTTGTCGCCGTCCGAGCTCTTCAGGGTGATTTTCCGACCCGTAGACGACATGACGATGGATCCAATTGGAAGGTGCCTGAAACCCTAATCGAAAGAGGGAAAATATAGGAGCTGAGATTCCCCGTATATTGCCTAAATATAGATTTTTATTTTTTTTAAACATAAAAGATAAAAAAATAATATAATAAGACTAGCGGTTAAAACATAAAAGAAACAATTAAAGTAGGAAAATGGCACCAAAAGGCCAACTTGAGACCATAAAGGCCATTAGTTATCGAGGGACATCTTCGTCTGGCTAGTTTCCCTCTTCTCACCGCCAACAAAACAAATAAATATACTCCGAGCGGTATTTATTTTTATAGAGTTTAAATTTTGTTTAATTTTAATGTATTTAATATTAAAATTAAAAAAATTAAAATTAAAATTTTATAACTTTTAATATTAAAAAGTGAAAATATTATAAAAATAATTTTAAAATATAAAAAAATAAAAATTTTAAATATTAAAAATATATAATTTTGAAATATTTCAAAGAAGAAAAATCGAAGAAAAAAAAATTGGAACAGATAGAATGTAATGATGAAAGATTGTTTATGAGAGATGAAAACGTGTTAGATTTCTATTTTTACTTGACAACATAATTAGATAGATAAATAGGATTGAGGTAGCGTTTTAGCTAGCTTGCTGGAGTTGTAGGTACACTTTTAAGGGCTAATCAGGCATAATTATTTGTTATTGATCAAGTTCCTCGTAACGCAATTATTAGGATCGTTTATTTTATGGAAAACTTATGGGCCTCCGTAATATTATACTGCAAGGTGCTGCTTATCAAAGGCCTGTATCGATCGACTTTAAATTAATATACATTAAATTTGAGTTTGAATTTAGTATAATATTTAAAATTTGATTCGAATTTAATTTAATTTAATTTTTTTAATTTAAATTTAATTTAAAATAAAAATTAAATTAATTAAATTTATTTGATTTAATTAACATGTAAAAATAAATTTAATTTTTATATTAAAAATGTTTTGATTATTTATATTAAGATATTTTATTAATTAAAATATTAAAATTTAATTAAGTTTGCGAGTAACTTAAGTCAAGTGTAAAAATATTCGAATTCAACTTGATTAATAAATCGAGTTATTGAAGTTCGATCTCGACTTAATAATAATTAATCGAATTTAAGTTTTATTTGAATCGAATATTAAAATTTATGAGTATTAATATATCATTTATATTTTTAATCAAAGCTCTGCTTGAAATCTTAACTATTCATTACATCAGTGTTCTTGGGAGAAGAAGAATGACATGGGAGCTTAAACCAATTGAAATATATATATATATATATATATATGTATTTATATGTATAAACGTATGGTAGTAATATTTAATCTGTGTTGAGCGAGGATTGAAATTGTCAAACCCTTTGATATATTGGAAACAAAGAGAAGAATGAAGGATCTAATTAACGACATGGTCAGGAGCTGCTATGAAATTTTGTTCACGACTGCCGAGACGATGATCCTGTATGCTTTTTCTGAACAATGCACCACGTCCAAAATACATGGCTATATGTTTGGAGAACCCTAAAACCAATTAAAATTAATAAATATTAATCTGCTTTAATGGAGGACTTAATATATCCAAACATTTGAAACAAAGGGAAGAAATTTAAAAGCAAAACAACAAATTAAACTAAAAGCTGCCGCAAAATTTTGTCCATGACTTCCGAGACAATAATCTTGTATGCACTTTCTGAGGGATGCCCCGCGTCCCAAAATACATAGTTAGAAGTATTGGAACATATCAATGGATTGAATTGGTTGCATAGATATGCTGCCTCTACCGTCCCCATGCCACACCAACCATGGGTGGAATCATTAAGCCCTAACATGGTAAATTAGTACTAATATTAGCGTGATTTAAAGATTTTTGACACAATAAAACGGGTAATCTTACACGAAGTCTTTACCATATTTATTAAGATTTTGAATGAGATCAAGAAGAGGGTTGTAGACATAGGATTATCTTAGCTCCAAGACATTCTAATTTGTCTGAGATTTTACTTGAGTTTGATTTTGTTAATAAATATAATTAAAAAAAAAAAACAAGTGGTTGGATTTGTGTGAAATTGTGAGATTGATTGTAAAGTTTGAGTTGGATTTAAGAATTAAAATTTGAATTTAAAAAGAATCCAAACTCCTTTTCAGTTTAGGGTTCTCAGATTTGAAATCTTATAAATACATATCTACACATAAATCAGAAAACATATAGATTAGGGACACAGACAAAAAAATAGAAAAAAAATCACGTAAGGAAAGCTAGAAAGCAGTCAAAAAATTTTGGAGATTTCTTTCGGGTTAAAAAATAGATTTTTTTTTTAAATTTTTGAAAATTTTTCAATTTTTGATTGAATTTTTCAACAACATTTGAATTTTTCGATGATTTTCTGACGAGATTTTCACATTATAACAAAATTTTCAATTTTCGACTTCAAATTTTCAGAAACTGGTGAACTTCCAATAAACATCTTACGACTCAACTCAAATTTTAATGAAATTTTTATAATCCAATGAAGAATTCAACGGAGTTCATCAATTCTAGAGAGAAAATAAGAAAAAAAAAGAATGAGAGAGAGAGAGAGAGAGGGGAAAGAAAATCTGAGGGAAAAAAGATAAAATTTAATTTTTTACATCATTCCAAAACGATGTCGTTTTTGAGTTAAATGGCATCAGGATCATGTTGTTTTTGTTCAAGCCGACTTGACCCAAGCATTCGACCTGCCTTTGACCAACGGACCCATCATTGGCTCGAGCCGAGCCAAGCCTCAAGCTACATTGTTACAGCCATTGTTCCTGCTTGAAGCCGAGCCATGCCGTAATCGCTGAGCCAAGTCGATCATGTTTGGTATTATTTTATTTTATTTATTTTAAAAGTATTTTTACATGATCAAATTTTAGAAAAAAATAAAAAAAATATTTTTTGAGAATAAATAATAATTATCTAATGATAAATTTTATAAAAATTTCAAATGATAAATTTTTATAAAATTCCTAAGTGGGATATTTTTTTCTAAATTTATCCCAAATGGTGGAATAATTTAGATAAAGTTTAAATAATAATAATTAATATTTATTTTCAATAAAAACAAACCAAAATAAATAAAATAAAAATATTAATAAAAATTTTGAGATTAAATATGAATTATCCAAGGATGATATTTTTAAAAATTTCAAATGATAAATTTATTAAAAAATCACTAGGTGAAATTTTTTCTAAATTTGTTCTAATGGTGGAATAATTTAGATAAAATTTTAATAAAAATAATTGTATTCTTTTCCAAATAAAAAATTTTGGTTGAAAATATTTGACAATTATCCAAGGATGAGAATCTTGAAAATTTCAGATGATAAATTTTCTAAGAAATCTCTAAATGAAAATTTCTTTAAATTTGCTCCAAATGATGGAAGAATTTAAATGAAATTTTAAGAAAATAATTTTCATATTATTTTCTTTTCAAAGAGAAATAAAATTTTTTTAAATAGACCTAAATGATGAAAGAATTTAAATGAAACTTTAAAAAAATTATTGTCATATTATTTTCTTTACAAAGATAAAAAAATGCAAAAAAAAAAAATTTAAATAGGTCTAAATGGTGGGAAATTTAGAAATAAAAAAAATTTTCTAAGTTGGCCCAAATGGTGAAAATTTTAAAAATAAAATAAAATAGCAATAAATTCTGATAATGAAATTCATAGTAATCGCAAATGGTTGATTATCTAAGATGTTTTTAGGTGAAAATATATTTTTAATTTAGTCCAAATGGTAGAATAATTAGATATATTTCGATAAAAACCAAAATAAAAAAAATTAAATCTTTTTTTTTACGATTAAACTTCTTTAAAAAAAATAAATGAAATTTTTAAATACTCTTGATGTGAGGACATAATTTTAAAGAATTCTACCAGATTGATGGAGAAACCTTAAAAATTATTTTTAATTTTTAAACATTAAAATTTAAAATCATTAGAATCAAGACTTTAGAATAGTTTAAAATAAAATTGTATCATCATTTGGATGTGCATGTAAAGATGTTATAATCTTTCTCATATGTAACCGAACGCTCAAACTTTATTCTGATTAGTAGATCGAAACCTATTCTTTTAGAAATTTAATCAAGTTTAGGAACTCCTTAAAATGATAGATTCATTAGGTGACCGATCATACCTAGTTAAAAAAGATTGGTGTCGACTTCTCTTGTTAAATCTAGTTATAGAGTTTCAGATCTATATGTTATGATAGGAAGATTATTGTTAAGATTGCTTATTTTAACTTCCAACTTACAATTGAACATCACTGCTGCTTCGTTGGCCAGTTCTACACAATTTCCTCTCATAGTACTTCTCGTCGCCGGCATGCATTCCAAAGGTAGAGTGCTTAGATATGCAAACTTCTTTGCTCCTATTCCATGCAAATCCTTTAACCATATGCCATTGAGAATAGAGATACTTCAATTTCTTTTTTAATTCTATATTGAACAAAATATGGAAAAGAAATAATAAATCTTTTACCTTAAGAAAAGTTGAAGCCCAACCAACCAATTGTGTTGTGCATTCATTAATGTCATTCTTCAAAATTAAAAAATAGGTGATCCTAATGTCATTGTTGCCAGATGACACAAGGAATAAGTTGTTGGATCTGGTAGCTTTGGTTTTTTTCACTCCAACTGCTCATTCTAGCTTTTCAATGTATTGTTTTAAGAGATAGAGTTGATCCATCATTGTTAAAATCAGGGTTTCAAATAGCGGTTGTATAGCGGAATAGCGACCATGAAATTGTAGTAGCACCACCACTTGTTATCGTTATAGAAGAAAATATGATTAAAAAATTGAATCACACTCAAAATGATATGTAACGGCTGTTAGAAAATGGTGTAACGAGAAAAAAGGTAATAACAGATCGTTGTTGCCGCTATCCTCGTTTTCTTAGTCACTGGTTTAAATTAAACAAAAAAAAAAAACTTTAATCGACAGTAACCCTAACTCAATCCATAAATTACTTAAATTCAAATTAGTTTCAAGTATTGAATCAACAATCAAAATTAAAAAAGATAAGAAAAAAATTAAATTATCTTTATTTTTTGTAAAATTTTTATAAAATAATATTGATATTTATGATAATCTGAGAAAGATTAGATCGAGACACTCTGTAGGCAATAACATTAATAAGGGTACACGAAAGAGAATGACAAATGCAAAGAGAAAAAATCGAAGAAGAAGAAGATACGAAGAAAAGTTGAGGACTGAGGGTTCTACCTTTCTTGTTATCAAAATTTGGAGAAAATTTTGGTGGAGGGGGCTGTTTGTTGTGCATGGGTACCGAGTAAGGTGGGGTGGGGTAGGTTAGGTCGGGTTAGATTGGGTGGGTGGGTTTTTATTTATTTAATTTTATAATTAATTTTATTAAAATATAAGTTTAAAATTTTGTAATTTTTGAAATTATATATATGGATTTTAGATGAAAAATTTTAATAAATTTTTTTGTATAAGTTAGATGAAAAATAATTGAAATTAAATATTATAATTTAATTTTGTTATTTATTAATTTATGATTTTGTATTTAAAATTTAATAATTTTTTTGTTATTTTGGTATTTATATTATTATCAATTCTTTTGTTATTAGATTAATTTTTATTAATTTATAACTATTGTTGATGAAATTTAAGATTATTATATTTTTAAGTCTGTAATTTTATTAAATATAAATGCTTGGTATTTAACGTATTATATTTGGTTAATATTTTGATTTGTTTAAAATTAATTTTAAATATAAATTGGCTCAAGAAAAAATTTTGTTGCTAAACCAAATATAAATGCTTTTTATAATCCAAAAAAAAATTATGAATAATTTTTTTTAAAAAGTAAAATACATAAAATGTCCTAACCTGTTTTTAAAAATATTAAATAAGAGTTTTTATAATTATAATTATAATTATTATATTTTATAATAAATTATGCAAAATTAAAAAAAAATTACGATCGTAATTATCACTATGATCTTCGTTATATTCAAAAATATAATAAACGTAATGCAACCGAAAACGTAACCGCTACTAAATCCTTTGTTAAAATATTCTGATTTCATCCCGGTAAACATACGCCCATTTAAAATTAAATGCTTAAAAGAGAATATAATAGTCCAAAATACAACTCCATTGGTAACTATATAAACTGTACTTGGGCAGTTAGTTTGTCTAATCCGGAACCACCTGAAGCAAAGCATGCACCTGTTGCAAAATCTTCATTTTGAAAATTTGGTTCTAGAAATACCGGCAATTTAGACTTAATTCCCAAACTTTCAGCTATAAAAGGCATTAAAGACCATTAAAATTTGCCTGTATTTATTTGTTAATTAAGATTCATATGTGAATGTGATCAGTTTATATCAGTTAAAAGTGGGATGTAAAAGTGATAATAGGAAGGTAGAGAAAATTATAACTACCCATAAAGTAAGACGAAACTTTTCCATTTCCAAATCTTCCAGTTGCTTTTCCTCCAGGAAAGTCTTTTCCATAGGGAGGGAAATTGCATTTTGTTATTGTAGAAAGATTGTTGTTGTTAACCGTGCCAAGTATTGAATCTCCAAATGCTAAAAGAGCAGAAAATGTTTGATTTCGAGGACAGCTTGCAGCCATAGAGATTCCAACATCACCTGTACTGCGATTGTAAACAAGAATAAAACATAAAGGAAGCACAATATTTGAAGATGCAGAAGGCATTTTCAAATTCCGCATCTTCAAAAAAAGAAAACCTCAAATTTTAAATGATTTATATGATGTTAAGTTTGTAAAGAGTTTGGTATGTATTTGAGTTTCTGGCACCCTTACTTATATAGCTGGGGAGCGAGGAGGCAGGCACCTTCCTCTTTTGGTCATCGATTGCTCATGACTATTAATCTTTGATTTGTCGAGGGAGGCTAAAAGGCATGTTCATTTACGTCTAATAAGAGATGAATTGTTAGTGTTCCATCCAAAACATTCTATTTAGAGATTCAAAGGCCCGATGGCTATCATTAATCTTTGATTTATAAAGTCTTGAATACAAAGTCACTCTTCCAATTACTTGGCGAAAACCTAAACGTTAGGAAAATAGTTATATTTGGTAGCTTGGCTTTACAGCAGAGTATACTGAAACCTCTTTTTGTTCTTCGGAGAATTTAGTATGACTTCAGTTTATGTGGCTAGGACAAAGCCCAAACCTTAAAATATGCAATAGTTATACAATGTTAGGCTCTAATCTTAACTGTAACATACATAGAGATGGAAAGCAGGTTCCGTGTTCAGTCTTTTGAACAGAAGGGTGAACAATGCATACCCCAGAAATTCCTCAAGTTCTTGAACTAGACTAGCCACGGTAATTGCTTAAGTTGGAGTTGTTGCAACACATGGTATTTTTTTTTTTCTTATCACATCTTTTTCTCTTCTACCGATTCGGATTGATGCAATCTTTGTTTGCTTATATTCTACTCTCGCACGAAAAAAGAATGAAAAAGAAATTTGGAACTGTTCGGAAAAACCCCTTTATTTGCAACTTGAAAACCTAAAATTGGTTTGCTATAATTGCTGCTAATGCCAGATAATCATGGGCCTCTATTATTTGTCCGAAAGGAATAGCTATAAGCCTAAAGCGAACGCTACTGAGTTATTGTATTAGATTGTCTTCTGGGGCTCCTTACATGATGAAATTATGGGCCATTTGGCCGAATTCACTGGCCTCAAGGCTTACGACAAAAGGCCGAACCAACAATGTTATCTTTTAGCTGGCCCTTTAGATAGTCCATCAGCCTAAATCAATCGATTTTAAATCGAAACAGATTATTAATATATTGTTCTTAGGATAATTTTACAGCAACAATCTCAAAAATAACAAAAAACTATAATATATTCATTGCAGCATGCGGTAGCTCTTATAATGAACAATGGAACCCTAATCTGATATATACATTGGAAACAGAGAGAACAAAAATAACTGAAAGCAACAAATTAAACCGAAAACTGCTGTAAATTTTGGTTAATGACTCCCGGGACGATAATCCTGTATGCTCTTTCTGAGGGATGCCCCACATCACAAAACACATGGGTATTTGGATTGGGACACGTCATCGGATTATATTTGTTGCATAGAAATATCATCTCTACCCATCCCGTCCCACAGCAACTACGGCTGGCAACATCAAATCCTAAAATAGAAAATTAGCAGCAATTGATTAATTAGAAGATGGGAAATATGTATAATTCGTCTCAACGTTTTGTTCCTCTTGACATGACAATAATCTATCGTTTTGGTTATAATATCTCATTTGAATCAGTTGATTTACCCTAGATCCCACCAATAAGTACACTTCATGTCAAAGGTATAAATGTTCGAGATAAAATTAGTGAGGCAATTAGCATGATTAATCTTGGAACATTATTCAAGGTAAAATCTTGGAAAACCACACGATAAAACAGGCAATGATCTTTCAAGAAGGATTTACCATATTTTTTATAATGCTGAATGACTTCAAGCAGAAAGTTGAAGACATCAATGAAGACTATCTTAGCTCCAGAAAGGTTATTGTTAAGATTGCTTAGTTCGGCTTCCAGCTGAACTTCACTGCAGCTTGGTTGAGCCATCTAGACAATTACGTTGAAGCCCTCCTCCAAGACTTCTAAATTTTGACAAGCATCCCAAAGGCAAAGTGCTTAGAAACGCAAACCTCCCTGCTCCCAATCCATGCATTTGCTTAAAATAGATTCAATCGAGAAGGTAGATAATTCAATTTCTGTTTTCCTTTAAGTAAACCAAATATGAACAAGCTTAAATAATTAAATCTATAGAAAAAAAAATGATAAAAGGTAGTAAAAACCTTGATAAAATTAGAAGCCAAGCCAACCAATTTTGTTGTGTATGTATCTATGACAACTCACATATTCTTGAGAATTGTAAAATAGGTGATCGCAATGTCATTGTTGCCGGATGACATGAGAAACACGCCATTGGATATGGTGGCTTTGGCATTCTCCATTCCGACGGCTCCTTCTAGTTTTACTAGGTATTGTTTGAAGATATTGAACTGATCGGAGATCGATATAAGATTCTGATTTCATCCCAGTAAACATACAATTAAGTGCTTAGAGATGGAATACGAAAGTCCAAAATACATTTCCAGGGCAACAAAATATAACCTGTATTTTGGCTGTTAGTTTGTATAAACCTGAACCACCTGAAGCAAAGCATACGGCTGTAGCAAGTTCTTCAGTTGGAAGATTTGGGTCAAGAAATGGAGGCACTACCGATTTAATTCCCAAACCTTCCGCTGTTAAAGGCAATAACAAAGTTAAAATTGGCCTACCTTTCATTGTTAATTTAGGTTAAAAATACGATTGTGATATATCTCACAGGTTATTGCTAACTATTACGAGCATTCTTTAAGGTCGGATAACATATTATTTACAATAATAATTTTGTATTAGAGTTGGTAATTGAGTTAAGGTGGGAAGTGGTGAGACATTGATTTTGGAAAATTTTAAAATAATGATAAAAATGAAATTGATTATTGTAAGGATGAAATTGATTACTATAAGGAAAAATTAAAATCAATATATATTATAAAATATGTTTGAATGCAAAAATAGGAAGATAAAAAATGATTGACTAAAAAAAATAAAAAATGATCATTAAAATACTTAAAAGGAAATTAGATTGAATATTTTTAAAATAAAAACTGAATAGTAAAATATTATGTTCAAGGATTCGGTACAACGATTCACAAAACCCTTTTCCCTCTAATCCAAAGTTATGGGCTCATTGTAATTGACAAGCCCCCAACTACAATGCATCTTAAACATCAAAATGCATTGAAATGGTGTGATTGCACCAAAAAAGTGGTTAATAGCAAGTATAATTGAATCCAAATTAAGCAAGTATTCAAATACATTGAAAAAATATACTTTCCTTGTATGATAATTTTAAAGATTGCTCTTAAGGTACTGATTAGCAATGGCATCGTAAAATTAACAAGTCAAGATACAGCAAGATTAGAAAGAAATTAACAACTGATCAAAGACTGCGGGTCAAAGGGTTGTTTTTCATTTACGGCAAGCAAAAGAGATAACTTAACTACCTATTAAGTCAGATAAAACTTTTCCATTTCCAAATCTCCCTGTCGCTATTCCTCCAGGTAAGTCTCGTTCATAAGGAGGGAAATTGCACTTTATTGCTGTTAATTGCCAGTTGTTGTTACCCGTATCCAGCATTGAATCTCCAAATGCTATGCGGGCTGGAAATATTTGATTTCGATGAGTGACTCCAACATCTCCTATCCTAGCTTCTGTGCTATAGAAAACAAGAACAACACATAATGCTAGAAGAATTTTTGAAGAAGAACGCATTTTCACACACCCAGACACACACACACACAAAGGAAAAATTAACATTTCAAGTGAATTAGGATGATATGATTAAATAGTTTATAACAATCGTCCCTAAACATTTGATTTAATGGTTAAAAGCACTTGAGAGGATATTAAAGGTTTGATTTGGAACTAGATTTCCCTTCTTCCTTTTACTTATATTAAGGATTTGTTCTCCTAATGTAATAATAAAAAAATAATTTCTGGCAACCTCATTTATGTGGCTGTCCGAGAGGCCAGGAGGAAATTGTATTGAAAGTTAAAAATAGGCACCTTCGTTTTGGTCATTGAGACTTCCATGCAAAAACATAAAATCGAACAGGTACATCCATTTTCTGAAAGCTATTGAATCGGGCTTATATGCTGGCGACTTTAAAGAAATTATTAATATTTAATTTATATTATCAAGTATTGAATCCAGTTTTAAGGTGCAAATCTTTCGTTCACTTGGTCTAAGTCGGATGTTTGATATGAAATTATTATTATATGATGCTATTTATGATAAATTTGGGAATTGAAATGTAATTGTACTTCTTCGTATGCTTCTAATACATTGCAGCTTTGCTCTTATAATGAACAATGGAATATTCATGGGAGTTGAAGACTAGAGCAACTACACATATGCAGCAAGAACATGGGTGCTTAAACCAATTGAAATTAATAATAATAATCTTCTTTATTGGTGGACTGAAAATGTCAAAACATTTGAAACAAAGAGAAGGAATTTAAAAGAAAAACAACAAATTAAACCAAAAGCTGCTGTGAAATTTTGCCCATGACTTCCGAGACAATAATCCTGTATTGCTCTTTCTGAGGGATGCGCTGTGTCCCAAAATACCTGGTTAGATGTATTGGGACATGTAAATGGATTTAATTGGTTGCACATATACGCTACCTCAAATGTCCCTGTGCCACAGCAACCACGGGTGGAATCATCAAATCCTAACATGGTAAATTAGTACTACTATTAGCTTAATTTAAAGATTATTAAGGTTGAAATTTCAACACAATAAAACAGGCAATCTTACACGAAATCCTTACCATATTTATTAGGATTCTGAATGAGATCAAGAAGAGGGTATCAATTAGGACTATCTTAGCTCCAGGAAGGTTACTGTTAAGGTTTCTTATTTCAGCTTCCAGCTTAGAATTGAACATCACTGCTGCTTGGTTGGCCAGTTCTACACAAACTAATCCTCCCACAATACTTCTCGCCGCTGGCAGGCATCCCAAAGGTAGAGTGCTTAGATATTCAAACTTCCTTGCTCCCAGTCCATGCAAATCCTTTAACCAGATTCCATTGAGAAGAGAGATACTTCAATTTCTTTTTTAATTCTATGTTGAACAAAATACGGAAAAGAAATATTAATAAATCTTTTACCTTAAGAAAAGATGAAGCCCAGCCAACCAATTGTGTTGTGTATTGATTAATGTCATTCCTCAAAATTGAAAAATAGGTGATCCCAATGTCATTGTTGCCAGATGAAGTAAGAAACAAGCTGTTGGATATGGTAGCGTTGGCTTTCTCTGCTCCAACTGCTCCTTCAAGCTTTGCAACATATTGTTTGAAGAGATTGAACTGATCCGTGATTGATAGAATATTCTGATTTCATCCCAGTAAACATACGCCCATTAAAATTAAATGCTTAAAAGTTAGACTATGATAGTCCAAAACACAATTCCATTAGTGACTCTAATATACCTGTATTCGGGCTGTTAGTTTGTCTAATCCTGAACCACCTGAAGCAAAGCATGCACCTGTTTCAAGATCTTCATTTTGAAAATTTGGGTCTAGAAATGCTGGCATTACAGGCTTAATTCCCAAACCTTCAGCGGTAAAAGGTATGCATTAAAGACCATTAAAATTTGCCTACGTTTCATTGTTAATTAAGATTCATATGTGAATGTGATATATGTATATCAGTTAAAAGTGGGTTGTAAAAGTGATAATAGGAAGAAATAGAAATTTATATAACTACCTATCAAGTCAGAGAAAACTTTTCCATTCCCAAATCTTCCAGTTGCTTTTCCTCCAGGAAAGTCTCTTCCATAGGGAGGGAAATTGCATTTTGTTACTGTAAAAAGATTGTTGTTGTTACCCGTATCAAGTATTGAATCTCCAAATGCTAGAAGAGCCGAAAATGTTTGATTTTGAGTATTGCCTGGAGCAGGAGAGCCAACATCTCCCATGCTAGCATCTGTGTTATAGAAAACAAGAATAGCACATAATGGAAGCAAAAAATTTGAAGAAGCAGAAGGCATTTTCACACACAAAAAAAAAAAAAGAAGAAAAGACCCCTTCAAGTTTCAAGTGGATTATGATGTTTTGTTTGTGCAGGTTTTGTTAATTGAGTTTCCGGCACTCTCATTTATATGGCTGGGAGGTCAGGAGGCGAATGTATTGAACGTTCAAAATAGGCATCTTCATTAAGATTACTTACTATAAAAAGCATTAAGGGCATATTTTATACATAAAATAATGAAAATGATATAAAATTAATCATTTTATATTATATTTGATTTGAATTTAAAATAAGATATAAGATTATAAGGAGGATTAATCATCTTCTTGATATAGGATGATTCAATCATCTTAAAGTAAATAGTATCATTTTTAATTTATGAGATTGAATTTGCGTATCCTTAAAAATTATATTAATAATTTAAATTATATAAATTTTTTTAAAAAATAATATTGACCAATAAATAAATTATTTTGTCCTAATTCTTACACATATTAAATATATGATAGGATGCCATTATTTAAACTAATTCTATTTATAATATCATTTTATCATATCATATCATAATCTTATATACCAAACACATCCTAAAAATATTTTCACTCTCATAAAAAAATTAAAAATTTATGAAAAATTATTTTATTCAATAAATTTTTTAGATTTCATAAACTAAATTAATGAGGTGACATATACTTTTCACTTTTCAAATATATTAATAAAAATAAAATATGTATCAATTTATTAATCTTGCTTATAAAATTAAAAAATTATACTAACAATATATTATTTATTTTTCTTTTATGAAAGCTATTCAAACATCGAATGGGTGCATTCATTCTTATTGTTTGATCTAAAAAAATTTATCTAAATTAACAAAATCGTGCTAGGGCAATGTATCTAAGAGTACGTCTAATTATAGAAGAATTGTTGGTGTTCCATCCACGATACACTATTTTGAAATCGATTGCCCCATGGTTGCTATGAAATAGAAATCAAATTAAGGTGTATCTGTGTTCCTCTAATATTGCAATGAGGGTTAAAAAAATGCCTTTATTTTCAACTTGAAAACTTGAAATGGGTTTGCTATATTTTCTGCCAAGTCCAGATAATAATGGGCTTTTAATTATTTGTCCAACAGTTGTAGCCTTTAATAAATGACTGAAATTGTTTGGATTATTGGGCTGCCCCCTGGGCTGCTTTTCAAGCCGTAAGGCTTAGGAAGAAAGGCTCCAAGAGCAATGTTAACCCCCTAACTGGACGAGAAGGCAGACCACCAGCCCAAATTAATCGATCTAAAATCAGCTGTTAAATTGAAAACAGAGCAATATTTTTACAGTTCCTGGGAAAATAAATTAAGAGCCAACAAGAACAGTTATCCTGGTGAGAAGGTGTTGGACATTAGCTATGATATTCTTTATAAAAATATTTTCATATTAAATGCAATAACCATGTCTTCAATTCTTAGAAAAAGTTATTGGTATTTTTACTGAGGAGATCATAGACCAGAAGCTTGCTTGCTCTCTCAGTGAGATGGTAGATGTCCCAAAAGATATAATCACACACGTTTGTGGACGTTCCCATGTCCAATTGATTACATAATACTGAAATCTCCAGTGTGCCGGTGCCACAGCACCCTTTGTCCACAATTTCAAATCCTGAAACATGTTGGCTATTAAATTTGGTAAAGTCAAAACAAGAATAGTGCGGGAGGAGATGAAGTGCAGGAGAAAAATGATAATTTTACCGTATTTATTATGATTTTTTAGGAGATCAAGCAAAGGTTGTAGACATCTAGGTAAACCACCTCGGCAAGCTGCAAATGGCTGTTCAGGAAATCCAGCTCTGCATACAATTTAGAGTTAAATAATTGGGCTGCTTCATTTTAATTCTCTAAGCATTCTTCCCCTGTACTTCCAGCCAAGATTCTTGGTAATGGCATGCATCCAATTGGTGGTACATTTAAAACACCAATCTTCCTTGGCCCCAATCCATGTAGTTCCTTCAGAGACATTGAATTTATCGGTTACATTAGGTTTTAGTCAATGCTTCTGCTAAAACATGAATAATACCATTAAGCATTATCTGTTTATGTTCAGACTCTTACTCAAAAAAGTTACCTTAAAGAAAGCTGAAGCCGAACTGACCATAAGATCAGTATAAATAGCAATATCATAGTGCAACATTTGCCTAATACGGGTGTTAAAATAGGTATTCGCAATGTCATTACTGCATGATACAACTTTAAATAAACTTTTAGCCAATGGGCTGTGTGTTCCTTCTTCTCCTGTAATTGCTTTCAACTTCTCTTTGTATTCTCTGAACTGCAGCAATTGATCCGACAATGATGCAACTAACTGATTCACCAAAGATAAAGAGAGGAAATTGAAGTGAAGTTTAAAGAACTATAATATAATCTTTTTTTTTTTTTTTGGGGGGGGGGGGGGTTGTGGGAACGCAAAGTGCTAAGACCTTTAGTTTCGGCGTCTATGGATCATATCCTGATCCACCAGAAGCAAAGCTTACACCCGTGAGTAAATCCTGATGCTGCAAATTTGGGTCCAAATGTGCTGGCAAGACCTCTTTAATTCCCAATTGTTAGACATAGTGATTTAAATCTCATAAGAGATTTATTTAACGTTATGTTTGGATAAATATTAATAAAAAAAAATTTTAAAGAAAAAAAAAGATACATGTACCTCTTGTTTGGATAATTAAAATTAATAAAAGAAATGAAATGAAAGGTTCTAACAATCATTTTTTGAATAAAGAGTGAAAAAAAATTATTATAATAATTTTTTTTAATTATAACCTTTCATTACTTATGATTTTAGAGCACTTTTAAACCATAATATGTTTGCTAATCTTGTTTAGCTTCACAATTGCTACTATATTAATGGTTTTTAATCAAGTGAAACAAAAAGATGTTTTACAAACATGCATTGATGGATTTGTTGACCATTATCAAAATTTTAGCACATTATCGCTTTGGCGATATATTCATATAAAAACTATTAATTATAAAAAATGCCATCACATAAAAATATTACATATGAGTAAATTATATGTCCTTTTTGCACCAAACAAAAAGTAATAACATATCATTATATAGTTGTCCAACATAAATTTATTTTACTAAAATAAAAAATAAATATTTCCATCCTATGAAAAATAAACTTATTTCAATAAATTAAAAACTTATGTAGCAAAAAAAAAAAAAATTGACATCTTTAATGACTAGATGAACCAAACACCAACTTTTCAACAACTTTTTTTTTATCACATGGGCATCCAAGTATTGCTCTTACTTTTTCAGGATTATCAATAAAATATAGGTAAGCAGTAGTGATTCATTGTGAGTCAATTCCTATCTCCTCCAATAATCATAGCCAAGTTAATTGTGTTTCGATGAAACATTTTCCTTTTGCCATTCTTATTTCTATAATGTCCTAAAATTACCGACATCTCAAACTATAATATATTACATATAAAAATAAAATTTTTGAGTTAATTTGACATCTCATAAACCTAAAAAATATGTCTATTCATATCCAATCATTCATCAAGATCAAATTATCAAAAAATTATAAAAAATTTTTATATTAGAAGAGATATGTGAAACTTACTTGAAAAAAGAGATGACTTTGAAAAAAATTATAATAAGATTGTGATGTGGTTATGTTTTTTTGTACTACGCTTTTGGTATTAATAAAAAGTTGGATATAATAGTCTTTTTACAAAAATAAATTTTTTTTAGCTTTCTTTTTCTTAGCTTTTCCCCCAAATTGGGGTATTAAAAAAGTGAAGATTATAGGAAAAATCACGAGTTATTGAATTTCCACATTTTTTTTTCTTTTAAATTAAAAGTTTATCCAAATAAAAGAAAAGTTTTTTTGTATCCATTACTTTATTTTATTTTCCTTTCCTTTTCTTCCCTTCCCCTTAATCCAAACATACTGTAAGATTTGTTATATATTACTTGATAAACAAGAAAATTTGTAGAAAAAGAATTTTAAAAAGAAAAAAATTCTTAATAGACAAATTTGACTTGCAAAAGAAGAATTCTAAAAAGAAATAGATTCTTAATAGACAAGTGAAGTTTTTATAAGGTTAAATATGAGAAAAAAATATAAGAGAATTATAGGTTTTGTGAGATAAACACCCCATAGGAATACTAGGAATTTATGTCTTACAGATATGTATGTTTAAATGTCTGAGAGTGGACTAGAGGAGATTGAGAGGGTTCACATAAGTATATTAAATGGGTACATATGGATATGTGTTTGTTTATGTTGAAAATGTATATATCAGTTTATATTTGTTTGAGTTGAGAATACTTCATAGGACTAGAGGAGATTGAGAGTATCTTATAAGTATTAATTGTTGAGAGGTTGATGATTTGATTTGTATGTTTGTAATTTTCTACAACCAGTGGATCTTACTTCTCATCTGTGAACGTAAGTCGATTGAACCGAACCATCTTAAATTGTTATGTTTTATATATTTGATTGATTATTTGATTATACTTTCGCTGACGTGAATTAGATTGTGGCTTTTGACCTAACAAGTGATGTCAGAATTGTGATAATCTCTAACAAATTGTTTCACTGGAAGAAGAAAGCAAAAGATTAATAAACATCCCACACCTAATCAACTTTTTTTTTTCCAAAATTTGTTTTCTAGTTGTATAATTAACCTATCCATTTCCTTCTTTGTCTCCCTATCTAAGGCACACATTAATAGTAGGAAAGATAGATGTTATAACGCTTAGATCCAGGGATCTATCGCTTAACATTGACTTAAAGAATCACTACCAATCTTTTTTGTTTAGGTGCAATTTGCTACCTATAGAATCTATATTTTTAAGGAACACCTAAACTTGACTAAGGGTCTTTAAAAAATAAGATCGGGTCTATCAACTAGAACATGGTTCGGGAGTTCGATTACGAGTGAAGAAGGTTATAGCACCCTTACAACGTCCATTGAAGGATGGTACCAGCTTGATTTCGTGTTACCTATTAAGCCTAAAAAATTTATCAAGTAATTAATTATTAAATATTATTCTTGATTGACTCCAATACTTTTGGTAAAAAATTAAAAAAAAATCCTCTTACCTCAAAAGTATGCAAGAAAACTACTACTTTACTTGCAGAGACTCTATCGTCGGATTATTTAATATTAAAAAAATTACAAAAAAGAAAGAAATAAAAGAAATAAAATAAA